GAGAGAAAGCGATGAGAAAAAGCGATGAGAAAGAGCTTCTTGAAGTCTTCTTTGGTTCTTTCGGTAAAGTCACGTAGAATGAGAATTAAATAATAAATTGATAAAATAACAATATTCTCACGACGTTTCGGCCACAACACAAGTGGCCTTCATCAGGTGAAGGGACGAGACTGTCTGGTAGGGCAGCGCTGGAGTGAAAGAGCCACGTTCAGATCACGACCTTTAAGCCTCAACTTTAGCACCACGGATAGCTTAGAGTCGCGGCATCTCTTCAGAAAGGTGAGATACTCGATTAGTTGAGCCTTCTTATCCCGGAGTCTGTTGAATGATCTTAAGGATGTGTGGAATCCCTCCCCGTAGAGGCGGTTAAATTTCGATTTAAAGCTTTCGTGACTGCAATGATTCATCTTCTTTGGTTCTTTCGGTAAAGTCACGTAGAATGAGAATAAAATAATAAATTGATAAAATCCGTGGTGCTAAAGTTGAGGCTTAAAGGTCGTGATCTGAACGTGGCTCTTTCACTCCAGCGCTGTCCTACCAGACAGTCTCGTCCCTTCACCTGATGAAGGCCGCTTGTGTTGTGGCCGAAACGTCGTGAGAATATTATTGTGTTATTTTATCAATTTATTATTTTATTCTCATTATACGTGACTTTACCGAAAGAACCAAAGAAGATGAATCATTGCAGTCACGAAAGCTTTAAATCGAGCTTCTCGAAGCTTTGGAAGCATCTTGAGCAGACGTTTGCACGTGCTGTGTTCGTAGGGCCAATGTCGCTGTCCGTGAAATTTTGCTGTTCACGAGCGCCTCCGGAACGTATCCCTCGTCGCGAATAACGAGGGAGAATCCTGTCCACTCCTAACCAAGCCCCGAGTTCACAACTTGGCGGGCTGTTTCAATTTATTTATTTTGGTATAGCCCTGTGAGCCATTCGGCTCTTGAATCGGGTGCAACCACAACAAACAAAAAAACAAAAACACGAACAATAAAACATCTTAAAGTGACGATGTGTTGACTGTGCAAACAGAAAATCCATGAAAAAAACCCAAAATATTCCTGGAAAAAGCACCGTGTACACCACCAACGCTGTGTGAAAAAAATCCCAGTGGGATGCAAAGTCAAACAACAACAACAACCACAAGACAACTTAGATTAAGGCCATCAGTCTAACTCCGTACTACAACAAAACAAACATGTCGTAGGCTCTGTCCACTGCACCGCCTGTGATTGGATGGTTTAAACGAAGTAGCATACATGACTTATTATTTAAACGACGGTCTCTTGTTTATGCGTGTTCCGTACGTAGCCAACAGTTCTAATCGGATGTGCGGGTAGTGTGTTAGTGTAAAAGGTCTCTATTTGTATAAAGTGATAACACCTGTACGTCTGTGCGTGTGTATGATTGCACCCCACATTCCTCCCAGCACCGAAGGAGCAATGGGGGTGGCTCTTGTAGCCAGCGGTGGAAATTCCACATTCCAGTGGCGTGCGTTCTAGTCTCGGTACCCAGAGAGCGCAAACATCTGTCGACTTCCCGCAAAGCGGTACTCGTTTTATCCACGCCCAAAGAGGATGATAGTCTCACCTCACCCCCCCGACTGCGACTCGGGTTTTAGCATCATACCTGTCAACCCCTTATCAGTGCCCTTACCTTATTACAGACCAATTCAGACCTTAGTGGTCACCCCGTGCCCCCATTATAAATCCCGACGTTCATCCTACAAAGTCCCATCACAAGGAGAGGAACACAAACACAAATAGACAAAAATACGTTTTTTTTTTTCTCGGTTGACAGCGAAATGCGGAATTCTGACCACAGCGTTCGAATCGCCCGAAACAGATCTGAGATATTTATTGAGACTGGAGAAATCCGATGAGCTACAGAGCTCTCTTCCCCCGCACACGTCCAGTCAACCTTCTTCCGTACGGCTGCCGATGTCAATGCAGAAGCAACAACTACAATTTCACATTCAGGTGGTCAAGCCCAGAGAAGCGTCCATGCCACTCCCCCCCCCCCCCCGCCTCCCACCGGGCTCGCTCTCCGTCCGATTTCAGGCCTTGTGTTCACAGCGCCGCCCCGGGCCGGAACCTGAAAACTTCCAACTCTCTGCGTGTTTCTTTCGTCGTCGTTTGTGGATTAACGGTGGGAAGACTCCCAAGCACCGAAGCCGCCGCGCCCACAGCAGCAGCAGGTCCCGGGACCGGTCCCACCCCCGCCCCTCCTCCTCCTCCGATCACGGCGATGATAATGGAGCAGCGCCCGGAACTGGCAGCGCCGAAGAGGCCCCGGGTTCCACAGAGCCCGGGGCGCAGACGCTGCCCGTGATCCCCTCGAGCGTGGCGAGTTGATGATGGCCTCAGCCCGGTCCACCGGTGACCTCGCGGGCAAACCCCCGTCGCGTCGTAAATTAATTCGTTAGGCTGAAGATTTCCGGCTCCGAGGATTAAAACAACAAAATGACGGCGGTTTGAGGCGTCGCGAGAAACGAGGGTTCCTCTTCTGCTCGTACGCAGGACGGGTGGGAGGCGCCGGCCTCTGCTGCGCGCCGACCGGATCGCCACTTGAAGGGATCTCTCGGGGAGGTCAGCTCCGTGGTGTCCGCTTCCGCGAGCCGGAAGCGGATCCCCGAGTGGACGCTTCGTCTTGTGACGTCGCGAAAAATTGCGAGGGTAAGGTGGGCGGGCGGGTGGGCGGGGGCGGAGAAATACAAAACACTGAAGCCGCATGCTCCGACCTGGGCCTACTCGGGCGGCCTTTGTGAGGTCACAGGGGACCTTGCGGGGAGCGGTCGATGCCGCCACGACAACGCCTCCCCAGCTGCGTCATGACGCACTCGAGGCCGACCGAAATTCAGTTTCGGCGCCAAAAGTTGGCAAACGGCCTATTTCGGCGTAGTTTGGGTTTCGGCCGAAAGTCAGTCTTTAACTTTCGGTCTGGTTTCGGTGTGATCGGCCGGTCAGTCGGCGCTAGGCAATCCTATGCGATAGGCTGCAAACACACACGTACACACACACACGTACACACACACACGTACACACACACACGTACACACACACACACAAAGGCAAATACAAAGATCCCCCGTATAGCCTTAACAGACTATAGGGGCAAGTGCTGTTAGCGAGCACCTACGAAGGCCGGAACGGTACACGAGGGGGTGGCAATGTTTACACACCGCAGCAGGTACTCATTTGAGGCTGAGTCGACCTAGGGGAGGCCCGGGACCGGTTCAGATAATCGTCACTGGTGTTGGCCGTGAGCGGGAATCGAACCCGGGTCGCCAGGTTCATAGCGCAGCGCGCTAACCGCTACACTACCGCTCCCCCACTACACGTACACACACACACGTCGGCAGCAGCAGCTTGGGAGCGAGGTTACAGCCGCAACCCATATTCTGCTACTGTAATTACGACCGGTCAACAGACGGCAGCCTGCATCTCCATCCGTGGGTGGAGTCTCTGGCGGGACGACAACAAAGTGCCTCTGTTGTCTGTTCTCAGCCGCCTGCCCGCCTTGGCGTATGTGTTGCGTTCGCTTCAGCCTACACGCGTGTTGATGTGTTGCCTTCGCTTCAGTCTACACGCGTGTTGATGTGTTGCGTTCGCTTCAGTCTACACGCGTGTTGATGTGTTGCGTTCGCTTCAGTCTACACGCGTGTTGATGTGTTGTGTTCGCTTCAGTCTACACGCGTGTTGATGTGTTGCGTTCGCTTCAGTCTACACGCGTGTTGATGTGTTGCGTTCGCTTCAGCCTACACGCGTGTTGATGTGTTGCGTTCGCTTCAGTCTACACGCGTGTTGATGTGTTGCGTTCGCTTCAGTCTACACGCGTGTTGCATTCGCTTCAGCCTACACGCGTGTTGATGTGTTGCGTTCGCTTCAGCCTACACGCGTGTTGATGTGTTGTGTTCATGTCACTCTACACGCGTGTTGATGTGTTGCGTTCGCTTCAGTCTACACGCGTGCTGATACCGAGATTCGAAGTCTGACAATTAGAGGCCGACCGAAATTCGGTTTCGTTTTCGGCGTCGAAAGTTGGCAAATGGCCTCTTTCGGCATAGTTTCTGTTTCGGCCGAAAGTACATTTGTAACTTTCGGCATAGTTTCTGTTTCGGCCGAAACCAGAAATTCAGTTTCGGTCGGCCTCTACATCGCACCCTGCGAGGCGCTGTACACCGCAAGCGGATGTTTGATCACGTGAACGTAACCCAACCTGTGTTTAGTGTGTGAATAAATAAATAAAAATATCAGGACGCACGCTTAAAAGAAATAATTTAATTTGTATTCATTAAAAAAATGTTTTGTTGCATCAAGATTGTGGCGTTTGTCTGTACCATGACCGATGCGGACACCCAACAGAACCCGTGGAACGATGAGACGGCCGATTCACTTCCGAGGAGTAGGAATCGCAGCGATGCACCACTCTGCTACCCCTGACGCAATCACTTGGCTCATCAACCACCTCGATGTTGAACTTCTTTCGCACCGTGCGCAGCCAACCGTGCTAAATCGGAGATGAAGTTGGTCTTGGTGGCTGAAGCGACGGGTCTAGGGATGGCCCGACGCTTTTGAAACGGACCGGTCCGGGCTAATTGTGTCAGAGAGACCCTTGCTCCATCAGAAGACGTGAAGACTGCCCCCACTTGGACTTCTCCTGAACCCGATTAGCATGGTTGGCTGCGTGCGGTGCGAAAGAAGTTCAACACACACACACAACCCCCTCCCAAGCATCAGGGGCCACTCAAGGCAAGGTACCTCATCACCACAATCAACACCAACACCACCATCAACACCACCATCAACATCATCACCACCACCATGTATGTATATTAAACTTATTTCGCACTGTACATAGCCAACCGTGCCAATCAGAGGTGCGGGGGAACGGACAAAAATCTAAACACACAAAGCAGTTCTAAAGCGTTTACAATCGAGATTTCAAAATGCATAGCTCCAGTGGCTTCCTGATATCGGAAGGAAGAGCGTTCCAGACGGCCGCAGAAGCGCGCATCTGAAAGCGCCGCGCGACGATGCGGTGACAACCGTCTTTGTTCGACGGCCAGCAGCCAAAAGCCGCTGCTGCTGCTGCTGCGAGGATGTTGATTTACCCTCCCTGACATCAGCGAGGCACCGTGGTTTATTTGTGGCCAGCACTTTGTAATGAGTGCGACCTCGTAAGGTGTGATATTAAAAGCCACCGTACGGACAAGCAGCTGTCGTGAAACCATTCCAAGGCCACTCTGGACGTTTCACCGGTTGAACCGCCACTTTTCGTTCTTGACGGCCTCTACAGGCCGAGGCCTTGGCAAGGAGCCTGCCATCGACCTCGGGGACGCTTCCCCCACACGTCGCCCGTAGTTCCAGGGCACGCCATCGTTTCCCCCGGCCTCTCCGTGGCGGGCGCCGGCAATGCCACCACACTTCCCCTTCACCCTCCATTCGCCTCCCCCCCCCCCTCCCACCTCGCCTCCTCCCTCGCCGTGCAGTACAACGCAGAGCGGGGGGTTGGGCAGCCGTAGAGAGGGTGAGAGTCGCGCTTTAGCCAAGCCCCCCCGATGCAACTGCCCGTCGAGATGCGGACAAAGCAGTCGCGTGCGTGCGTGCGGGCGATCGAGTCGCGCGAGATCCGTTTGCTCGGCTGCGACACCCGCATTAAGTTTGCAATCCCCACCATGTGTGCGTTGCTCCCCGCGCCGCCTTGTGCCCCGTTCTCCTTTCCCCGCAATTTAAACACGCGAGAGGGCGTTCGTGCACGTTCGTGCGCGGCGTCGACCGAAGCCGCCGCCAGCGAGCTGCCTACACGCGAAGCCGCTGCCTCAGCAGCCTCGCGATCTCCCTCACCACGTCCGGGTGGGCGACGCACTCCAGCAGCGTGTCCGTATCCACGGCGACGGCCTCGCCGGTACCTCCGGCAACGTCCCCGCGACCCGCGGCAACCCCCTGGCTCTCGCGCGCTGCGGGTTCCGGGTCGAAGGTCGGGGAGTCGGAACCGGGATCCAATGGGACGAGGAAAGCGCCGCACGGCATGCTCGGAGCGCCGCCCCCCTCGTGATCTTCCGACGGAGATTCGCCCCCCGTAGTCTGGCGGCGGCAGCTGCAGCTGCAGCTGTCGAGCGCCGGCTCGTCGGCCTTGCGCTTCTTCGCTCGGCAGGAGCCGCCGTGGCGCCCGGGGCCGGCTTCCGACTGCGAGGAGCCGGGCAGCGCTCGGAGAGCCGCGTTGAGGTAGCGGAGGTTCGTCTCGTAGCTGACGTCGTCATCCTAGAAGGATGGGCGGAGAGGGAGGGGAGAGAGTTTTTTTTTGCGATTTAATATCTCAACTTTAATATCTCTTATTCGACCCCATGTCACGTGACTCCCACGTAATGAGACCTCTCATTTATTTTGCCTTTCCCCCCCCCTGCCCCCCCCTCGCCCCCCCACCACCCCCCCCCACCCCCCCCCCTGATTTATTCCAACTCTACGATCGGTGTCACGAGGCGCGCAGTCCGCGCTGCGCTGCGAGATTTCTCACGATGCTGGTGTCATGGGAGAGTGGCCTGCTGAAGCGGGCGCCGGAGGGTTAAGGCAAGAGGTCAGGCTAAGGGTCAAGGTTAAATTTAGCGTCGTGACCTCTGGTGGGTTCAGCCAGTGAGCGACCTTGTGGGTTTAGGGTTATGGGTAAAGGGGTTAAAGGTCATGGTTCAGGTCAGGTGTTAGGGTCAGGGGGGCAGGGTCGTGACCTCGGAGCGGTTGAGCCAGCAAGCGGGGTTATCTAGTTTAGGGTTATAGTTAATGAGGTTAAGGTCATGGTTCAGGTCAGGGGTTAGGGTCAGGGGGGCAGGGTCGTGACCTCGGAGGGGTTGAGCCAGCGAGTCATGTTGTCGGGGTGAGGCTGGGTCTTGATGGCGCAGACGACGATCCGAGCCAGGGCCTCCTGCAGGCGAGCCTCGTGGTCCGACTCCTACGGGCACAACAGCCATCAGCAACAAACGGTAAACAATGACAATGTACGACAATGAAAATAACAAAAAGAACAATGACTACACAACAATACAAATAAAGAACAATGGCAATGCACAATTTATGTACGTTGGGCTTTATTTCGCGCCGTGTGTAGCCAACCGTGCTAAGACGATGGCAATAAAGAACAATGGACAATACACAATGACAATAAATAACAATGACCACAAAATCACAATAAAGATCAATGACAATACACAACATTAAACAACAATGGCAATAAACAACAATAACAGTAAAGAACAATGACAATACACAACAATAACAGTAAAGAACAATAACAATAACGGTAAAGAACAATGGCAATACACAACAACAATACCAGAAAAGAACAATGGCAATACACGACAATACAATACACAATAAAGCACAATACACAATAAAGAACAATGGAAATAGGCAGCAACAATGCGCGGTCTGCGTAATCGCCCGTCGATGCGTCTCACCTCCTGTGCTGCAGCGCTCGACAGGGAGACCTCGCTTAACGCACCCCATTATAACACGGAACGCGACCCATTATAACGCGCCCTTGTAATGCAGAATGCACCCCATTATAACACGGAATGCGACCCATTATAACCCGTCCGTTATAACGTGCCCAATTGCGCCAGGATATATATATATGTGGGCAGAATGCAGGGTAGTCCCCGACTTGCGATGGAGATGCGTTAAGACGACCCCCATTGTAAGTCTAAAATGGCCCTGGCCTACCCAGGAGTCTTAAAGAATGGTGATAATTTAGCAAAACAGAGCAGTTTACAGTACCGTACTGTATAAACTATATACTGTCTGTATTTGAACTTGATTAGGCGCTTTCGTGACTGCAGGAATTACTCTTTAACTGTGCACGTGTCTCCCCCCCAAATGTCTCTCTACGGTAAGTATTCTATCACTATCTTAAATTTCACACTTAACTTACAATTTAAGAATCTTTGAAACAGCGTATTCAACCAAACCATGCGTTAATTGTGTTTTAACCGACCGTTTGTGTTGCGTTATATAGTTTCCAAATTTTGCTAAACCCTGTTTGATTTAGTGTGATGTTCCGTCTCTCTGTATCCCCTGGTATATCTGTGTTAATTCCCCCTACTTAAGGTCTGTATATATATCTGCGGTTATGTTTCCTCTACCTGATGATGATTGCTTGTGTTGCGATCGAAACGTCGTATGCTATTATATAATTTCATTTTTTATTATTTCTACGTGACTTTACCGAAAAAAACAAAGAGTACTGTGTGTATTTATGAATTACAATACTGTATTGCACAGTAAAATGTAAAGTAACAAGGTAAATTCTTAGCCTACCTATATGAACTGCAATTTCATAGAAAGTTTTTTCAGGAAAGAATCCTATCTGCTATAAAAATTGTTTTAACATGCATTAAACGTATTGTATCGTAACTCTAAAATGAAATCGCTAAAGCTACGTATCATACATGCATTGAACGTATCGTAACGTATCATATTCTACTGTACTCACCAAGATTCTGTCCGTCATCTGCATACTTGAACGATGTTAGGTTGTTGATGGCTACATTAACTTAGTTGTCGGAAGAGGAGGATGGAGATGATAAAGTTACAGTATCGTACCTCGTACGCTGCTGCGTTTGCCTGCCGCGCGAAATTAAAAATATTTTACAATTTTGTCATATCGCTATCGCCACCGTAAGATAGATATATTGTAAGTCGGACCATCGTAAGTCGGAGACTACCTGTATTTAAACCGCCAAATACTTACTCACGTGTGTAGAAGCCAGACAATCTCGCCATTAATACCAATGTCTCCTGCCATAGCCCAGCCTGCTACTCCCTGCCCCCCAACCCTCAGCTACGACCAGGCCCCTCCCGAACCCCCCCTATCACTACCCCAACCCCCTATCACTACCCCTATCAGAACCCCTATCACTACCCCAACCCCTATCACTACCCCAGACCCCTATCACTACCCCAGCCCCTATCACTACCCCAACCCCTATCACCACCCCAACCCCTATCACCACCCCAACCCCTATCACTACCCCAACCCCTATCACTACCCCAACCCCTGATCACTACCCCAGCCCCTATCACTACCCCAACCCCTATCACTACCTCAACCCCCTATCACTACCCCAACCCCTATCACTACCCCAACCCCTATCACTACCCCAACCCCTATCACTACCCCCATCAATACCCCTACCACTATCAATACCCCTACCTCTACCCCTATCAGAACCCCTATCACTACCCCAACTCCGATCACTACCCCTATCAGAACCCCAACTCTGAGTCTCCTACCGCCGCAGTCAGACCAGGTCAGAATGGCCAAATTGATCCGATCTCGACCGCGAAAGACCCACCACTCCATGTCTTGAAGCAATACCCCCCCCCCCCCCCGCGGCTACTCTGCAACATAGCACAGATGTTTTTAGCCTGAGCTTCATATCCGGCCTAAACCTCATCCTTCCTCGGCTTATAAACGAGAATTTATTTGGGAGCAAATGTCTAGAATGCAGGCTGAAGATTTTAATGGAGCCGAGCAGATCACCCGTGCCCTCACCTGTGGTACTGGAGGCTGAAGGAGGATGGAGGCTGCCGATATCACAAGGCGAATTTGTTAACGGTGGCTAGGAGATGTTAACTACTTCGCCTGGTGTACAGGAGGTCGTGGGTTCCATCCCGACCCTGACACCTGCTGTATATGTGGAGTTTGCGTGTCTCTCTCATCATCACGGTAGCTATGAGATGTTAACTACCTCGCCTGGTGTACAGGAGGTTCGTGGGTTCAATCCCGACCCTGACGCCTGCTGTGTATTTGGAGTTTGCGTGTCTCTCTCTCTCCCCTAGTGGTTGCGTGTATTTTTCTCCGGGTCCTCCAGGTTTTGCCTCCACATTTAGAATCAACATCACCATGCGTTTAAGAGTATTTGGCTGCTTTAAATTTCCACACGATACGCCAATTCGTTGGGCTATTATCATCTGTGGCCAGGTCGCTGTCTGAAGAAGAGCTATGTAACTCAATGGACCTTACCTTATAAAATAAAAAAAAATACTTGTATAATTAGTTTTTAACTCCCCCCCCCGGATGGTTATTCGCTGCCGCAAATCCTCGATCTTTTGACCTCTGTAGGGAGGAGAGAGGAGGAGCCAAATGGCTTTCCACGTTGAATCTCCGTCAGTCTCTGGCAAAAATTCCTTTGCATGCACAGAGTCTACGGCCGTCTGCCTTCATCACCCAGGAGGGATCGTTCACAGCAGATGCCTTTCGGGATCCGAAAACACTCCCAACGTGTTAGCTACTCGCGAACCAAGTCCTCTGTGGAGTTATTGGGGAGTGTTCTTCCTCTTCCTCCTCCTCCTCCTCCTTCCGTACGTCTGATGATGTAGATGCAGAAACAAATACAATCTCGCATTCAGGTGGTCAAGCGAGATAACCGCGTCAGGAGTAGCGGAGGAACGAAACAGGATTTCTCCACAAATCTGGCCATTGCCTGATGATGCGGGTTGTAATTACTGGCGAACTGTCGGACTCAGAAAGTGAATGTTTTGTGGCTTTGCTCTCCAATACTCCGGTGTGCTGTACTAGTATACTACACTATACACTACACTATGCACTACACTACTATACACTACACTACTATACACTTCACTCTACACTGCACTATACACTTCACTATACACTATACTATACACTACACTAAACACTACACTACTATACACGACACTATACACTACACTACTATACACTTCACTATACACTACTATACACTTCATTATACACTAAAATACTATACACTACACTACTATACACTTCACTATACACTACACTACTATACACTACACTACTATACACTTCCCTATACACTACACTACTATACACTTCACTATACACTACACTACTATACACTTCATTATACACTAAAATACTATACACCATACACTACACAATACACTACACTATACACTACACTATACACTACACTACTATACACTTCACTACTATACACTACTATACACTACACTACTATACACTACACTACTATTCACTACACTACTATACACTACACTACTATACACTATACTATACACTTCACTATACACTACACTACTATACACTACACTACTATACACTTCACTATACACTACACTACTATACACTACTTTACACTTCACTATACACTACACTACTATACACTTCACTATACACTACACTACTATACACTTTATTATACACTAAAATACTATAGACTTCATTATACACTAAAATACTACACTATACACTACACTATACACTACACTATACACTACAATCCTATTCACTACACTATACACTACTGCTGTACTAGTAACAAATTGGCCACGTTCTGTTTACGTGACACAACCCTTACTAGTTGGCTGTGTCAGGTGATGGCGGGTTTACTGACACATCTATATATTTACGCGATCTCACCCGAGAAAGTTGTATTACCTAGTGCAGGGGTGGGGAACGTCCGGCCCGCGGGCAGTATGAGGCCCGCGGGCCTCATACTGCCCGCAAAATCATTTGGTGTGGCCCTGCCAAGGCAACCGCAGGCGGGACTCGAAATTCAATAAATCTAGGAGCAAACCTGGAAAAGCAGTTGCGAGTAGCAGCAACATCATCAATACCAGCTAACATCACATGCCTCGCCAAAGAGAAGCAGTTCCAGCCATCGCATTAGGGGCGAGTTAATTAAATGTTTGACCAAATATAACAGGCTAATTTTTAAGTTGATCATTTTGCATGGCCCGCGAATGATGTTATAAATATCCAAATGGCCCTTGTCAGAAAAAAAGGTTCCCCACCCCTGATGTAGTGTATAATGTAGTGTATATAATATTTATGTAGTGTATAATGTAGTGTATATAATATTTATGTAGTGTATAATGTAGTGTATATAATATTTATGTAGTGTATAATGCAGTGTATATAATATTTATGTAGCGTATAATGTAGTGTATCATCATCGCCGTGATGTCTCGTTCTTCGTATGTATGCATCGGGACATTGCGTCGTTATACGTTGTTACGGTCTGTTCTGGATGACCACAGTCGCACACTGCTACTGGAGAGTTTTTAATATTCCATTTGTGCATCAGGTATCCACATCTACAGCCATGGTTTGTGCAGTGGATGCGGTTTAGGGATGGACCATGAGCAGCTTCGTGGAAGATCAAACCAAACCCCAGGGGATCTTCTGTGTTGGTTCTTTCACAACAAGGCGGTTCTTTGTTTGCGAGTTCTTTTGAACGCCATTCAGCTCTCCCGAGCTTCATCGGGGGTTGAACTCGCACCGAAGAGCGTGCCGCTACGTATACACAAACGACGTCGTGATATTCTCAGATTCGTCCGAGCGGCGACCGGAACACATCCGCCTGCTACGTCTTAAAGAGACTCCGGGCAGCGTGCAGCTCACCTGCTAGCTCGGGAAAATGTTTATTCAGTGTGGAAGAGGTTGAGAAGCTGGGGGCATTTGTTGACCGCTACTGGAATCCACAAGGACCCTGCTGAAGTGCAAGGCTAGGTTGACTTCTCGAAGCAAAAGTGCCTGAAAGAGCTAAAGAGGTCTGGGGGCCATTATTCACAAGTGGCATCAATTGTGACTCACCTCCCCAGCGCCCCCATCCCTACTCTGCCTTGGTGAGATTGTTAACTACTACGCCTGGTATATATTTGGAGTTTGCGTCTCTCTCCCTTTCTCTCCCCAAGGAATTTTTCTCCGGGTCCTTTGGTTTTTCCCCTCCACATTTAGAATCAAAATCGCGCGTTTTAGAGTACATGGCTGCGGCTACAAAACTCCACGTGATGATGACGATAAGCCACTTTGTTGAGCTATCATCTGTGGGTGGCTAGGTCGCCTCTGGAAAAGAGCTACGCTGTTCAGTGGGGCCTTACCCTGGTAAAATAAAAAAATATATAGTTTAATTCTAGGTTTGAAGTTTTCGTGACTGCAAGGATCCATACTCTTTGGTTCTTTCGGTAAAGTCACGTAGATGAAAAATAAAAGTAATGAAAATAATAAAATGAATTTAGTTATTTTAATGTTATTATTTTCATTATTTATTTTCATTTTTCATCTACGTGACTTTACCGAAAGAACCAAAAATATAGTTTAGTTCACTTAGTTTAGTTTTTGGCCTAGTAAGTGTAGCTCGACCAGAGTGAATACGGTAGAGGCGCAGCCCTGCAAGTGCTCCCTCACACCCACCCCCCTCCCCTGCTCGAGCCAACTCCACAGTGGCACTGAGCTTACTCTTTAGCTTACTACTCTTCCACTGAACCTCATGGCGGGACCCCGGGGTCCCACAAGCCCCCGGCTCTCGCATAAACTGCGTTGCGACGTCAGTTCACGTCTGTTGAAGGCGAACGGCACACGGCGATCTGTTCCTCTCGACGAGCTCTACGCGACGCGGCGATCGAAGTTTCGAGGTTTCGTTTATGACCACGGCAATTTTGGCAACGACAACCGGGGTGCTCGGTGAAGAACGAGAGAGGATTGGTTGCTGGTGGGCCGCGGCGTTTGTGTGTGCGGTGGGGATGGAATCGCCAAAAATAAATAAATAGAGAAAGATCTTGACTCCCGTTCGTTCGGGACTCCGGGATCCCGCCATGAGGTTCCACTGTCACCAGACGCATTGGCAGCGGTGGGCGCGTGCCCACACTTTACCCCACCGCACGCGGGCCGTGACGATCGAACAAACTTCGGTGTACCAAACTCTTTGGTTTTTTCGCCTAAAGTCACGTAGGTAAAATAAAATAAATGAAAACAACTAAATAAAATCACGACGTTTCGGAGGCAACACAAGCTTCCGTCTTCAGGTGGAACAGTCACAGCAAGGTAGCTGCATCTTGATGCAGAGACATAGACACCCATAGGGACACCCATAGAGACACCCATAGAGACACATAGATACCCATAGAGACACCCATAGACACCTACAGAGACACATAGACACCCATAGGGACACCCATTGAGACACCCATAGAGACACATAGACACCCATAGAGACACCCATAGACACCTACAGAGACACATAGACACCCATAGAGACACATAGACACCCATAGAGACACATAGAGACACATAGACACCCATGCATCAAGCTGCTACCTTGCTGTGACTGTTCCACCTGAAGACGGAAGCTTGTGTTGCCTCCGAAACGTCGCGATTCGATTTAGTTTAGTTTTCTTCTATTTTAATTTTATTTTTACCTACGTGACTTTACCGAAAAAAAACCAAAGCGTATGAATCCTTGCAGTCACGAAAGCTTCAAATCTAGAATTCCGTGTACCCGTTTACAGGGCGCTGCTGCCGATGGGGAGGCGGGCGGGGGGGCGGGCGGGGGAGGGGTGGTTTAAGAAACTCGCACCGTCGGCTCAACTGCCGCGCCGGGAGATTGCACAGAACCGGCGGGAACCTGGATCGCGAGTCCGGTGCGCTGAGCGTTGAGGCCGCTGTGTGGCGGCCGCGCGAGCGAAAGGAACTCACCAGCTCCACCCACGTGTTGGCGCTCACCGTGGCCTGGTCCAGGCTCTCCACGTAGTGCCACCAGAGGGGCGGCACAAACAGAATCTGCGCCAACAGGCAGCCGGGGAGCACGCACACCACTCATCCCACCACTCCTCCCACAAAGACGCTCACCTCATCGCTCTCACGCACACCGCTCATCCCACCACTCCTCCCACAAAGACGCTCACCTCATCACTCTCACGCAACCACTCATCCCACCACTCCTCCTACAAAGACGCTCACCTCATCACTCTCACACAACCACTCCTCCCACAAAGACACTCACCTCATCACTCTCACGCAACCACTCATCCCACCACTCCTCCCACAAAGACACTCACCTCATCACTCTCACGCAACTACTCATCCCACCACTCCTCATTCCACAAAAACACTTTCTCATACCTGTCAACCCCTCATCAGTGCCCTACATTATTACAGACCAATTCAGACCTTATCGGTCACCCCACACCCTTATAAATATCAACGTTCATCCAACAATGTCCCATCACAAGGGAGAAACACAAACAAATATTTTTGCCCGTACTGAAACGGCTGTTACCCCATAGCGACCTGAAAACTCTATTTGCCTGTAGAACCCATGGCTTGACACTAATATACACTACACTACTATACACTACATTTAGATTTAAAGCTTTCGTGACACTAAATTTAGATTTAAAGCTTTCGTGACTGCATGGATTCATCTTCTTGGTTCTTTCGGTAAAGTCACGTAGAAGGGAAATAATAAAATAATAAAAATAAAACATAATAAAATAAAATTATCACGACGTTTCGGCCACAACACACAACTATACACTACTATACACTACACTACTATACACTACACTACTACATACCTGTCAACCCCTTATCAGTCAGACCAATTCAGACCTTATTGGTCACCCCGTGCCCCTTATAAATCACAACGTTCATCCTACAAAGTCCCATCACAAGGGAGAAACACAAATAGACAATCACCACTAGTACACTCACCACTACTACACTCAATACTAGTACACTCACCACTAGTACACTCACCACTAGTACACTCACCACTAGTACACTCATCACTATACTCACCACTAGTACACTCACCACTAGTACACTCACCACTAGTACACTCAATACTAGTACACTCATCACTAGTACACTCACCACTAGTACAACCACCACTACATACCTGTAAATCCCGTATCAGTGCCCTATCTTTTTACAGACCAATTCAGACCTATAGTTGTCAACCCTATGCCCCTTATAAATCTCAACGTTCATCCTACGAAGTCCCATCACAAGGGAGAAACACGACACAAATTGACAATGATTATTTTTTTGCCCGTATCGAAACGGCCGTTACGCCGCACGGACCTGAAAACTCAATTTGCGTGTACAAGAGTACGGGGTAAAACCGCATGGGTTTACTCATGTCAATCTACAGTGTCCGCACGCACACCCCCTCCCACACCACCCACCCACCCCGGTACCTGGCCAGGCGACAGCGTGACGCGGTGGTGGTGCGCCCGGCTAAGCCGCTGTGAGCGCCGGTGGCCTGGGCTTAGCGGGTGCACGCGGCTGAAGACGCTCGACTCCTCGTAGGGGACCCGCGTCGGCTGCAGGAAGGGCGAGTCGCCCGGGGGAAACAGGTGCCAGCGCTTCCTGCGTGGCACAACGACAAAGCAAGATCCGCCAGTGCAGCCTTGACAGACCGCTGGGGGCAAGTGCTGTTAGCGAGCGCCTACAGAAGGCCGGCACGGCACACGAGGTGGTGGCAAATAGTTTTTGTGTATATTTGTGTTTCTCTCCTTGCCATGTTGTGACTTTGTAGGGTGGGCGTTGAGATTTACAAGGGGCACGGGGTGACCAATAATGTCCGAATTGGTCTGTGATAAGGTAGGGCACTGATAAGGGGTTGACGTATAATAGTGTAGTGTATTGTAGTGTCGTTCCATATGGTTTCACCTGTACTCTTGTACAGGGAATTTTAGTTTTCGGGTTCATACGGCCTAACAGCAGTTTCAATACGGGAAACAAAAATGTATTTTTGTCAATTTGTGTTGTGTTTCTCTCTTGTGATGGGACTTTGTAGGATGCACGTTGAGATTCATAAGGGGCACGGGGCGACCACTAAAGTCTGAATTAAGGTAGGGCGCTGATAAGGCGTCGACATGTATGAGGAGGGAGCGGCGCTACTCCGCTTACCGGCCGTAGATCTGCAGCACGAGGTTGAAGCCGTAGGTGTCAAAGTGGCAGGGCGTGTTGGCCCCCTCGCTGCCCAGCCACAGCGTGCTGTCGGCCCCGTTCCGGCCCAGGAAGCCCAGCTCCTCCCAGCGCAGCCCCTGAAAGTAACCACCCCCACCACCCCCCACAAAGATCAGAGATGATACTGGGATGATCCGCTAAGGCAATTGACCCTTCGCCGTTCCGAGACGTCTGCAAGTTGCAGGGTGCGGGCGGGTGGGTGTCCCGTTCATCGTCGAATCCGGGAACGCGCAAGAGGCCCGGCGTTCATTTTATTTAGAGAGGCGTAGAAGCGCCGCTGTGTTTAAAGACGTCGTTACTCGCCGCAGAGAACCGTAGCGACACACGACCGCCGCGCTCTACGATGGCTGGCGACAACAACGTGCCACACGCCCCTCCCGCGTGGCCTTGCGGGAGCCTCGCTACGTCTTCCGACCTGAAGACGTACTGTTAGAGCTATCTTATTTCCGTTATTTCATCGGATTCCGTTCGATGAACGACGTACACGTATGTCATCGGAACGGAATCGGAAGAAAAACTGGACATAACATGCACGGCATCGCAACGGGATGAATCAACGTGCCGTCGTGACCATGACCACTGATGCCACCGCCACCACCACCACCACCGCCAGCACAGCACGCCAGAGATTTCTGCCCTACTCTGCCTGACCCCGCAGCTGATGTAGGCAAGTGGCGACTTCCCAGATCTGCCCCTCGCAGTCTTCTACACCTCAAGGCAACGAGGTGTCTTCGTTGCCTTGAGGTGTAGAGCCTGAACATCGGCCTTTTATTGTGTTTAAATGGCCAATATTCAACTTTTCTTTAATATATATAACATCGGTATCGGGATTCATGCCGCCAAAAAAAATCGATTGTTGTTCCTGTAACTGTCCGTACGGTAGTTGGTAATGCTATTTGCTAAGGCATCTCGTAGAGGGAGCTCGAATACTGAAAGAGGTTTTTGGGTTGGATCGCGTAAATGTGTGTCGTTAAACCCGCCACCACCCGACACAGCCAATTAGTTAGAAATCAACGTCACGCGTTTTAGAGTATTTGCCTGCGACACATTTCCACGTGATAATACACTCCGTTGAACTATCATTTGTAATAGCCAAATTCGCTTCTTAAAAAGAGTTATATAATTTCGGCGGGCCTTGCCTGGTAAGAGAAAAAGTTTTAGTGTGGCTAGCAACATGCGGCACGATTAAAGTTGCGACCGAAACGTCTGCACTCGAATTGTAAAGTTTCGGGTTTACTCTCCAACACGCAACCGGTTAGTGCTGGACCGGTAACGAATTGGCACGTTGTGTTTCGATTTAAAGCTTTCGTGACCGCAGGGAATCATCTTCTTTGGTTCTTTCGGTAAAGTCACATAGAATGAGAATAAAATAAAATAAAAATAAGACAATGAAATTCTCACGACGTTTCGGCCACAACACAAGCGGCCTTCTTCAAGAACAGAAACTGTCGGGACGACACTGAAGCTCTGTCGTCCCGACAGTTCTGTTCTGTTCTTTCACCTGAAGAACGCCGCTTGTGTTGTGTCCGAAACTTCCGTGAGAATTTCATCGTCTTATTTTTATTCTATTATTCTATTCTCATCCTACGCGACTTTACCGAAAGAACCAAAGAAGTTGGCACGTTGCGTTTACGTGACGCAGCCTCATTGGCTGCGCCGGGTGATGGCGGGTTCAGCGACACGCGTTCATGTTTACGCGGTCCAACCCAGAAAAGCCTCTACTGTGCATGATATTGGTCGCGAAAGCCAGAGCGAGCACGTCAGGTCGCTCGCACGTTCGGGGGTCGCGCAACGCGAGGAGTGCGTGACCCGCCCGTCACCGCCTCGCCGACTCCATCCGCACGGGATCGGTCTCTGCACGCAGCCCATTACCATCATTCAATTGTGCTGCGACAAAAGGTGCTTTGTTGCAGCAAGTAGTGCACCGCTTCAACGTGTGGCGGGTGAGAATGCAGAGCTGCTGTGTTTTCCATCGCCACCATCTGCCACTGCTCGAGCGGCAGTATTGGAGAACCGGACGCTGATGCCCGAGCGCTGCGAGACGCTGCCAAAATAGCGCAGGTTCAATTCGCAATCAATTCGCATATATATTTTTTTTACACGCTGAATCCGTTAAAAAGTTCTCCACGTGTGCATTTGCATTCATTTGTTTGCCCCGTTCGTAGTGTAGTGGTGTAACGCGCGGGGCTAGTGAGGGGTGATGTGAGGTGACACTGGTGTGACGTGGCAGCAATTAGGGGGAAGCATGGATTGGGTGTTGGCTGATCCCCTGCTGGGGCAGGGGGATGGGGGCGGAGGCGTGAGGGAAGCAGAACAAGCGAGCGGGAGTTAGCATATTCTTATCCTTGGGTCTTTCGGTAAAGTCACGTAGATAGGTTCGCAGAAAATACTAAAAATAATAATTTAAAAAACCGACGTTTCTTGTTAGTTTCTTTGAACCTATTCATATTCTTAGCTCTTTCGTTAAAGTCACGTTGAAGGGAAACAATAAAATATATAAAACAATAAAAAAACAATAAAAATTCTCACGACGTTTCGACCATAACGCAAACGGTCATCATCAGGTGTGAAAAAACCAACGGTTACTCAAATGTTTCTTGCCGTTGGTTTTTCACACCTGATGATGACCGTTTGCGTTATGGTGGAAACGTTGTGAGAATTTTTATTGTTTTTTTATTGTTTTATATATATTTTTATTATTTTATTGTTTCCCTTCAACGTGACTTTACCGAAAGAGCTAAGAATATGAATTACTGCAGTCACGAAAGCTTTAAATCAAAATTCTTTGAACCTATCTACGTGACCTTACCGACGGACCCAAGAATATTAATTCCTGCAGTCACGAAAGCTCTAAGTCAGGAGTTAGGATAATGAGATGATAGCAGTTGTATAAGTGGGGGGAGATAGAGGCTGAGTTTGTGTTCAGTGTAGAGTGAGGAGCATTCACACTGGATGCAAGGTAAACAAAGTGACACAGGTGGAAAGTTAAGAGTGTCCGCCGTGCGAGCACAACACTACAATAGTAAAGTTCAAATTCTCAAATCACTTTTTCAAACAGATTTGAAAATGTCACATTTTTTTTTGGACAAAGCATCGGTCGACATATCATCGGCAATCGGTGGATGAGGGCTCTTCGTAAATCGGCGTCAGCATCGGCTCTTACCGCAGCGCCCCTCTCCTTGTCCGCGGCATTCGTTACCAAAATTCTAACGTCCCTCTTCGGTTATCGGGCCCCTCCCCCCCGGGTCCGGCTCGCTCGTTACCTTGAGCAAGTCGGGGTGGTCCCGGAAGAGCAGCGCCATGTGCATGTAGTCGGCGTAGAGCCACGAGTCGCGGCGCGACACTCCGCGCAGGGCGCCAACGCCCCGGGCCGTTCGTCTCGCCCCTTTGGCGGCCACCCCATCGTCGCCCGCCCCTTGCTTCGCCCCTTCGTTCACCCCATCGTCGCCCGCCCCCTCGTCGCCGGCCACTTTGTTCACCCCCTCGTCGCCCGCCCCTTCGTTAACCCCATCGTCGCCCACCCGTTCGTTCACCCCATCGTCGCCGGCCACTTTGTTCACCTCCTCATCGCCCACCCGTTCGTTCACCCCATCGTCGTCCCCATCGTCGCCCCCTGCCTTCGCCCCTTCGTCGTCCCCATCTTCGTCGCCGACCCACGCGACAAACTCCGCCACCGTGGCGAGGACGTGGCCGCACTCCGTCTCGAACTCGGGCTCCGTCTCCGCCGCCGACTCGGGAGCGCGCCGCTTGGGCCCGACGCGGAACATGAGCTGGCGCTCGCCCATCGTGGCCGCCAGTGCCGCGGGGCTCCAGCCCATCGCCGGCCACGAGCGGGCGAGGCCAGAAAACACGGCCGGGCGGCGCAAGCGTAAGCGGCGGTGGTGACAGAGGTTCCCCGACGGCGCCTGTCCGAACAGCGCCTCGTGGAGGGAGACTCCCGCCGGCGGCGCGGCTGCATCGGCGGCGGCGGCGGTGCCGGCGGCGGAGGAGGAGGAGGCGGCGGCGGCGTCTGCGCAGTCGCAAATCGGGAACGATTTGAGCGCCACGCGTTTTATTGGAGCGTATAAGAAAGCTGTTTCCGGTGTGGACCCAATCAGTTGCGAACAACGATGCATAGATATTATCAGAGCACGTCGTTTTGTTAGCATGTTGACCACAAGTACCGCGTGGTTATTAATGCAGACAGGATTCCTCGAAAAAGGATTCGGTTTGGTGTTTTCAACATCTTGACACAACTGTTTTATTGCCAGAAAGAGTACAACCTATTGTTATAACGCAAGGGGTGGGGAGCGTCCGTACGAGGCCCGCGAAATAATTTGGTCTGGCCCTGCCGAGGCAACCGCACGACTCGAAATTCAATAAACCCAGGAGCTTTTTGTCATAGCAACATGAATGTAAATTTGCATGGCCCGCGAATGACGTTATAAATATCCAAACGGCCCTTGGCAGATAAAAAGGTTCCCCACCCCTGTTATAATTTGATACCGGCAAGAAAGGTCCCCAGGTCGAATGCAAGGTAGTGCGTTGCGCTGCAGCGCCGAATTTGCGAGCTCCAGACACGACTCGCCGCTCACAGCGACCTTGGGCCGTGCCTGGCGTTCCACGGCTTGCGAGACACCGGCCCCCGCACCGCCGAGCACCTGGGTTCCAATCCGGGCCGCGGCCGCCCGCAGTGGCACTGGGATTCTCAAGTGTGGCGATGGGGCCGTCTCAACCCTGTCGCCAGCGACTGCACAGTGACGGTCGTGCCAAGTTTGTCGTTTTATTTGCGAAACAATTCAAAAAAGAAGCTTGAAAAAAAAAAAGGAACAGAACTCAGGTGAGGTCCTCACTTATAATGCGTAATATTCACGCAACGCGGTTTCGCTATAACGCAGTTCTTCTCTTCGGGAACGCTTTTTGCACCCGTTATAACACGCTCCGTTATAGCACGCCCCGTTATAGCACGCCCCGTTATAGCGACCCCCATTATAACGGCGCACATTCTAACGGCACCCGTTATAACACGCCCCATTATCACAAGCCCCGTTATAGCGACCCCCATTATAACGGCGCACATTCTAACGGCACCCGTTATAACACGCCCCGTTATCACAAGCGCCGTTATAGCGACCCCCATTATAACGGCGCACATTCTAACGGCGCACATTCTAACGGCACCCGTTATAACACGCCCCGTTATCACAAGCCCCGTTATAGCGACCCCCATTATAACGGCGCACATTCTAACGGCACCCGTTATAACACGCCCCGTTATCACAAGCGCCGTTATAGCGACCCCCATTATAACGGCGCACATTCTAACGGCACCCGTTATAACACGCCCCGTTATCACAAGCCCCGTTATAGCGACCCCCATTATAACGGCGCACATTCTAACGGCACCCGTTATAACACGCCCCGTTATCACAAGCGCCGTTATAGCGACCCCCATTATAACGGCGCACATTCTAACGGCGCACATTCTAACGGCACCCGTTATAACACGCCCCGTTATCACAAGCGCCGTTATAGCGACCCCCATTATAACGGCGCACATTCTAACGGCGCACATTCTAACGGCACCCGTTATAACACGCCCCGTTATCACAAGCCCCGTTATAGCGACCCCCATTATAACGGCGCACATTCTAACGGCACCCGTTATAACACGCCCCGTTATCACAAGCGCCGTTATAGCGACCCCCATTATAACGGCGCACATTCTAACGGCACCCGTTATAACACGCCCCGTTATCACAAGCCCCGTTATAGCGACCCCCATTATAACGGCGCACATTCTAACGGCACCCGTTATAACACGCCCCGTTATCACAAGCGCCGTTATAGCGACCCCCATTATAACGGCGCACATTCTAACGGCACGCGTCATAACGGGCCCCGTTACAACGCGTGCCGTTATGACGTGTCCATGGCGTACGTGTTTACCGAGTGGACTTGCCGTACAACATGTTTGCAATTGACAGGAGTAAAGTTGGGACTTATGAACAAATCGACTTGTGTAACAGACCACTGGAACCAACCTCGTTGGTAAGTAGAGGATTCCCTGTACCTTGATCCAGCACACGTGGGCCCGTTCCTGACACCACGGGGTCGACGACAAATTACTTTCTTGAGATGCACGACTGATTGATGGTGATGCAGAACATGAAATGAACTTAACTGTAAACGAAAACAAAAAAAGGTCCCAATGTTGTGTCTGCTGACCCCAAGCTCTGAACGCCCTGATGATAGTGGCATTGTCTTTGTGCTGTTCACCTTAAGGAGTTGTCCTCTGGTCTGACGCTGGTTGAGACTAGGCCCTAAAGATGGCTGCTGTCTCTGATGTGTAGGCCAATCAGAGCGTGTTTGTTCGCACGTTCACCGCAAGTACGTGCAGTTAATGCAGACCCGATTCCTTGCACAAGGGTTCTATTTGGTGTTTGAACCTCTTAACACCAAATATAAAGGGTAAAACCTATTTTTATTTTTTTTCATTCTAAACTGAAATACTTTTATTTAAGCAGGTAAGGCCCACTGAACTACAAAGTCATTTTTCAGAAGCGATCTGGCTATATCACAAATGACAGCTCAGCAAAGTGGCTTATTGTCACGTGGCAATGTGCAGCAGCCAAACGCTATCAACGCGTGATGTTGATTCTAAATGTGGAGGGAAAAAACAGAGGACCCGCAAAAAAAAGTACACACGAACACGGGGAGTACATACAAACTCCAAATATACAGCAGCAGCAGGCGTCAGGGTCGGGATCGAACCCACGGCCTCCTGCATACCAGGCGAGGGAGCTAGCATCTCACCACCGTGACGATGAGAGAGAGACACGCAAACGCCAAATACACAACAGGTTGTCACAGGGTCGGGATCGAACCCACGACCTCCTGCATACCAGGCGAGGGAGCGAACACCTCCTAGCCACCGTGGAATCATACAACCACAACCAACGGGTTATCAGGCCCGTCCCTAGCTTGGCCCCGAGCTAAATTAAAATGCTTTGCAAAAGCTAGAGCGCAAGTGTTACGTACGCACGTCCAACTTATTTCGCACCGTACGCAGCCAATGGGGGGGGGGGAGGGGGGGGGGTTCTGATGTGCCCGCGTAAAAGGGCACGGCGGTCAGAGCGCGACGCGTGACAGGCACACGCGGCTCTCCTCCAGCTCCAAGCGGCAAAATCGGCACTGCCGGGCAAACGCCCGTCTCATGTCGGCGCGCCACGCTTCCACCAGCGGCGCCAGCGCCTCCGCCAGCCGCACGGGGACGCTGAACGAGCAGAGGGTGTGCCGGAGACCCGCGCCGCCGCCGCCTCCTTGGTCGCGCCCCCGCAGCTCGGCCACCGCGCGGTGGACCGCCAACGGCTCGCCGTCCAGCGCGCTGCCCGTGCCGTCGCCGGGGTCGTCGCAGCGGAACCAGTAGCACACCGGGTAGCCCAGCAGCAGCCCGTACACGGTGCACAGGTTCCAGCCGGCGGAGAGCTCGTCCGGGATCGCCAGGAGGTCGTAGGCGTCGCCCTCCCCACCGGCGTCCACAACCCGCGTCGCCTCGTCTCCGCCCCAAGCCACTTCGCGACGTCTCCCCGCTCCGCCGTCGCTCGACGCTTCCCCCGTCAATTTCCCGACGTCGCTTTCCGAGCCGCCGTTCTGCCTCCCGTCACCGTCGTCTTCCCGCCCCGCGCCTCCTTCCCCGTCCCCTCCGGCCCGCTCCTCCGTTTCTCCGCCCCGTCCAGCCCCCCGGCGGCGCGGGTTCCGCTCGCGGGCCTCCAGCGCGTCGCACAGCGCCCGCACGTCGCCGCTCAGGGTCTCCAGCCGCCGCGCGTCCAGCGGTGCCGGCGGCCTCCCCGCCGTCACGTCCACGACGCCGGGGAGGCCGCGCGCGAGCCGCCGCCTCAACGACGCGGCCGCCGCCCCCGCCGCCCCGACCACCAGGGGCCGCCCGCTCAGCTCGACGACGGCGAGGCCTCCCGGCGGCAGGTGGCCCAGCGCCGCGAGGCCCCGGGCGAACGCCAGCACGCGCGCGGCGCTCGCCGCGGACGCGTCGTACACGAGGCACGGCTTGAGGCCGAGGAGCACGGCCGCGAGGTCGCGCGCCACCCCGCGCGCCGTCCCCGACGACCCGGACGGCCCCGCCAGGCGACCTAGCGTCGCCCGGGCCAGCGCACGCAGCCGGGGTCCTGCCGATGGGCTCGCGACCTCGTCTGGCGATAGTTTGGGGGGTGAGGGGTGGGGAGGAAATCGGACAGGGAAGGAGAGCGAGGGAGGACGGGACGAGCCAGCAATCAGGAAGGTGACACACCCCCCAGTGCTGCCCACCAAGCCCGCAAAGTCCCACAAGGCCCGGTTCGAACCGTCGCAAGTCAAAGTTCAAAGTGGTTCTGAGCATTGCCGACCAAAGTGGTTCTGCGCGGGGCGCTCGCGGTACTGGTGGGCGATGCCCATGGTGGAAACTCCACCTTTCCAAGTTGGGGGCCAGTTCTCTCTCTTCCTACCAGTAACATGTTCAAAAACCAAATAGAAACCTTTTGCAAGGAATCAAGTCTGCATTGACCACACGCAGTACTTGCGGTGAATAACATACATGTTTGGATAATAATGTATGCATTGTCTTTGAAACTGATTGGCCTACACCAGACAGCCTTCTTTAGGGCCTCGTCTCCCCACTAATTCTCAGTACGGACGCATTGCTTAATCACCGCACCTCCGATTGGCACGGGTTGACTACGTACGGTGCAAAAGAAGTTCACCATGCACACATGAACAAAAGACCTTCATGTAAATAATAATAAGTAATGTATGCTACGTCATTTAAACATCCAATCACAGGCGGCGCAGTGGACAGAGCCTACGACTCAACACCCGCCAAGTTGTGAACTCGGGGCCTGGTCGGGAGTGATGTTAAATCACTCTTCAACACACCGGTGGGCTAAAGTAGTGAACTATTTGTCCTTTGTAAACGTGACACATTTTTTACTGTTTGGCAGTGTCGGGTGGTGGAGGGTTACGACACATTTATAAATAACGCGATCTAACCCAAAAACTTTATTATGAAGGATTCTCCCTCGTTATTCGCGACGAGGGATACGTTCCACGCACGCACGTACGTACGTACAATAAATATTGGTTCTGGCTCCGTGTCTTTGACGCGGCCATTGTGGGCCTCTTGGAGAATCAAGGCAGCCCCGTGTGTTTTTGAGAGGCCGAGACAAACCTGTCCACGCAAATTCGGCGCAAGGAGGAGGGGTTACAGCGGGTCTGAGGGATGTCCCTTGGGGCCGAAATCCTAACGCCAAAAAATTCCCCTTCAAAGCCGAACTGCAACGCCCCAACCCGGTCCAGCTCTTGATGTAGAAGCCAAAGTAAAGCAGCGGAGGTAGATTGATGATCCAGCACTCGCCGATTCGCTCGCATAGGCGGTCGTAGTTCACCTCGCTGTCATTTTGATATCACGACGACTGTGGTTGCCGTTCCCACCCACAGACTTCGCTCATCGATTTGCTCTCCACCCATGTGTTGGACGTTTGTCTCTCGCACTGTTCGGCATCGCGCGGCGGCGGAGGCGCTTTCAGATACGCTGCTCCCGTGGCCGTCTGGAACGCTCTCTTCCTCCCGGATGTTAGGAAGCCACTGGGAGCTGTAGCACTTTCAAATCATCGTACAGATTGACGAAACTCATTTCTTTAGGACTGCTTTACGTGTATTGAGTTTGTGTTGTCACCTCCCCCCCCCCCGCAACCTATGATTAGCGCAGTTGGCTACGTACGGTGAGAAAGAAGTTAAACATACATACATAGAGTCACACAGAGACCTATAGACTCACACAGAGACCCATAGACTCACACAGAAACCTATAGACTCACACAGAGACCGATAGACTCACACAGAGACCTATAGACTCACACAGAGACCCATAGACTCACACAGAAACGTATAGACTCACACAGAGACCGATAGCCTCACACAGAGACCCATAGACTCACACAGAGACCTATAGACTCACACAGAGATCCATAGACTCACACAGAGACCCATAGACTCACACAGACCCATAGACTCACACAGACCCATAGACTCACACAGACCCATAGACTCACACAGAGATCCATAGACTCACACAGAGACCCACAGACTCACAAAGAGATCTATAGACTCACACAGAGACCTATAGACTCACACAGAGATCCATAGACTCACACAGAGACCCATAGACTCACACAGACCCATAGACTCACACAGACCCATAGACTCACACAGACCCATAGACTCACACAGAGATCCATAGACTCACACAGAGACCCACAGATTCACAAAGAGATCTATAGACTCACACAGAGACCTATAGACTCACACAGAGACCCATAGACTCACACAGAAACATAGACTCACACAGACCCATAGACTCACACAGACCCATAGACTCACACAGAGATCCAAAAACTCACACAGAGACCCATAGACTCACACAGAGATCCAAAAACTCACACAGAGACCCATAGACTCACACAGAGATCTATAGACTCACACAGAGACCCATAGACTCACACAGAGATATATAGACTCACACAGAGACCCATAGACTCACACAGAGACCCATAGACTCACAGAGAGACCTATAGACTCACACAGAGACCCATAGACTCACACAGAGACCTATAGACTCACACAGAGACCTATAGACTCACACAGAGACCTATAGACTCACACAGAAACCCATAGACTCACACAGAGATATATAGACTCACACAGAGACCCATAGACTCACACAGAGACCCATAGACTCACACAGAGACCCATAGACTCACACAGAGACCTATAGACTCACACAGAGACACATAGACTCACACAGAGACACATAGACTCACACAGAGACCTATAGACTCACACAGAGATCTATAGACTCACACAGAGACCCATTTCGTGAGAACTGCATTTGTGTTTATTTTTGTTATCCATCCTCCGATTAGCACGGTTGGCTACGTACGGCGCGAAAGAAGTTCAAACGTACATACGTAACATCCATTAGCAGACTGACCGTCGTTACATGTCACGCACATCACTGCTTTCCTCTTAATAGCCTCGATACATTGAAGTAACGCCAGCAACTCGTCCACTAACAACCGGAAAAGCGCGGTTTGTTGGTCGGACACTTGGCGCTTTTACGCCGGAAACTGTGTTAAAAAATAAGTAATATTTAAAAAAAACCTGTTTAAAAACTCGCTTTTATGAAATGTACCATACTAGTTAATGGAAGAACTCCACGACTCCAGGAAGTGGCCGCGAAGCTCGCCACAACGTAAGGGAGCGTTGGTGATTTACAGCCAACGTGAGTTGACCGTGGACAATTCGACCCAAGCCGAAGCATAACATGTAAAAAAGATTCACCATTGGAGCCTCCTTTGCCAGTAGCAAAATATGATAATTGTTTTTTTACCCTTTTATCTGGCAACAAAACTGACACCTTTTTTTTACAAGGAGTCATGTTTGCATTGACCACAATACCTGCGGTCGGAATGCAGCAAATAAAAAACACGACTCTGATGATGTATGCACTGTCCTTTTGGCGTCATCTGGTCCAACACACCAATGTGAGACTAGGCTCTAAGAAAAGCTGTCTCTGGTGTGGACCAATCAATTTCAAGGACAGTGCCAATACATTATCAGAGTTATGTTTTTTGTTTGCATTCCGACCGCAGGTATTGTGGTCAATGCAAACGTGACTCGTTGTAAAAAAAGTGTCAGTTTTGTTGCCAGATAAAAGGGTAAAAAAACAATCATCATAAAAAGAATGTTTAAAAATATTTTTTTTTATTATGATAGAATATAGTATTGTCATCAGTATGACATAAGTATCCCAAGTTTGCAGTCGATACCACATTGGGAAGTGGGTTACAATTGAGTTACAAGATTTGAGGATACAACGACAACAGAGTGAGTAAAATGAAAGCGTGTAAATAATAAAACGTTGACTGGATGGGAAATCTGGTCTCGCTAAGGTACTACAACAACAGCCGCTAAACAATGTTTTTTTTAGGTTTTACCGGGTAAGGCCCCCATTGAGCTGCCTACGTAGCTCTCCTGTCAGAAGCGACCTCGCAAATGATCGCAAATGATCGCAGCTCAACGAAGTGGGCTTATTATTATCGTCGTCAAAGCGTCGACATTTACAGCAGCAGCCAAGTATTTGACTCTTAAACGCACATTGATTATAAATGTGGAGGGAAAACCCGGAGGAATATCCACGCGGCCACGGGGAGAGAGAGAGACACGCAATCTCCAAATATACAGCAGCAGCAGGCGTCAGGGTCGGGATCGAACCCACGACCTCCTGTATACCATGCGAGGTAGTTAACATCTCCTAGCCACCGTGATGATGATGATGAGAGAGTCACGACGTTGTCAGAACCTTACCCTCGTGATCGCCACTGGACGTCGCCATCGCTGCACGGACGAATCCACGTCAAGGACCCCTCACCCCTACGTCAGCACCAGGACCCCGCCCGGGGCTGTCCTCGGATATCGCCTGATGGGAATACCGAATCGATTATTCGACGAACAGATTTTTTTTTCAAATACTGTATATATTCTTCAACCATGGACTCGCGCGTATAAGAATATACTTTTCTATATATATTTAAAAAAATGTTTCCACGCCACTCCCCCAGATGATTCGACTACAATTTTATATCTGCTATGGACCAATCGGTTTCAAAGACAATGCCAATATATTATCAGAGTACGTTTTTTTTTCTTCTTTGGTTCTTTCGGTAAAGTCACGTAGAATGAGAATAAAATAATAAATTGATAAATAAAATAACACAATAATATTATCACGACGTTTCGGCCACAACACAGCGCTGTCCTACCAGACAGTCTCGCTCCCTTCACCTGATGAAGGCCGCTTGTGTTGTGGCCGAAACGTCGTGATAATATTATTGTGTTATTTTATTTTATCAATTTATTATTTTATTCTCATTCTACGTGACTTTACCGAAAGAACCAAAGAAGATGAATCATTGCAGTCACGAAAGCTTTTAAAACGTTTTTTTTTGTTTGCATTCTGACCACAAGCATTGTGGTTAAATGCAGACATGATTCCTTGTAAAAGGTTTCAGTTTGTTGTTTGAACACCAAACACAACTGTTTTGTTGCCAGAAAAACGGGGAAAACCTCTGTCATTAACAATAATCTATAATCGAGACGTCAATTCGCTCCAAGAATCAATTCTCGGATCGGTAGCGGTGCATCGGTGCCTATGAGATGTTAACTACCTCGCCTAGTGCGCAGGAGGTCGTGGGTTCAATCCGGGGGGGGGAATGGGGGGGGGGTGCGTCTTATAATCCGGTAACCAGAGCCGATTCCTGATTTTGGGATCGATTCAACCGCAAATCGATTACTTAGAACGGGAAACGACGTCAGTCGGGTCGAATCGATCCCGTGACTCACGCCGAATCGCCGCTCGTAAGCGGCAGTCGATTTCTCGCGGATCGATTCCGCCTCTCCCTCTTTTCGACGCTCAACCCCCGGGCCTCGGCGCGTCGGACTCTTTGACTCCATCATTAACATCATCGGCAACATCAACAACAACATCAACAACAACAACATCAACAACAACATCACACCATCGTCAACAGCAGCGACATCAGCATCAGCCCGGTACGTGGACGCGAACTTTTCTCGCGGCGCATTTGCGAGAGGGGAGGGGAGGGAGAGGGGGCCGCGGCCTCTCCGCTTCCGCGTTCGTTGCCGATTTCGACGGCCCTAAAGGCGCCGGTTGCCATGGGAACTCCGCTGCTAATTGTCGCTAATTAAGATGATTGGTGGTGGTGAGGGATGGTGGTGGTGGTCTCGGTTCGAGCCCGGGACCCGGGGTTCCTTCGTATCGTGGCGAGACTTCTTTCGGGGAGGAGGAGGAGGGGGGGGGAGGAAGGCCGCATCCTACCCTCTTGCCTGAACGCCTTGCTGGGAAAAGTGATGGGAAAGCGGCGGGGGTGAGGGGGTGGTTGAGGAAGGTGTGGGGAAAGAAGTAACCGCCTTGACTGTTCGCCTTTTGGCGTTGTCCTCTGGCCTGACGCTGGTGGTGAGATGATGCCATGAAAGAAGGCCGCTACTCTCTCTCTCTGGTGGAGGCCAAATCGGTTTCAAAGACAATGATGCCCACATCTTGATTTGAAAGCGCAATCGAAACGTGATTTTTAAAATTTATTTCATACCTACGTGACTTTACCGAAATAACCAACGTAGTATAATGCCCTACCGCGCGTTGTAAAACAGGCGCGCTCTCTTGATTGTTATCGGAGCGTGTTTTTGTTTGCGCGTTCATCACATCCACCGTGTGCGGTTTAATGCGAGAACTTGATTCCTTGCAAAAGGTGTCTGCAGTGGTACCTCGATCTACGGAGTTAATTCGTTCCAGAAGGTAGGGAGGACTTATACCCAAAATGACGAATATACCAAACTATTTTTTCCCGTAAGAAATAAAGGTAAAGGAAATCATCCGTTCCAGAGCATAAGAAATTATATTTTATACGACATATTATACATTAATGGTGTTGTATAAACTAATGTAGACACTACCTATTACTAAAATGCATACATAAAATAAAAACACGTGAAAATTCACAGAGAGTGTACAGCAAGGGGGTTGTGCACTGAACGAGAGCTACAGGCAGGCTGAGGAGCGGCGCTTCGTCTCAGTCGTGAACGGGGTCTACGCGGGTACACGGTGACTCATCCCGACCCATACAAGTTCTAGCTAGCGAGACGTATCACAAGCAAGACGTATCACAAGCAAGACGTATCACAAGCAAGACATAGTATCCCAAGCAAGACGTATCCCAAGCAAGACATAGTATACTCTTTGGTTCTATTCGGTAAAGTCACGTAGGTAAATAATAAAACAACAATAATCACGACAACACAAGCGGCCTTCATCAGGTGAAGGGACGAGCCTGTCTGGAGGACAGCGCTGGAGTGGAAGAAGCCACGCTTAGATCACGACATTTAAGCTGTGTGAGAAGAAGAAGACCACAGCTTAAATGTCGTGATCTAAGCGTGGCTTCTTCCACTCCAGTGCTGTCCTCCAGACAGGCTCGTCCCTTCACCTGATGAGCCGCTTGTGTTGTGGCCGAAACGTCGTGATTTTTGTTGTTTTATTATTTACCTACGTGACTTTACCGAATAGAACCAAAGAGTATGGATACTTGCAGTCACGAAAGCTTTAAATCAAGACATAGTATCACAAGCAAGACGTATCACAAGCAAGACATAGTATCACAAGCAAGACGTATCCCAAGCAAGACATAGTATCACAAGCAAGACGTATCACAAGCAAGACGTATCCCAAGCAAGACATAGTATCACAAGCAAGACATAGTATCACAAGCAAGACGTCTCACAAGCAAGACGTACCCCAAGCAAGACGTATCCCAAGCAAGACGTACCCCAAGCAAGACGTACCCCAAGCAAGACGTATCCCAAGCAAGACGACGTATCCCAAGACGTCGTATCCCAAGCAAGACGTATCCCAAGCAAGACATAGTATCACAAGCAAGACGTATCACAAGCAAGACATAGTATCACAAGCAAGACATAGTATCCCAAGCAAGACATAGTATCACAAGCAAGACGTATCACAAGCAAGACGTATCACAAGCAAGACGTACCCAAGCAAGACGTACCCCAAGCCAAGACGTACCCCAAGCAAGACGTAGCCCAAGCAAGACGTATCCCAAGACTTCGTATCCCAAGCAAGACGTACCCCAAGCAAGACGTATCACAAGCAAGACGTATCCCAAGCAAGACGTATCCCAAGACTTCGTATCCCAAGCAAGACGTACCCCAAGCAAGACGTATCACAAGCAAGACGTATCTCAAGCAAGACGTATCGCAAGACGTATCCCAAGCAAGACGTACCCCAAGCAAGACGTATCCCAAGCAAGACGTTATCCCAAGCAAGACGTATCACAAGCAAGACGTATCTCAAGCAAGACGTATCGCAAGACGTATCCCAAGCAAGACGTCGTATCACAAGCAAGACGTAACCAAGCAAGACGTATCCCAAGCAGACGTACCCCAAGCAAGACGTATCCCAAGCAAGACGTATCCCAAGCAAGACGTATCCCAAGCACGACGTATCCCAAGCAAGACGTCGCTTCCCAAGACATTTTTTTCTCGCCAAAACACGCCGTATACCAAATTCGACGTATTCCAAAGCGGTCGTATACCGAGGTGTGTGACTGTATTTGGTGTTTGAACATTTTAACTCGCCACCAGTTGTATTGCCAGAAATGGTTAAGCCCTGTTCTTACAACACAAGTGTTTTTTTTGGGGGGGGGGGGAGGGGGGATTAGATCGCGTAAATATATGTATGTGTCGTTAAACCCACCACCACCCGACAGAACGTGGCCAATTCGTTACTAGTGCAACCGGTGTGTTAGAGAGCCAAGCCACACAACCCGGTGTTGCTGTACTAGTGACGAATTGGCCACGTTCTGTTTGTGACACAACCCTCACTAGTTGGCTGTGTCGGGTGGTGGCGGGTATGATGACACATTTAGATATTTACGCGATCTAACAACCCCCCCCCCCAAAACAAAAAAACCTCATGGATGATATTGGTCGCGAAAGCCTTGCTACGTGTTAAACATATTCTTGTCCTCGTACCTATTTGGTGTTTGAACATCTTAACGCCTCAGAGGGTAAAACACACTCGTATTTTCTCATGCCTATGGGCTTAAAAGTAGCGCGGATTGCGGCCCCATCTCGTGGTGCCCCCCGGGAGACGGGAGCCGAATTCGAGGCCCCTGTGGATGGCGCTTTGAGTGGAACGACGTGGGCGGGCTTCGGGTTGTGGGGCAGCAGAGGGCGGTGTAGCAAAACATCCATTCTTGATTTGAAGCTTTCGTGGCTGCAGGAATCCCCCATGCTCCTTGGGTTCTTTCGGTAAAGTTCACGTAGGTAGAAACATCCTTTCTTCCGAAACGTCACGTACATGTTCTAGTGGATTTGCTCTCCCAACACACCGGTGGTGCTGTACTAGTAACGGATTGGCCACGTTCTGTTTTACACGACACAACCATTGCTTTTCGATTCAAAGCTTTCGTGACTGCAAGGATTCATCTTCTTTGGTTCTTTCGGTAAAGTCACGTAGAATGAGAATAAAATAATAAAATAAAACAGTAAAATTCTCACGACGTTTCGGCCACAACACAAGTGGCCTTCTTCAGGTGAAAGGAGCAAACCTTCTACGTGACTTTACCGAAAGAACCAGAAAAGACAACCATTGCTAATTGGCTGTCTGGTGGTGACGGTGTGTTTAACGGCACATTCATATTCATGCGATTCTAACCCCCCCCCCAAAAAAAAAAACCTCTTATGGGTCCATTCTTATCCCTGCACTTCATATGCTCCCACGTCCATGGCTCTGGACTGCCTCCGAACATCGATTCACACTTCGACCAGCGTGGGGGAAGTTTATGGGTGGGTGAAGTAAATTATTTACGTGACATTCCTTACTAATTGACCGTGTCGGGTGGTGGCGGGTTTAACGACACAACATTTACGCGATCCATGGGGATTCGTCTCTGCCTCAGGCGTGGGAGCAGCGAGGTCCTCATCCAGCAGTGGATTGACAAAAGGGCGCTTCTGCGTAACTTGAGAAGGTGGACGGGGTTGGTAGGAAAGTGGAAGAGCGAGGGGGGGGGGGGGGGGGCGAGGGTTGAGTGTGGAGGGGGGAGAGTGGGGGGAAATGAGGTGCGTCGGGTGTCCCTGGAAAGGAAAGTAAAATGATTTGCGAGAGGGGGAGAAGAGGAGAGGGGGAGGAGTTCACTCCTCAAATGAGGATGGAGACTGGGAGGCGGGAGGTTGCGTGATGAGTTAGGGGTCGGGGATAGCCGGGGGGGGGGGGAAGAGGTTTAACCAGAGGCCGAGACGACTCGCCCACTGCCTCGACCAGTACGTGGCAAAAGTCGCTCATCATAGCCACTGTCCCTAACCTCACCCATCTAACCCCAAAACATTTACCCCATAAACCTTTAATCATCAATCCCTGATTCTAAACCAAAAGCTTCTAATCGTAAAACAATGCCCTAGCCTCTGACCCACAAGCTTAACCCAAGACTTCAACAATAACCAATAACCACAATCCGTGACGCAAATCCATGCCACTAACTCCTAAATGGTGTTCCTGACCCTAGACCGTAAACCCAAACCGTGAGCCAAATTGTTTACCCTAAATGCACTAATCAAAAATATTTAAATCCAGAATGTTGAGAAATGCTGGGTTAGAGCTAAACTTTAGCGATTTCCACACATGAGATAACCTCACAGTAAAACTTTTAAAATCCTAAGAATACCCACACTTAAACTATTCTTAAAAATACAACAATTTTTACATTTTACCAGGTAAGGCCGACTGAGCTGTATAGCTCTATATCAGAAGTGACCAGGCCCATATGTGGTTATTTATAACAGTGAAATACTGTAAATGCATAATTCTAAATGTGGAGCCAAAAACCGGAGGACCCCGAGAAGAATCCACTCGATCGTGGGGAGAGAGACACGCTAACTCCAAATACACAGCAGGCGTCAGGGTCGGAATCGAACCCACGACCTCCTGCATACCAGGCAAGGTAGTTAACATCACCTAGCCACCGTGATGATGATGAGAGAGAGACACGCTAACTCCAAATACAGCAGCAGGCGTGCAGGGTCAGGAACAAACCCACGACCTCCTGCATACCAGGCGAGGTAGTTAACATCTCCTAGCCACCGTGATGATGATGAGAGAGAGAGAGACACGCAAACTCCAATATACAGCAGCAGGCTGTCAGGGTCGGGATCGAACCCACAACTTCCTGTAGACCAGGCGAGGTAGTTAACATCTCCTAGCCACCGTGATGATGATGAGAGAGAGAGAACACGCAAACTCCAAATATACAGCAGCAGACGTCAGGGTCGGGATCGAACCCACGACCTCCTGCATACCAGGCGAGGTAGTTAACATCACCTAGCCACCGTGATGATGATGAGAGAGAGACACGCTAACTCCAAATACACAGCAGGCGTCAGGGTCGGGATCGAACCCACGACCTCCCGTACACCAGGCGAGGTAGTCAACATCTCCAAGCCACCACGGCACCCCTCTCTGTGCGTCTACAGGGTCTCTGCGTCATTCGACCACGAGCACGCCGAGGCCATCGACTCCGCTGCACGAGAGAGAAGCTTCTTTCATAAGCGGGCGGCTGACACTGGGTTTTAAGCCCTGGATCTTAGCGGTGCGGGCTCTGTGTTCTGACCTCTGCGCCCCCCGCCGTCCACCCTTGCCTGTCTCCCACCGTGTTTCCCTCCCACCAGTGCCGCCATGGGGGGATTCTTCACGCGACTCTTCGACACCCTCGTGGGGAAGAAGGAGATGCGCATTCTCATGGTGGGGCTCGACGCCGCCGGCAAGACGACGATCCTCTACAAGCTCAAGCTCGGCGAGATCGTCACCACCATCCCCACCATCGGTGACGGAGCGCCGAGGGGTGGCCGGGCGGGCGGGCGGCGCGTGCGGCCCCGGCGGTGACCGCGGGCGCCGATTTTATCCAAAGTTTGCGATGGTAACCAGGGCAGGCCGCCCTGGTTACTGTCGCTCGCTGCGAGCGATGGTACCAGGGCAGGCCGCCCTGGTTACCGTCGCTCGCTGCGTGCGATAGTAACCAGGGCAGGCCGCCCTGGTTACTGTCGCTCGCTGCGTGCGCGCGTTGACCGTGACGTACGCCCCGTCTGTGTCGCAGTGGTTCTTAGGGGGGGGTACCCCCTGCTATTGGTCGAAGTCGGGCTGCAGGCCGTTCTGTGTGTGTGTGTGTCGGCAGCTTGGCCCAAGTTTGCTCAATTCAGAATGTTACCACTGCACTCTGCGTGCGCGACGTTGGCCGTGACGTGCGCGCCGTCTGCTTCGCAGCGGACCTTGGAGGGGTACCCCCTGACGTCGTTAGACAACGAGCAGTAGGCGTGTGTGTGTGTGTGTCGGCAGCGTGGTCCAAGTTTTTTCTTAAGTTCGGAATGTCACACCGGAAAAGTACTCCATTGGGATTGCACAAAGCAACAGTGTGCCCCCTTGCTGTGAAATAACGGAACGGTGCTGCAAATACCGAATGTACTAAGTGATTATTGTAAAGACCGTGTGGGTACAACTGTGGAAGTGTCTACGCTCCCTTTGACCTGGATTTTAAATGTAATAGTTTCCCCTCCTAATGGACTTCTCATTGGGTTGAATTACAGATAAATAACTTAAGAAACGGCCGTGTCTTAAGATACCATTCGGTGTCCGATGTGTCCGAAACACCTGCGCGTGTGCGCACAGTTCTGAAACCCATTCTCCTGGAGCCGAGTCTCAACCAAGACTCCGATCCTGAAACCCATTCAGTGGCCGTGACTTTTGAAATAATTTCCCCGACTCTGTCCCAATGGCGATGTCGGCAATGGTGCCGCGTGGCGGAGAATCCATCGGGATGTCTTCTTTGGTTCTTTCGGTAAAGTCACCACGTAGAATGAGAATAAAATAATAAATTGATAAAATAAAATAACACAATAAAATTCTCACGACGTTTCGGCCACAACACAAGCGGCCTTCATCAGGTGAAGGGACGAGACTTGTCTGGAAGTCGCGTAGAATTCTCATTCTCTACGTGACTTTACCGAAAGAACCAAAGAAGATGAATCCTTGCAGCCATCGGGATGTCTCGCGGAGCAGCGACCGCAAAAACCCTTGCATGCGTGCATGCGAGAGAACGGCCCAAGGAATTGGATATCGCAAAGCTACCTTTGGGATTGCTTCTAAGTGACTTATGATCCACAAAAGTAAGAAATCCTCTTGGTTTTTTTTGTGTTAATGTGGAGAGACCGATGCAGGAAGTGGCAAAAATTGCGTGCTTATTTATTTCGTTTGCAATTCTCCACAGCGACGCGAACCACCATTTTGACCTGTGCGATTATCAAAGTGCGCGACCAACGAGGACCCATCTCGTAGAGAGAGAGAGAGGCTCCTTGCCGATATCGTCACACCGGCAGCTTTCCAGCATTGGTTCGAGCAAGCCTGTTCCCGCTCATGAGAACACCGCGTGTGGAAACCGGTGCAGGAGTTATGCTTGTATTGCACGAATCCTGCTGAAATTATGCACCCCCAGGAAGGAAAGGTGCATTTTTTTTTATATATGCTAAATAATGTTGTAAACTAACCCCACAAGGTTAGGGCACGGCGCTTGCGCAACCAAGACCAATGTTCGTAATAAACCATAAACTGTGGCGTGTGCGAGTGGCCCATGTGTGTGGGGAGCTGCGGTGTCCGCGGTTAGCGCTACGAACCCGGCGACCCGACTTCGATTCCCACTCGCAGCCAACACCGGTGACGATTATCTGAACCGGTCCTGGGCCCTCTCCTAGGTCGACCCAGCCTCAAATGAGTACCCGGTGTCATGTAGTAAACATCGCCACCGAGGAGACGAAGGCGGGCCCGGGCGTGGTGTGGGCCACGCACTCCCCTCGTGTGCCGTGCCGGCACTCGCAGATGCTGCTCGCTAACAGCACTTGCCCCAACAGTCTGCCGAGGCTATACGGGGGACCTTTGTCCTTTTGTGTGCGCGTGTAGGGTTCAACGTGGAGACTGTGGAGTACAAGAACATCAGCTTCACGGTGTGGGACGTGGGCGGCCAGGACAAGATCCGTCCCCTGTGGAGACACTACTTCCAGAACACGCAAGGTTTCGGCCAAGCCCTACGATCCCTCCCCTCCTTCGCGACGTGTCGTTGTTGTCCCCGTGATCACAGTCAGAATCTTTTGTTTGGGCTGGAGGGATCTGACGAGCTACGCAGGTCCCGTTCACGCAGATGTCCAGTTGGGGCACGGGGCCAGAAAGTTACAACAACATCAATAGAAGAAGAAGAGGAAGAAGCAAAATAAACCGATTTGAGTGCAAAGTATAGGAAATGTAAGCAAGTCACTAAAAATAAAGTACGCGAGTACGAATTGCACAAGTGCGTCAATTCATGCTGACTTTTCAACAGTAAGTGCAAGCTTGAGCTAAGCAGCAAAACAACAACAGCCCCAGGCCACGGCAAGACAACAACAATCCCTCAATAATGTTGAGGGATTGTCTTGTCATTGTTCACCCACCTGGCAGGGCTGCAATGAACATTAAAAGTATTTCATTATTCTGTAAAAAAATGTATGTCGCTACGAACCCGGTGTCCCGAGTTCAATTCCCACTCGCGGCTAGCATCGGTGATTTCCCGCACCTCCGATTAGCACGTACGGTGTGAAAGAAATTCAACATACGGTGATGAATATTGAACCGAATCTCGGCCTCTCATAAGTCGACTCGGCCTTAAATGAGTATCCAGTGCAGTGTGTAAACATCAGCAATGGGGAGACAAAGGCGGCCGGGCGTTGTGCTGAACCACACCGCTCCCTCGTGAGCCGTGCCGGCCTTCATGGGTACTCGCTAACGGCACTCGCCCTCGGCAGCTTGAGCAGGCTACACCAAGGATCTTAGTGTCTGTACTTATGCTTGTGGGATGTACACGCTTATGCGGAGTAAGTGTGCGCGCATGTATGAACGTGTGTTCACGTGTGTTCACGTGTGTTCACGTGTGTGCCCAGGGCTGATATTCGTGGTGGACAGTAACGACCGCGAGCGAGTGAACGAGGCGAGGGAGGAGCTGATGCGGATGCTTGCGGAGGACGAACTCCGGAACGCCGTACTGCTCGTGTTCGCTAACAAGCAGGTGTGTGTGTCCCCACTGTGTGTGTGTGTGCAGCGGTGGTGTAGCTATTAGCGCGCTGCACTACGAACACAGCGAGCCGAGTTGAATTCCCACTCACGGCCAACACCATTGATGATTATCTGAATCAATCCTGGGCCTCACCTAGGTCGACTCATCCACAATTGAGTACCTGTTGCAGTGTGTAAACATGGCCACTGGGGAAAACAAAGGCACCCCTCGTGTACCGTGCCAGCCTTCATAGGTGCTCGTTAACAGCACTTGCTCCTGCAGTCTGTTAAGGGTATACGGGGGATCTTTGTCTTTGTGGAGTGGAGCAGCTACGTGGCTAAAATACAGCAAGTTGGCACCAGTAGGGGGCGCAGCTGGTTCATCATCTCAGTCAACCCACGGCACCTGGGTCTATCCCGTGACCTGTCAGCGAACCTGTGACACTTCACGTGGCCTCAAAATGTACCTGGCCTGGCACAGGTGCCGCGGTGACGTCACCGTCACTTCAGTGGCGAATGGCGAGCATTGGCATTGGGAGATCGCCAACTCGCACCAACAGTCCGTTAGAGGCTTACACGGTGGGATCTCCGTCTCTGGTGCCGCACAGGACCTGCCCAACGCGATGAACGCGGCCGAGATCACGGACAAGCTGGGCCTGCATTCGCTGCGCCAGCGGAACTGGTACATCCAAGCGACGTGTGCCACCAGCGGGGACGGCCTCTACGAGGGCCTCGACTGGCTGTCGAACCAGCTCAAGAACCACAAGTGAACGCGGGCCGTCGGAGGCGGGGAGGAGAGAGGACGCACGCACACACACTCGCACGCAGGCGCTCGCGCGCTAGCACGCACGCACGCGCAGAAACACACGGACGTTGCCGGGGGCAGACGCGTGCAGAGACACGAGGACAAACGCACGCACACGCAGACGCAAAGGCAAAGATTTCCCCGTGTGGCCTTGACAGACCTGCCGGGGCAAGCGTTGTCAGCGAGCACCTACGAAGGCCGGCGAGGTGCACGCGGGCAAATGCTCGGGCGCGTTCACGCGGTCACGCGCACGTGTAGAAGCGTACCAGACCCACGCGGGGACACACGCACAAACGCATACACGGCTTCGTACAGACACAGGCGCGCGCCGCACGCGTGCAGGGACGCACAGATGCAGATAGAGCACACGCGCTGGCATGCGAGCAAGTCGCAAGCCGCATATACGCACATGGACACGTGCCCAGATGCACGTATACAAATGCACGTTTCAATACGGACGCAAAGCAAAGAACCCCCGTGTAGCCTTTAAGAGACTGTTGGGGCAAGTGCTGTTGGTGAGCACCTATGCAGGCCGGCATGGCACATGAGGGGGTGGGTGGCCAGCACCACGCCCGACCGCCTTTGTCTTCCCAGCAGCGATGTTTACTACACACCGCACCAGGTACTCATTGTGAGGCTGAGTCGACCTACCGGAGGCTCAGGACCAGTTCAGATAATCGCCACTGGTGTTGGCCATGAGCGGGTATCGAACTCGGATCGCCGGATATCGTAGCGCGGCGTAGTGCTAACCGCTACACTGACCGCTCCCCAGAGCACACAGACATACATACAGGCAGTAACACACACACACAGACACGTTCAGACTTGGACAAGAGAGAGCTGTAGATATCCTGTTGAACCTTATCGATCACAGGGGCAAATGCTGTTAGCGAGCATCTATTAAGGTGGTGGCGGGAAGCGTGGGCAAAATCTACCGGGAAATTTGTGTATGGATTTAAACACTACAAGTCTATCGTGACACTACAGTCAACGTTGGCCTAGGTTCCATCCCTGGCTTTGATGCAGGCAGGGACTTTGTGTCAACCTGGTCTCGGGCTCCCCTAAAGTTTAGTTTGTTGTCCTTCCCCCGCGCCTTCGATTACCAAGGTTGGCTACGTGCGGTGCGAAAGAAGTTCAACGTACACGCGTGCAAGTTAATCGGCCATAAATGAACACCTTGTATCAGCGCTGGGGAGACGGTTTGAAGGGTGCTCAAGCAACTGGCCACAATACTCTATTGTATGCATCTACGTTGAACTTATTTCGCGCCGTACGTAGCCAACCGTGCGGGGGAAGGGCAGCAAACTAATACAAACAAAAACTGTTCTAAATAAAATAGCGTGCCGTGTCGGGCCCGAAATAGGTGCTCCGCTAGCAGCGAATTCCGCCAACAGCCTGCGAGGCTCGGCAAGCGTGTGCCCGCAACGTACGCGCAACGTACGCGGCGGCTGAGCGACTCAAGCAATTCAAATGTAGTTCTCAGGCTCCAGTTGACAACGGATCCGGTCCTGTAAGCATCAATTATTTCCGAATCACGTGGGGCTCGTTTTTTGTTATTGTTGTTGTTGTATGCGTGTGCGTTCGCACGTCCGCACAGGTGTACATACGTTTGCACACGTGTTTACGTATACAGCGCACACCCACGCGCGTGTAGAAGCACAGACACCCGCGTACGTACGTACAAGTGCGCGTTGCGCGTGTTTAACGTGCAACGCACACGAGTGCTCGCACAGACGTTGTTAGCCTCTCAAGAGGGGGGCGGCCACGACGTTTCCTGCTGGCGTTGGTGCAGAGGGAGCTTTGACTCGAGCGCACGCCAGTGGCACGGAGAGCACAGAGACCCCATCGCAGTTTCATCAGGGGCTCATCACAGCCTCATTCCAGGCCCTGTCACAGCCTCGTCACAGCCTCGTCACAGCCTCGTCACAGCCTCGTCTCAGGCCCTGTCACACCCTCGTATCAGGCCCTGTCACAGCCTCATTCCAGGCCCTGTCACACCCTCGTCACACCCTCGTCACAGCCTCGTCTCAGCCTCGTCACAGCCTCGTCTCAGGCCCTGTCACAGCCTCGTCTCAGGCCCTGTCACAGTCTCATCACATGCCCACGAGTGCCCCACCTCATCCCCATCACTACCCTCAGTCCTGCTAAAGGTTTAAATCACGGGCTGAGCTGACCTCGTGGTGAAACCTACTCGCAACTGTGCTGGATAGCAACAAGCCCACGGTTCGATCCCCGTGGGCTTGGCCGTTACGAAGCCTCCAACGTCGCCATTCGTGAACGAGTTTTGGCCATTGTGAGCCATTGTGTTTAACATCTCCCGATGCCACATTGGTTCTCCGCTGAGATTGTCCGATGGAGCTCGTTGGGGATGATGATCAGTTTAAGACGTAGGCATTCGTGACCGATATCCATAAGTTTTTCTTTGGGTGAGATGGCGTAAATACCAACGTCATCAAATCTCGCTGTCGCCTGATGATGCCGGTTGTAATTACTGGCGAAACGTCGTACTCGGATTGTAAATGTTGTGAATTTGCTCTCCAAACACACCGGTGTACTGAACTAGTAACGAATTGACACGTTCCGTTTACGTGACAAACCTTACTAATTGGCCGTGTCGGGTGGTGGCGGGTTTAACGACACGCATTTAAACGCGGGTCTAAACCCAAAAAAATCTGTTATGGATGATCGACGACGAGTCTCGGTCAGCTCTCCGGTTCCTGCAGGAAATTACTACAGCCATCTCCCCCCCCTCCTCCCAAACACTCACTTCCTATAAAGATGCTATGCAGTGGTCAAAGAATTGCGGGTGTTCGTTGCACGTTCGAGTTAAACACGATTTGTTTTTTGCCGAAAATTACCCCGGTCTCGTTCCAACTTCCCGTAGTGTATTTATAAACTAACACGTAAGTCAGGTTGGCGCTTATATATATATTTTTTTGTTTATTGTGGGTGGGGCGGGGGGGAGGGGGGTGACATCCCTGGTGTCATTCACGCATCCCGCGGTTGGAAACGCACGCGCCTTGACGTGGCTTCAAGTGTTCGTCGTGGTCTCGTCGTAACGGCACGTGGGGCTGCCCCACCCGTGCCCACCCGAGATTGTCCACGGACAAGATCGTCGCCGGCCATGATCCATCCACCGCTGGGTTGAAGGCCTCACCCAGGCCCCGTTGCCGGCTCTTCAACCGTCCCGCGACGATCCTTGCCGGCGCCCGCGCGAGAGCCGATTTCATCGCTCCGTCTCTACGCGGCGGTAATGCCTCTCCACCCCCTCCTCCCCCCCCCTCGTGTGACACGGGGAGCGTGAAGGATGAGTGGTTAGTGATGGGTTTTTGTGCGGAGGGTGGTGGCAGCGGTTTTGAGTTTTTTGTGAAAAAGCTGGCTGGCGTTTTTTCTTTTATTGGGTTTTGCAAAAAAAAAATTCCTTTTGTCATTTAACAATTAGGGAAATGGGATTTTGTTTGAGATTAAAAACTCACGGGGGTCGGGTGTAAGTCGTCGTGTAAAGAGGAGCCAGGCTGGACATACTTCGATGTCGTCGTCATTATAGAGGGAAAAATGCCTTAGCGTTACCATGTTTTTGTTGGGTTTTTTTTACGCCCTCGCCGAGTGTCGGGACTTTTTTTTGTTTGCCGCGTTCGGAATGCCTCCCGTAGACGTGTCCTGGGGTGTTCAGGGAGGAATCGGAGCGGGACCCGGAGGGAACCGCGCTGCAACGCGCGGGGGGGCGGGGCGGGGGGGCGGCGCTACACTCGGCGCTGGCAACGCTCCCCGTTGCGTTTGTCCGCACCGCCGATTAACCGGTTGGCTACATACGGTGGTGCCAAATAAGTTCCACGTACAGGGTGGTGACCCCTGTGCCCCCCCCCCCCACCCCAAGTTAATTATCCAAAACGTTATTTTTTTAAAGGGAAAAGAATGTTGGGGGGGGGGTGTGTCACGAAACATCTGGACCACCCCTGTGCATACTACCCCTTTATTGCACGTGGCAGATGGGGGGGGGGGGGGGTCACCCATCCAAGCGCTGCCCAGGCTCTTAAAATCCGACTTGGGCTTCCACGAAAGGATGGGACGATGCAAAGTGGCACTTTGGGGGAGCAAGAGTAAAGGGGGGGGGGGGGCAAACGCTTGATCGATTTGTTTTATATACAGTACATGTGTGTAAAAGTGTTGGCTTGAAAACAACAAAGTAAAATAATGTTGATACGTGAATGGCGTCTTTTCTTATTATCGAACAGGAATAAAGATTTCTTTTTTTTAAAATATCTATGAAAGTAAACTATTTACTCCCGGCATATTAAGAGTCGGCGGCGTTCTTGTAAGCGTTCGTTTAGGAAGATGCCACTCCTTTGCTGTTGCGTCTAACTCCGTTTTTCCTCGAGAAAATCGATCCATAGTTTCAAATTATTTTTTCCCCGAGCTGATCTCCGGTCAAGGCGCGCTCGGTTATGGCTGTTACGCTCCCAGTTTGAATACATTTTCTCATATTCCACGTGGCCCGATTGATTACTTTATATAGTGGATGTAATTACATGGTGTAATGCTGTAATATTAATAAATAAAATTACATCTCTTTGAAAACGGCACAGAGTTATTTATACTCATTTTTTTTAAAGCTCATTCAAATCGTTGGGGCCGCCCCACCGGTTTCCCGTAAATCTTCGGGTTTCAACTCTTCCCCCACGGAGCTCCGGGTGGCTGACTCTGAGGGTTCATCATGACCGTGTCGGGGGAGTCACCCAACCAACAAGAACGAAAGCTAAACTTTTTGTTGTTACCAGGCAAGGCCCCCCTCAAAGCGACGTAGCTCTTTGTCGGATGCCACCTGGCTATCACAGACCATCACTCGACCCACGTGGCTTTCTATCATCATCACATTTGTCGCAGCCGCCAAATATTCGCGGTGGCGGCAGTGGGGCGAGTGTCCTCGCCGCTCGCTGTGCCACGGCTCCGCTGGGTGAACTCCCCCGGTGGCCGAGTAAGGCGGTGGCGGCTTCAAGGAATCGGTCCGCGCCTTCTGCGCCCGTTGAGGCGCTCTGGGTTTTTACGACTGGCATCTGGACCAGCCCACAATGTACGCTTGTACATAGGATAAGGGTGCGTGGCTCAGTAACCCCCCCACCCCCACAAAAAAAGACAGGTTTTAAGAAAAGTTACTTTATTTTAATCACAACGATGAACAATCACTGTACAAACTTTACCTAGCTGAGTCTCAGTCGAAAAACTCTGACCCTGAGACCCGGTCTCTTGGAGCAGAGTCTCAATCAAGACTCCAACCCTGAGACCCAGGTCTCCTAGAGCCCAGTCTCAACCGAGACTCAGACCCTGAGACCCGGTCTCCTGGAGCCGAGAACTCAGACCCTGAGACCCGGTCTCCTGGAGCCCAGTCTCAACCGAGACTCCCGACCCCTGAGACCCGGTCCTCTCCTGAAGTCCAGTCTCAACCGAGACTCCGACCCCGAGACCCGGTCTCTCCTGAAGCCCAGTCTCAATAAGAAACATTTGCTATGGGTTTAAACGCAAGGCGGCAAGGATACGATTAAGCCGTCTTCGCCTCCTCCCGTCTCCTCTTCTTTCTATCTTTTTTATTCATGCCTGTGGGGTCAAGTGAGAAGCTTGGGTTAAGATCACAGTATGTACTACGTTGAACATCTTTCGCACCGTACTTTGCCATCTGTGCTAATCAGAGGTGCGGGGGAAGGACAACAAACTAAACACATGCAGCAGTTCTCAAGAAATTAATTTTCGAACTTGATTGGTTGCTTTCGTGACTGCAGGAATTACTCTGTTTTTTTCGGTAAAGTCACGGAGAAATAATAAAAATAAAATTATATAATAGCATACGACGTTTCGATTGCAACACAAGCAATCATCATCAGGTACAGAAGAGCTAAATTTAAGAGAGGAAACACATAACCGCAGATATATATACAAACCTTAAGTAGGGGGAATTAACACAGACACACCAGGGGACACAGAGAGAGACGGAGCAACACTAAATCAAACAGGGTTTAGCAAAATTTGGAAACTATATAAAGCAACACAGACGGTCGGTTAAAAGTCAGCCCCCCCCCAAAGTCAAAAGCCTGCCTCCGCCCCTGGTTTCGCCGAGTAAATTTTTTACTTTGGTCTGGTTTCGTTTTCGGCCGAAACCAGAAATTCAGTTTCTCTTACACAGCACTCTCACACAGAGCACAGGAGGACCTGCGTGGATGTATATAAATAATCTACATAATATATACATGAATATAATTTACATGATGAAACATACAATATTTATAAGATATAATGTATATTATATATATGGAGTACACATATAATCCGCCCCCGGATGGATGGAGTCACGCATCGGAGGACCCCCTGGCACACGATGCCCCCCCCCCCTCCCCGCTGCCCGTCGGCGGGGACCGCCACACCGTCTCACCGGAGACGCCGTCCTTGACGAACTGCAGCGCCGGCTTCTTGCGGGCGCCAGTCTTGTTCCTCAGCGAGAAGAACTCGTTCGCTGCGGCGGCGAGAACAATCACACGGAGCCTCAACGTGGGAGGGGGGTCACACGCGACCGGACCCGCCCCAGCACCCCCCCCCCCCCCAACCTCGCGTTTCGCTCTCCCCTTTGCCCGCTCTGCGTACCCTCGCGTGCATGCGTCTGTGTGTGCAACTCGGGAGACTGTAAGTAATATTTAAAAAAAAAACTTTTTTTTTAAACACGCTTTAATGAAATGTACCGTGCTAGTTAATGGCAGAACTCCAGGAAGTGGCCCCGAAGCTCGCCACAACGTAAGGGACCCCGTGGTGATTTACAGCCAACGTGAGTTGACCGTGGACAATTAGACCCAAGGCGAAACATAACATATAAAAAAATAATGTTTAAAAATTTTTTTATGATAGAATATAGTATTGTCATCAGTGTGACATAAGTATACCAAGTTTGCAGTCGATACCGCATTGGAAGTGGATTAAAATTGAGTTACAAGATTTGAGGATACAACAACAGACAAGAGTGAGTTAATAGAAAGCGTGTGAAGAGGCCGGGGGGGGGGGGACGGTGCTCTGGGTACCCGCCCCACACTCCTCAAGGCTCTACGTTGGAGTCTTTGTCGTCTTGGTGTTATAAGCATGGACATGTGTGCGAGAGTGCATGCGTGTCTGTGCATGCGTGTCTGTGCGTGCGTGTGTCGTATGTGCATGTCCATGCGTGTCCATACGTGTCGTCTGTACGTAATAAGGGTTTTTGGGTTAGATCGCGCAAGTACAGGTAGTCCCCGACTTACGATGGTCCCCGACTTACGATATTTCGATCTTACGATGTTACCGTAGCGATACGACAAAATTGTAAAATATTTTAAATTTCGCGCGGCAGGAAAACGCAGCAGCGTTACGAGGTACGATACTGTACGTTGGGACGCTGCCGGGATGTACGCATGTTAAGTTTTTATAGCAGATAGGATTGCTTCGTGAAAAACTTTCAATTAAATTTCAGTTCATATAGGTAGGCTAAGAATTTACCTTGTTTACATTTTACTGTGCAATACAGTATTGTAATTAATAAATACACAGTGTATATTTTATACAGTACGGTACTGTAAATTGCTCTGCTTTGCTGAATTATCACCATTCTTTAAGACTCCTGGGTAGGCTAAGGCCATCTTCGACTTACGCTATTTTTGACTTGCGATGGGGGTTGTCGTAACGCATCTCCATCGCAAGTCGGGGACTACCTGTACTAATGTATAGAAACCCTCCACCACCCGACACGGCCAATCAGTAAAGGATTTGTCACGTAAACAAAACGGCAAATAGTGAATACCTCAGCCCACCGTTGTGTTGAAGAGTCAATCCACAACATTTACAATCTGAGTTCGACGTTTTGCTGGTAATTACATCCAGCATCAAATAGTGAAGCCATCCACCTGCTCCCGGTCTTACATAGAGCAGGACGACGTCATCATTGCACCCAATCAATGAAACGCGATCTAACCCAAAAACCTTTATTAGTAATATTATTGGTCGCGAAAGCCTACGTGTTAAACTCGTCCGTGCGTGTCCGTGCGTATCGTCTGTACGTGCCCGTGCGTGTCCGTTCATACCGGAGACTCGCTGGCGGCCCTGCCCATAGAGGCGCTGCTGCAGGAAGCTCAGCGCCTCCTCGCGTTTCCGTGCTCCCAGCCCCTCGTCCCGCAGGCGCACCACGCGGTAGCAGCTCGAGCCGCTGACCACCGCACACAAAGAACAAATGTCCCCCGTGTAGCCTCAGCAGTCTCTTGGGGCAAGTGCGTGTTAGCGAGTAGCAGCACCTACGAAGGCCGGCACCGCTTCCGGCCGCCTTTGTCTTCCTAGTGGCGATGGTTTACACATCGCACAAGGTACTCATTTGAGGCCGAGTCGACCTAGAGGAGGCCCAGGAACCGCTTCGGATAATTGTCACCGGTGTTGGTGGCCGTGAGCGGGAATCGAACTCGAGTCGTCGGGTTTGTAGCGTGGCGTAGCGCTAACCGCTGCACTACCACTCCCCAATCACACACACACACAATAACTTGTATAACACAAACGAAACATTCATCAATCAATAAATTCAATCAATTAATAGCCAATCTATATATTAAATAGGCACTTTGTGAATGTGTGTCTATTCAAAACGTTTAGCATACTTCCCGATAATGCAACAAACTTGAAATTTGGCATGTGGGGAGCTTTCAGACTGTACACAATGGAAAAAAGTATAAAAATAGACTTTTGTATTTTGGGGGGGGGGTGGGGGGGGCGCAATAATGCATATATTGAGCGGTGACGTCACATCTGTGATGTCACCCGCATGCGACAGTGTCACGCAGCGTGCCTGCTGACGTCACGCAGCGTGCCTGCTGACGTCACGCAGCGTGCCTGCTGACGTCACGCATCCCCCCCCCCACCCTCCGCGTAGGCCGCGTATTAATCAAGGCAAGAATCCAAGTCCCGGGCGAAGCCGGGTAGTAAAGCTTGTCAATAATAAATGAGATTCAACCGGCATTCAAATACTGGGGGGGGGGGTGAGGTAGAACCAACCCAGGCCGCCCAGCGCGGCTGTCTTGTTGGGATCCGCGTTCAATTATTATTTGGCTGCTAGAAATGTCCACGCGACGTTGACAAGAAGCCACTTCGTTGGGCTATCCATTGTGATAGCCAGGGTTGGTTTCTGTAGCAGCTCGGCGGGGCCTTAAGTTTACTTTCACAATGGCTGTTGTTGTAACCGAAAGTGACTTAGCGTCATCTAGTACCGTGCGCTCTCCCGCCGCCGTGACATTCAAACGTCGCCGCGGACTCTCAAACGCCCGAGGTGATTCCATCTCCAAGGGGGTACCGTCCCCACCCCCCCACGCGACTCTCCCCAGCCATGGGCGTAGCCAACTCACCGCTTGGATTTTTCCCCTTCTCCTCCGCCGGGGCGCTCTCCTCCTCATTCCCGCTCTCCTGCTCCTCGTCGTCATCGTCGTCGTCCCGTGGTGACCTTCACACGCCGGCGGAGCGAGTCCAATCACACGCCGGCGGAGCGAGTCCAATCACACGCCGGCGGAGCGAGTCCAATCACACGCCGGCGGAGCGAGTCCAATCACACGCCGGCGGAGCGAGTCCAATCACACGCCGGCGGAGCGAGTCCAATCACACGCCGGCGGAGCGAGTCCAATCACACGCCGGCGGAGCGAGTCCAATCACACGCCGCCGGAGCGAGTCCAATCACACGCAGGCGGAGCGAGTCCAATCACACGCCGGCGGAGCGAGTCCATCACACGGCGCGGAGCGAGTCCAATCACACGCCGGCGGAGCGAGTCCAGTCACACGCCGGCGGAGCGAGTCCAATCACACGCCCGGCGGAGCGAGTCCAATCACACGCCGGCGGAGCGAGTCCAATCACACGCCGGCTGAGCGAGTCCAATCACACGCCGGCGGAGCGAGTCCAATCACACGCCGGCGGAGCGAGTCCAATCACACGCCGGCGGAGCGAGTCCAATCAACACACGGCGCGCGCGACGTCGGCGCCTGTGGCGCAGCGACCGGCAGAGGGCTCACGTCGCCGACGCACGGATCACATCGCGGTGCTCGAAATTGTAAATGTTGTGGATTTACTCTCCAACACACCGGTGGAGCTTAAATAGTATAGTACACTATACACTACACTACTATACACTACACTATACACTACACTATACACTACACTACACACTACACTACACACTACAGACTACACAATACACTACACTATACAATTGTACACGACACTATACACTACACTACTATACACTTCACTATACACTACACAACACACTACACTATACACTACTACACTACAGACTACAATACAATTGTACACGACACTATACACTACTATACACAACACTACTATACACTTCACTATACACTACACTACTATACACTTCACTATACACTACACTGTACACTATACACTCCCCACCACTCACTACACCTCTACACCATATACTACACACACACTACTACACACTACACTACACTACACTATACACTACAGACTACACTATACACACTACTATACACTACACTACACCTATACTAGTCACTAATTGGCGAGTTTTGTTTACGTGACAAATCTTATTGGCTGTGTCGGGTGGTGGAGGGTTACGACTCAGTTACACTTAATATATGCATTGTCCTTGAAACTGATTGGTCCACACCAAGGGACGGCTTTCTTTTGAGCCTCGACCCAATTGGTGCTTTACCAGATGACGCCATCTGGTAAAGCAATACTGCAGGTATTGTGGTTAATGCAGACATGAATCCTCGTAAAAAGGTTACAGTTTTGTTGCCAGAAAAAAAGGGGAAAAACCCTATCATTATATTTTGGTACTGGCAAAGGAGGTCTAATGATGTAGATAGTCACCAGAGTCTTTGACTTTACGAGTCCCGATATCACCGACTCGACCGCTAAACCCAGACACCACCCTCCACCCATAAACCACACGGCGTTAACCAGCTTCACACGCCCGCAGGAGGCCGGCAATGTTAATCGCAAGGCTTTCCCGTGAACGTGCGTGCAACCGGAGAGTCCGAATGAACACGCGGTTACCGCTCAGCTTTTCCTTTGTGGGACCTGCAGGCTTTCTGCAAAACACAAGGAGCAGAGAGAAATCGTCACTTACGCCACACCTACACGCTCTTTGAACTAAGACGGTGTCTAGACAGTGCAGTGTCTAGACGTGTCTAGACGTTGTCTGACGGTGCAAGTGGCAGAGGAGACGCAGCGACCACCGTCGCTGGTTCTCCCGAGTTCTCACGGTTCCCTCCCACACGAAGCCAAACTCTCAAACCAACGGAATTGGCCTGATATCTCAACGCAGCAGGACCCTCTTGGAAAAAAAAGTGTCTCGAGACTCTAAAGCATGTTTTGTGAGTGTGTGAACATTGACATTCTTTCGCACCGTACGTAACCAACCGTGCTAATCGGAGGTGAATAAAGTTGCGTTGTTATTATTCGTGCAATCTGGAGCCGAGGCTCAAGACTCCAAACCTGAGACCTGGAAATGGGTCACAAGACTCCGATCCAGAGACCTGGTCTCCTGCAGCTGTAGTTTCAGTTTCATTTATTAGGTATGACCCTTAGAGCCATGCAGCTCGTGACTCGGGTGCGACCGCAACAAACAAAAACATGAACAAGAAAGATCTTAAAGTGACTACACGCAACAGAAATATCCAGGAAAAAAACAGCAAAGTCTCAAGACACTGACCCGTCGATTCGCTGAGAGATACCCAGCTGCTTGAACCCTGTATTGCAGTAAAGGTTAAGAACCCCTGAACTAAACTATTTTTTTTTATTTTACCAGGTAAGGCCGCACTCAGCTGCGTAGCTCTTTGTTCAGAAGAGACCTGGGCCATCACAAATGCTAGCTCAACGAAGTGGTTTATTATCATCATCATGTGAACATTTATAGCAGCCAAAGACTCTAAATGCGTGACGTTGATTCTAAATGCGGAGGGGAAAACCGGAGGGCCCGGAGATAAAAAAAAATCCACGCAACCACCATGGTGTCAATACGCATACTCCAAAAATACCAGCTGAGGGAGCTAACATCTCCTATCCACCGCGGTGCCCCATGCACACTCACTGACACACACTCACTCTCAGGGGCGGAGCCAGGATTTCAGGCCGGGGTAACATTCAACAAATGTTAATTTCAAGAATGATTAAGAGAGTCAGGCTGTTGAACTAGACGCCATCGGTTGGCGACACGCTCTGACAAAGCAGTTGCACGGAGTCCGCCAGACCGAGTGTCGTACACTTACACGCAGAATATCACCCCTGTCACCCCGCCTGGCTCCGCCCCTGCCCACTCTCATACACACACAACAACCGCCATTCGCCACTAAGTGGTGGTGACGTCACCACGACGCTTGTGCCAGGCCACACACGCACACACTCATACACACTGACACAGACACTGACACACACACTCACTGACACTCTCACACACTCTCACATTCACCTGCTTTTTGCCTCTCCCACCGCCTTGAGAATATCTTCAGACAGCATCTTCCTTTTCTGTTTGGATACACGCGCACAACATTTTCATAACGGTAGCGCCAAAAGAAATACGCATTAATTTGTAACATCTGATCCACACGCACACGCGTGTTAAGTTATGGATCCTACTTTGTGAAGAACAGCCTTCACCTGCTATCCTTCATGGATGCTTGCCATTGACATCTAATAAACTAAACTAAGAAACGTTTTTTTTATTTTACCAGCTAAGGCCCACTGAGCTATATAGATCTTTTTAAGAAGCTACCTGGCCACAAATGATAGCTCAACAAAGTGGCTTATCATGTGTACATTTAAAGCAGCCAAATACTCTTAAACGCATGTTTGTAAATGTGGACGGAAAAACCGGAGAACCCGGAAAAAAATCCACGCAACCATGGTGAGAGAGACACGCAAACTCCAAATATACAGCAGCAGGCGCCAGGGTCAGGAATGAACACAAGACCTCCTGTACACCAGGCGAGGTAGTTAACATCTCCTAGCCACCGTGATGATGAGAGACACGCAAACTCCAAGTACAGTAAAACCTTGGATTGCGAGTAACTTGGTCTGCGAGTGTTTTGCAAGACGAGCAAAAATTTAAAATAAATATTAATTTTATAAACGAGTAGTGTACGTATATACGCTTTGTCACATGATCACAACTGATGTATGAGTGCTTTGATATACGAGTGCTTTGGATTACAAACACGTTTCCGGAACGAATTATGCTGTGCAATCCAAGGTTTTTACTGTATACAACAGGCATTGTCAGGGTCAGGATCTTACCCACGACCCCATGTATACCAGACGAGGTAGTTAACATCTTGCCACCGCAGCGAACCCTCCTAACCTGACCCCCTCCCCGTGTCTTCCACTCTTCCAATATACTTGCCACCTCAATCCGGGGCGCTTTTCCAAATCGAATCTCACCCTGCCGTCTATTATTTTCTGAGCACCACTCTTTCTCGGGTGACCTCCCATCGGCTCGTACGTACGTTGAACTTCTTCTGCGCCGTACGTCGTCAACCGTGGTAATCGGAGGTGCTATTAGCTCTCCCAAAACCGGCGTTCATTTTTGTCATCTAAGCCATCGAACAAAGTCGGTGGTCACCGCATCGCGCGGCACTTTGAGATGCGCTGCTTCTGCGGCCGTCTGGAACGCTCTTCCTTCCAATATTAGGAAGCCACTGCAGCTATGGACTTTTAAATCATCTATCCTGAAGAACGTATTTCTTTTGAACAGCGTTATGCGTGTTAAGTTTGTTGTCCTTCCCCCACAGCTCCGATTAGCACACTCGGCTACGTATGGTGCGAAAGACGTTCAACATACATAAATACATGCTAACATTGGCCTAATGCATACCTGTCAACCCGTATGGTTTACCTGTATTCCTATACAGGGAAATTGCGTTTCCAAGTCCACATGGCGTACAGCAAAAACAATGTTTGTGTCTGTGTTTCTCCCTTTGTAGGATGAACGCTGAGATTTATAAAGGGCACGGGGTGAGACCAATAAGGTCTGAATTGGTCTGTGATAAAGTAGGGCACTGATAAGGGATTTACAGGTATGTAGTGGTGGGTATACTAGTGGAGTGTACTAGTGGTGAGTGTCTATTTGTTTGTGTTTCTCCCTTGTGATGGGGGACTTTGTAGGATGAACGTTGAGATTTATAAGGGGCACGGGGTGACCAATCAGGTCTGAATTGGTCTGTAATTAGGACACTGGACAAGGGGTTGACAGCTCTGCTAATGTTGCACGTTTACTGGGCACTTGTTCGACCCAACTTGCTTCCACTTAAAAACCCAACGTGACGTCTGTAATCTCGCCGTGATGATGCGGTGTACAAGAGGAGTTCGCCTGTCGTCGTGACACCGACCTTCTGCTCTGTGTAGAGCTCATGTTTGAGCCTCCTCTTCTCTTTCACATCGGCCTTCTCCCTGCGGACAACACAAATAGCGAATGAAGGCTGGCCACGGCGCACGAAGGGACGGGTGGACAGGATTCAGCTTTGTGTACACGCCGTATCAGGTGCAGTGCTCATTTAAAGGCCGAAGTCGACCTCGGGTAGGCCAAAAAGACGCAGTTCAATTATTCGCCACCGTCATTGGGCCCGTGTAGGCGGTGAATCGGAAGTCGGCTCGCCGGGTTCGTAGCGCAGTGCGCTAACCACTGCGCCACCGCTCGCCACCCGTGGAACCCCACCACCACTCACGCATGCATCTGGGGGGAGGGTGTGACACTCACGCCTGAGCCACGGCTGTGCAGTGCCAACACGCGAGATAATATAACCTCGCGGTCAGCATGTCACAGTCTCAGTCGATCCAATAACATTAACCGCGGGGTCGTAGCCTTGACGGTACATTAACAACACCCCCCACCCTGTTGTCAATCCAAGTCTGGATGAGAGAGGGGGGTGGGGTGAAACTTAAGCAAATCGAGCAAAAATAAGTAATATTTAAAACTACTTTTTTAAAACACGCTTTAATGAAATGTACCGTGCTAGTTAATGGAAGAACTCCACAACTCCAGGAAGTGGCCCTGAAGCTCGCCACAACCTAAGGGACCCGTGGTGATTTACAGCCAGCGTGAGTTGAGCGTGGACAATTAAACCCAAGCCGAAACATAACGTATAAAAAAAAGATTGCTTACAAATATATATTTGTTATTTTTTAATGATAGAATATAGTATTGTCATCAGTGTGGCATACGTACACCAAGTTTGCAGTCGATACCACATTGGGAAGTGGGTTACAATTGAGTTACAAGATTTGAGGATATAGTTCATTTAGCTTATAGTTTATTTATTTTGGTATAGCCCTGTGAGCCGTTCTGCTCTTGAATCGGGTGCAACCACAACAAACAAAAAAACACGAACAAGAAAAACATCTTAAAGTGACTATGTGTGACTTTGTGCAAACAGAAAATCCATGAAAAAAAAAACAGCAAAATATTCCTGAAAAAAGCACCGTGTACACCACCGATGCTGTTTGCAAAAAATCCCAGGGGGATGCAACAACAGACAGAGTTGAGGACACAACAGAGCGAGTTAAATAAAAGCGTGTAGTAAAATAAAAGGTTACCACGTTGTATACCCCTCAAGTAATCGCGTGCCATCACGTGTGGAGTTAGCGAGCGCCTATTAAGACCAGGACCGACACCACCCTGCCTCCCGTCCCCTTCGTCTCCCCGGTATCGATGCTATTACATCCCGACAACCAGGCGATACCGTCAGAATCATTATTAATGCTGGGGGAATCCGATAAGCTATGAAGCTCTTTGCCACGGATGTCCAGTCGGGGCACCGGGGTTAGCCAGTTACAAATACGAATTTCATGCCGAGTCGCACCAGGGTTCAGGGGGCGATTGTAACAGCACACACACAAACCACGCGGTCAGAATTTCAGTCTGAGTAAACCTAGGCGTGAGACACCCACGACGAGGACGCTGTACTGTTCGCACGTTCCGCCGATGCTCAACGCGCATCGAGAGCCGAATGAAACGAAATGTTTAAGGCCGAGTCGACCTGGGGCACGGGGTAAAGTTACAGAGTGGAAAGAGACAAAGATCCCCCGGGTAGAATTAACAGACTGTAGGGGGCAAGTGCTGTTAGCGAGCAGCACCCGTGAAGGCCGAGGCAATCGCACGCGCTCGCCGGGTCACCGCAATCATTCAATGCCGAGTCGACCTGGGGGCGAGACGCACGCACGAGGGTGAACCAACTCACCGCTTCCTGGAATCCTCCGCTTCCTTGAGACTGCGCATCGCCCGGTCGCGGGCCACTCCCTGGGATAGCTCCTCGGGGGCATCCCCTTCGTCGTCCTCATCGTCCTCGTCGTTTCTCAGGGGCTCTCCTCTGAGAGCCGGGGGAGTCGTCGGGGGAGCCGGGGGAGACGAGACAGGGGCCGCGTTTACCGCCCTCGCGGCTCCGTCCACGTGTTTCTCCCTGCGCGGCGCCATGATGGATGTTGAGCGTGGCGGCGGTGGTTGGGGGATGTGGGGAAGGGGGTGGAGGAATCGATTCCGAAAATCGATGTGAGCGGGATGGTTTGAACGGACCGGGTCGATTCAGGAATCGATCTTTGTGCCGTTGCTGCGTTGGTAGAATCTGATTTTTTTTTAATCCTGCAGAAATCCGATGAGCTGTAAAGCTCTCTATATATATTTTTTCCCCCCTTACAGATGTTCTGGTACGGGGGTCATGGGGCGGGGGGTGGGGCGGCGGGGGGGTTCATAAAGTTACGACAAACAATGCAGAATATAATAAACTGATAAGATTGCAAAGTCTAGCAAAAAAATTACCGTATGCAATTTTAACTTAAAGCTTTCGTGACTGTAGGAATTCATGTTCTTTGGGTCTTTCAGGAAAAGTCACGTAGCTAGGCTTAAAGAAAACAAATAACAAAAAAAACTACGACGTTTCGATCACAACACAAGCGATCGTCATCACCTTATCCTGATTATTTTTTTTGTACCTGTGCCACCAAAATGACAAATTGCAACAACGAAGCCAAAAGTAACTGTATATATCTTTTGATTTAAAGCTTTCGTGACTGCAGTAATTCATATTCTTAGTTTTTTTCGGTAAAGTCACGTTGAAGAGAAACAACAAAATAACAAAATATATATATAAAAATTCTCACGTCGTGAGAATTTTTTATTGTTTTATATAACAAAATATATATAACAAAATATATATAAAATTCTCACGTCGTGAGAATTCTCACGTCGTGAGAATTTTTTATTGTTTTATATATATTTTGTTATTTTGTTGTTTCTCTTCAACGTGACTTTACCGAAAAAACTAAGATATGTATATATCTTCTTTGGTTCTTTCGGTAAAGTCACGTAGAATGAGAATAAAATAATAAATTGATAAATAAAATAACACAATAATATTCTCACGACGTTTCGGCCACACACAAGCGGCCTTCATCAGGTGAAGGGGCGAGACTGTCTGGTAGGACAGCGCTGGAGTGAAAGAGCCACGTTCAGATCACGGCCTTTAAGCTGTCCTTTGTCAAGGCGCTTTGTTCCTCTCACACAGCTTAAAGGCCGTGATCTGAACGTGGCTCTTTCACTCCAGCGCTGTCCTACCAGACAGTCTCGCCCCTTCACCTGATGAAGGCCGCTTGTGTTGTGGCCGAAACGTCGTGAGAATATTATTGTGTTATTTTATTTTATCAATTTATTATTTTATTCTCATTCTACGTGACTTTACCGAAAGAACCAAAGAAGATGAATCATTGCAGTCACGAAAGCTTTAAATCGAAATTTAACTGTATATAATAGAGACAAAACAACAAAAAGGGGAAATAAGGGTTAGAGGCCAGAACAGAGGTCTGAAACGTTTCCAAGAAGAAGAGCCATGAATTTTGATTTCAAGCTTTCGTGACTGCAGTAATTCATATTCTAGATTTGAAGCTTTCGTGACTGCAAGGATCCATCATACTCTTTGGTTCTATTCGGTAAAGTCACGTAGGTAAAAAATAAAATAACAAAAATTACGACGTTTCGGCCACAACACAAGTGGCCAATCATCAGGTGAAGGGACCGGACTGTCCAGAGGACACCTGATGAAGGCCACTTGTGTTGTGGCCGAAACGTCGTGATTTTTGTTATTTTATTTTTTACCTACGTGACTTTACCGAATAGAACCAAAGTGTAGTAATTCATATTCTTAGCTCTTTCTGTAAAGTCACGTTGAAGGGAAACAATAAAAGAATAAAATATATTTAAAGCAATAAAAATTTGTTTCAAATGTTTCTTGCCGTTGGTTTTCACACCTGATGATGACCGTTTGTTATGGTCGAAACGTCGTGAGAATTTTTTTATTGTGTTATTTTATTTTATCAATTTATTATTTTATTCTCATTCTACGTGACTTTACCGAAAGAACCAAAGAAGATGTTTTTCTTGTTCATGTTTTTGTTTGTTACGGTTGCACCCGATTCAAGAGCCGAATGGCTCACAGGGCTATACCTAATAAATGAAACTGATGACGATCGCTTGTGTTGTGATCGAAACGTGGTCGTTTTTTAAAATTCTTTTTTGTCATTTTCTTTAAACCTATCTACGTGACTTTACCGAAAGACCCAAAGAATACTGTATGCAAGTCACTCAAAAATAAATACGTAGAATCATGGGCGGGGGGCAATGCCCTCCAAACTGGACACATGTATTCTTTTCAAAACTTTACAATTAATATTAAGCGTGAATTAATTGCATGCACCCGCGAGCCCCAATGCGTGGGACAAAGCGAACCCCAACCCCCGTCAAACACAGAAGTTAAATTCCGCCTATGCATGACAGAGTTCAAAAATATTGACCCGATAATGAAATCGCGAAATCTCTACAACTACGCACCCGCCCATGAATGAAACGATTACCACTTGAAAGGGCGGGGCATAGAGAGGGCGGGGCATAGAGAAGGCGGGGCATAGAGAGGGCGGGGCATCGAGAAGGCGGGGCATAGAGAGGGCGGGGGCATAGAGAGGGCGGGGCATAAAGAGTGCGGGGCATAGAGAAGGCGGGGCATAGAGAGGGCGGGGCATAGAGAGGGCGGGGCATAGAGTTTAAAATGATTACCGCTAGATGCCTCTCCCAGCGCACAAACAGCCCCTAGCCTCGGTCATTGGCAAGACGGTGACCCTGCAACAGTTCAGCAAGACTGAGTCCGTAACTGCGGTGCGGCGGCGTTTTGGCACTGATCCGCCAATGTCAAAGAGCGTTCGTCGTTGGTGCCGACAATTGGAGGAAAGGGACCGTCCATAAATGACGTCACGCGATTTTGGACGATTTTTGACCAACCCTCCCCCCTCCTCGTCACACGGCGTCACAAAAAGTCACACCCCCCCCCCCCTCAAATATGACGTCACAAAGCTCTGCCCCCTCCCCCCCCAAATAAAAGATGCTTCAAATCGCTTTAAAGTATTGTCATTGTAGCGCGTATTTAATGTGGCGCTGGCACTCTGATGTTGTAGGAGAAAACATTTATTAAAAAGTCTAATTAAGTAGAACGTGTTGTCTATATTTATTTAAAGTTGCGCATTTTGATGTGACGTCACATTTCTCACCCCCCCCCCTCCTCGTCACACATCGTCACAAATGTCTGACCCCCCCCCCCAAGTGCGTGACGTCATTTATGGACGGCCCCAAACGGGCTGTTTATGTAAGGGGAATAGCACAGGGCGACCACGCACCTCAGAGGAAAACGTGAGAAGAGAGGCGTTTGGGGCGAATTCAACTATCGTCTCGTTGTTGTCCGTACAGCAGGTGGAGGGCACATAGAGCATTTATAAAGTGCTTAGTAGAACTTGATAACTCATTAAATCGTCTGTAACTTTTTGTGTAATTGTAACATGTCGCCATCGTGAAATATACCGCTTTTAAATTGGGTCCATCATTTTGAAACACCCCGCATATCAACTGTGAGTTCAAATGTGCAAATATGCCGTCAATCCGCAAGCTTGGGCTAGGCAGTGCCAGGGAGCACGCCCAGACAACGTCGATGAAGCAGTCCCAGGATGAAGTGCACACATTTAACGATTGAACCATCGGTACAATGGGTAAATGATCAAGAGTTGCGCATCACGTTTGCAAAACGGAGCCGCGTTGGCAGCTGCGCACAGCTAACAGCAGCAGCAACAACAACAGCAGCAGCACTCAACACATGCGTCAATAACAAAAACAACACTCTGTGTGCAGTTCCGGACTAAGCTAGTGCGGGGCCTGTAGCATATGTGTTGTTATAAAGGGGCCCTAAATACAAAAAAAACGTAATTATTAAAACACATTTTTAACTTGCATAGTAAAGTAATTTATTTTTTTTCATTTTCTATACAGCCCAGATAATACCACAAATCGCTAACCTTAAATACCCGGTCGTTCGTTAAAGTTGAAGGCAGTATAGTACTATACTCTTTGGTTCTTTTGGTAAAGTCACGTAGATATAAAAATTAAATAAATTAAATCACAACGTTTCGATCGTAACACAAGCAATCATCATCAGGTGGGAAAACCACAGCAAGAAAATGTTTTGCTAGTACTATAGTGATAGAGCAGGTGCAGAATCACTGAACCGGAATTGTAGCTTGAAAGCGTTTAGCGTGGGGGCCTTGAAAGTGCGGGGGCCTTCACGAGTCTCTGTGGAGGAGGCTCGTGAAGGACGCTACTGGGCAGTTGGAGGCAGTCGCCCTCCAACAACAACGGAGGGCGGAGGAGCGACGCTCACAACAACGAGCGGAGCGCCGTGTGGCTAAAGCACAGCAGGTTGGCACAGTAGGGGGCACAGGTGGTGCATCAGCCAGTCATCTCAGTCAGTCGACCCGTGGCACCTGGGTCTGCCCCGTGACCTCCTCCTGCCAGCGGGCGTTCGACACTTCACGTGGCCTCAACGTGCACCTAGCCTGGCACAAGCGCCGTGGTGACGTCACCGCCACTTAGTGGCGAATGGCGGTTGTTGTTGTTTGTTGTTGTTGTTGTTCTCCCCTCGTGTGCCGTTCCGGCCTTTATAGGTGCTCGCCAACAGCACTTGCCCGTCTGTTAAGAGGCTGCACGGGGGATCTTTGTCTTTGGGGAGCGGTGGTGCAGCGGTTAGCGCTACGCTGCGCTACGAAACCTGGCCGCCCGGGTTCGCGATTCCCGCTCACGGCCAACAACGGTGACGATTATCTGAACCGGTCTTGGGCCCCCCCCCCCTAGGTCGACTCAGCCTCAAATGAGCAGCTGGTGCGGTGTGTAGTGAACATCGCCACTGGGGAGACAAAGGCGGCCGGGCGTGGTGTTGGCCACCCACCCCCCTCGTGTGCCGTGCCGGCCTTCACAGGTGCTACTCGCTAACAGCACTTGCCCCAGCAGTCTGTGAAGGCTACACAGGGGATCTTTGTCTTGGTTCTCATTTATACCGCACGTGGTGGCCAAAGCGAATTCGTTCGCAACAGCTGACGGCAGTTGCATCAGCTGGGAGTTGATCGAGGACAGATCCATCGATTCGCCGGGAATCGATTCCCAATTTGCGATTGGATCCAAGCATCGATTATGTATACTGTATGCACATTGAGATTTTATAGAAGAGGCGTTGTTGGACAATTCGCAATTATTATTTATGATCCACAATCGATTGATGTTTGAAATTGCGTGGCAATGGCTTGTAGCGCCTCGCATTCATCGATTCCATAATCCCATCGATTGCTTTTCACGATTATTTTTGTGCGCTGGCGGTGTCTATCGAATATATCGCAGCTACCGATTTTCCGTGAACCAATTGCATGGAGCATTCCTGCGTGAATCGATCATTATCGATTATTTACGCACAATTCCAAGCGCGTAATGCAGAATCAGCGTTGGAATCGATTCAGAGTCAATCGTAAAATTCCATTCCAGTCGATTACCATTAACTTATTTTAAATAAATTTTCACTTTTTTCAAAATTTTCTTGCTGTGGTTTTCACACCTGATGATGATTGCTTGTGTTACAGTCGAAACGTCGTGATAAGTTTATTTTTTATATTTTTATTATTTTATTGTTTCCCTTCTACGTGACTTTACCGAAAGAACCAATAATAATTTTAAATATATAAATAATCCGCCCGACAAACACGGCCACGTGGTTGGAGGAGCACCACGTGTTCACGCCTTCGACGAATGGCAGCCGACTTGGAGAGCCCCTCAACCAATCACTACGCGCGGCCTTACGGCGCGGACGTGGTCAAACTTCTACCAATCAGCGGCGGGGGATTTTTCCGCGAGGCGTGGCTAAAGCCACGTTGTTGCGTTTTGCCCAATCGCGTGGCCTATTTGGGAGCCAATGGTAGCGTGGGGGGAGGGAGGGGGGGGACAAGGGGGGAGGGTGAGATAAAGGGAGGAGGGAGGGAGATTTGGGGGGGATTAAAGGGGGGGGGATAAGGGGGGAGGCGGAGTTGCCACGCAGCCAAAAATCACCAACAACCAATCCCGCTGCGGATATGGTTACGTCACGTTGGGCGCACATTGACCAATCGCATTAAGCCTCGGCCCCGTTCATACTCGCGTTTGACAATGTGGGGCGGGGCTAAGGCGGCGGGGGGGTGTAGAGTGGGGTGGTGCTATGATAAAGAGGGCGGGGTTAAGAGGGGAGGAGCTATAGCGAGTAGCGGGGCAAGAGGAGGAGCTTCGACGAAAGACAGCGGGGCTCGGGCGTGAAGAAAGGCGTGGCTAGCGGTATGAGGGCGGGACTATGGGCGGGAGCTAGTCTTGGAGGCGTGGCTAGGGGGGCGTGGTCTATGGGGTATTAGGGGCGGGCTGGTTGGGGGTTGTCAAGACAGACACAGAGGATCTTGAGTGGCGATGCGTGATGTGTTGGACATCAAAACAATTTAGAGCGTCGCTTTCTCGTGTGCTCATCATTTAAATACATTAACGCGCAGGATTAGAACCCCGTAAACAGCCGAAGTGTTTACACACAGCCGCCGGTGGCCACTGAGGGCAGAAGTTTATTTGACACGTGGCCGCTAACGAGGCCTTTGCCTCGGCTTGTTGTTTCGGCAGTGTGCGTTGGGGGGACACTCACCGTGGGTTTTAACTTTTTGTCTCCGCGGCCACAATGAGCGTGGGATTCATCGGCGCCGGGCAGCTGGCGTTCGCCCTGGCGCGAGGATTCACGGCTGCGGGTGAGTTAGTGCACCTAGCCTGGCACGGTCATTTCATTTCACCTGTGTGAGTGCACCTAGCCTGGCACGGTCATTTCATTTCACCTGTGTGAGTGTATGCACTGAGCCTGGCACGGTCATTTCATCTCCCCTGTGTGAGTGCACCTAGCCTGGCACGGTGATTTCATGTCACCTGTGTGAGTGCACCTAGCCTGACACGGTGATTTCACCTCCCCTGTGTGAGTGCACCTAGCCTGGCACGGTCATTTCATCTCCCCTGTGTGAGTGCACCTAGCATGGCACGGTGATTTCATGTCACCTGTGTGAGTGCACCTAGCCTGGCACGGTCATTTCATGTCACCTGTGTGAGTGCACCTAGCCTGGCACGGTCATTTCACCTCCCCTGTGTGTGTGAGTGCACCTAGCCTGGCACGGTGACTTAAATTTCCCTGTGTGTGTGTGCACCAAGCCTGGCACAGTGACTTCACCGCTATCCGTGTGAGAGGCTTGAATCTCCTAGGTGGACTCGATCTAAACAACATACATACAGTACGGCGTGTCGGTGGTTCATTGACCATACTTCACCACACTGGTCAATACGATTCCGTGACGGTCGAGGGGTGGTAGGGGTAGGACCAGATGACCGGTTCGCTCATCGCTCGCCAACTCATGATGACCCTGAGTGGTACTCGGAACTCGTAGGGGCTGTGTGGCTAACCACTGCGCCACCGCTCCCTCCCCCCCGCCTCAATGCAATACGGGACATGCGAACGACAGACGACGTTGATCGCTTCCCCTGCATCACCTGGGCCCAAAAGCATTTCGGGTCCATACGGCGTACACGCGGTGCTGTGGATGCCTGCCACGTGGCTGACATTGACCGCGTGTCCCCAGCCTCCGACTTGAGGGTGGCACTTAATTACAGGGGAGTGGTGGGGGGTGGGCCCACACGGTCCACACTCAAGGTTCCAACCCAGGTAGGTGGGCCCACACTCCAGATTCGAACCCAGGTAGGTGGACCCACACTCCAGATTCGAACCCAAGGTAGGATGGACCCACACTCCAGATTCGAACCCAGGTAGGTGGGCCCACACTCCAGATTCGAACCCAGGTAGGTGGGCCCACACTCCAGATTCGAACCCAGGTAGGTGGACCCACACTCCAGATTCGAACCCAGGTAGGTGGACCCACACTCCAGATTCGAACCCAGGTAGGTGGGCCCACACTCCAGATTCGAACCCAGGTAGGTGGGCCCACACTCCAGATTCGAACCCAGGTAGGTGGACCCACACTCCAGGTTCGAACCCAAGTAGGTGGGCCCACACTCCAGATTCGAACCCAGGTAGGTGGACCCACACTCCAGGTTCGAACCCAAGTAGGTGGGCCCACACTCCAGATTCGAACCCAGGTAGGTGGGCCCACACTCCAGATTCGAACCCAGGTAGGTGGACCCACACTCCAGATTCGAACCCAGGTAGGACCTCCTCATTTGTGCTGGCGGTGTTTGCCGACAGCAAGGACCGGATTCTTCGGTCGTGGCTTCCCTCTCTGGCTCCGCTCGGGGTTGAGCCGCCCGGCGGCTTCCATAGAGTCACGAGTGAGCGAGTGGCTCAGCCGTGGCTCGTCTCAGGGCTTGGCTCGAGGAATTCCTGAGCTTGGCTAGGACCGTGCTCAGAGGAAAAAAACAGCCTCAAGACACTGACCGTCGATTCGCTGAGAGATACCCAGCTGCTTGAACCCCTGTACTGCAGTAAAGGTTAAGAACCACTGAACTAAACAATTTTTTTATTTCATCAGGTAAGGCCCACTGAGCTACATGGCTCTTTTGCAGAAGCGGCCTGGCCATCACAAATTATAGCTCAACGAAATGGCTTATTATAATCATCACGTAGAAATGTCTAGCAGCAGCAAAACAGTCTAAACGCGTGGTGCTGTTGATTCTAAATGTGGAGGGAAAAAGAACGGAGGAACCGGGTGAAAAATCCACTCTACCACGGGAAGAGCAAATATACAGGTATCGAGTTCGGGATCTAACCCACAAACTCCTGTATACCAGGCGAGATAGTTAACATCTCCTAGCCACCGTGGCGCCCCTGTACTGCGGGTGTATTAACCATAAACGTGCCAGTCTGCTTCTAATCCGATTTTATTTGTAAAGAATAGGCTATGCGTGCCGTCCACGCCGGTGCACATTTATACAATTTCACGTGAAATGACTTCATCGCGTCGTGAAATATTATACCACGGTCGAGATTCCACTCTCTTGTTGTTGTTTCACAGGCGTCGTGGCCACTAACAAACTCATGGCCAGCTCTCCAGACTTGGACCTGCCAACAGTGACCAGCTTAAGGGTGCGTTCGGTTTAATAATATAAATATATATAAAAGGCAAAGTTGTGAAAATGTGTCTGTTAAAAAAATGTTTAGCGTACTTCCCGACATGCAACAAACTTGAAATTTGCCATGTGGGTACTTTCCAGACTGTACACCATGCAAAAATTATAAAAAAATACACTTTTGTGGGTTTCTTTGGGGAGGGGGGGGAGCTCAATAATGCATATTTCTATTGCACGGCAAGTGAGCTGTGACGTCAAATCTGTCACGTGAGCCGCGCACGTGGAAGCGTAACGCATTGTAGTGTAGCGGTTAGCGCTACGCCGCGCTACGAACTTCCCGCTCACGGCCACCACCGGTGACGATTATTTTAACCGGTCCTGGGCCTCCCCTAGGTCGACTCAGCCTCAAACGAGTAACTGGTCTGCTGTGTGAACATCGCCACTGAGGAGACAAAGGCGGCCGGGCGTGGTGAATTCACGGGTAGTATAAAATAAAAAAAATCTTGCATGATCGTGACGTCTTCATGGACCCAACTGCTGATTCCATCGCCACGACCACCATACTTCTGCCCAACGTTTGCTCCCCTCCGCCAGATCCTGCGAGCTGCTGCTGCTGCTGCTTTTCGGTCGACACGTAGTGACCTCCCAAATAATCCAGCCTCAGTATATCCCACGCCTGCTCTCATAGAGCTCTTCTCTTCCGCTTGGCGTGCCTGTCAACCCCTTATCGGTGCCTACCTTATTACAGACCAATTCGGACCCACTCGTACACTCACCACTAGTACACTCACCACTAGTACACTCATCACTGGTACACTCACCACTACTACACTCACCACTAGTACACTCACCACTAGTACACTCATCACTGGTATACTCACCACTACTACACTCACCACTAGTACACTCATCACTAGTACACTCCACCACTAGTACACACACCACTAGTACTCACCACTAGTACACTCACCACTAGTACACTCATCACTAGTACATTCACCACTAGTACACACACACTAGTACAATCATCACTAGTACACTCAACAACTCACCACTAGTACACTCAACACTAGTACACTCACCACTAGTACACTCACCACTAGTACACTCACCACTAGTACACTCATCACTAGTACACTCACCACTAGTACACACACCACTAGTACTCACCACTAGTACACTCACCACTAGTACACTCATCACTAGTACATTCACCACTAGTACACACACCACTAGTACACTCATCACTAGTACACTCAACACTAGTACACTCACCACTAGTACACTCACCACTAGTACACTCACCACTAGTACACTCACCACTAGTACACTCATCACTGTTACACTCACCACTGGTACACTCACCACTACTACACTCACCACTAGTACACTCACTACTAGTACACTCACCACTAGTACACTCACCAATAGTACACTCATCACTAGTACACTCACCACTAGTACACTCAACACTACATATCTATAAAACCCCTTATCAGTGTCCTACATTATTACAGACCAATTCGGACTGTATTGGTCACCCCGTGCCCCTTATAAATCTCAAAGTTCATCCTACAAAGTCTCATCACAAGGGAGAATCACAAACAAATAGACAAAAAAAAACATTTATGTTGCCCGTATTGAAACGGCTGTACGCCGTATGGACCCGAAAACTAACTTTCCCTGTACAAGAATTCTTATCTTGTATCGTTTTTATTTAAGTGTTTCACCGTAACAGCTTGCGCTCTCTCAACGGCACGCTGCAACGGGCCTCACCCGGGGACCAGGGATTGAACCCATTGCTACATCGTTGGCCGGCTCGGCATTTCCGGGTTACGCTTAAAAAGAACTTAACAGATATTTAATTATAGCATGCGGGGTTATTTTTATTTTCCCCTCTACAGGCAGTCCCCCGAGGTACGAACGTCCGCACTCGCGAACGAGCTGCCGTAAGACATTGTTTTCAGCCGTCCGACTTGCGAATGCTCGGTGGTAAACTTGCGAGCCGAACACCGCGGAACTATTTTGTCCGGCGGGGCGATCCTCCCGCGAGATGGTAATGAGCAGCGGGCATCCCGCGTAGGGAAACGCCCCGTCCAACAATCAAGCCAGCGTCAGGACTCGAGGTAAGTGAAAATAGAACGTCATGTTTTATTGACGATACAGCGTTCATTAGTCTTGCTTGCAAACGTACGATATTTCTTATTCGTGGGTTTCGCGATGCTTCCCTTTTTTGTTGAACCGTAACACGGCTTACGATGCCGAACGTACGTTCAACGAACCGTTTTTAAGTTCTGAGATGCGAGGAAACCGACTCTACAGACTCACGAAAGGGTTGCATCTTGGCAACGCAACCCGTTCGTAAGTGGAGCGGTTTCCCGTACGAATAATCCTGAAAGACTCTTTCTGAGGAGGGTTCTGCTACATTGGGATATGTGCGTATTCGCACGCGCGTATGAATACGCGCGTGTTCACACGCGCGTATTCACACGTATGTATTCACACACGCGTATTCACACGTACGTATTCACACGCGTATTCACACACGTATTCACACACGTGTATTCACACACACGTATTCACACACGCGTATTCACACGTACATATTCACACACGCGTATTCACACGTACGTATTCACACGTGCGTGTTCACACGTGCGTGTTCACACGTGCGTATTCACACACGCGTATTCACACGCACGTTTATTCACAAGCTCGTATTCACACGCACGTTTATTCACAAGCTCGTATTCACACGTACGTGTTCACACGCGCGTAGAAGCTGGGAGTGAACGTGACGAGGAACAACCAGGACACGGTGAGGAACAGCGACATCGTCTTCCTCGCCGTGAAGCCGCCCATCATCCCCTTCGTGCTCGACGAGGTGGGGCCAGAGCTCAGCGATCGCCACCTCATCATCACCTGCGCAGCCGGGGTCTCCATCAGCTCCATTGAGAAGGTGGGACTCGGGTTGGGGGTCACGAGGCTTGGGGCTCGGGGTTCGATTCGTCGACGGCGCTTGAGCCAGCACCGCTCAGAGCCTGGGTTCGGATCTGGGTTTCAGCCGCTGCCAGTGATTCAACCGGGTTGTCAAGTGCAGTGGGTTGATGGTTTCAGCCCCGATAGAGACCCATAGACTCGCATAGAGACCCACAGACTCGTATAGAGAACCACAGACTCGCATAGAGACCCATAGACTCGCATAGAGGCTCACAGACTCGTATAGAGACCCATAGACTCGCATAGAGACCCACAGACTCGCATAGAGACCCACAGACTCGCATAGAGACCCATAAACTCGCATAGAGACCCATAGACTCGCATAGAGACCCATAGACTCGCATAGAGGCCCACAGACTCACGTAGAACTTCTTTCACACCGTACAACGACGACAACAGCCGGCGGCCGCTACAAACTTGCCGGTGACGGCACGACGGCACCAGGCCGGGTGCACGACCGCCCCCGCCCAACCCCCCCCCCCCCCGTGCTCACTCCGCCTGCCCCAAACCGTTCCCCCGCGCGCAGAAGCTGAGCGTGTACGTGCCCTCCCGCGCGTCGTCCGGGCCTGAACCAACACGGCGGTGATCGTAGCGCGAGGGCAGCCACGGTGTACTGCGCCGGGCACTCACGCGGAGGCGGAGGACTGCCGCCTGCTGGAGCAGCTGATGGGCAGCGTGGGATTCTGCACCGAGGTGGAGGAGGACCTCATCGACGCCGTCACGGGCCTCAGCGGCAGCGGCCCCGCCTACGTGAGTTCCCCACCCACCCGTGCACCCGCCCACCCACCCACCTCGTATTAAAATCGCGCGTTGAGGTCGCGCGTTGAGGTCGTTGCATTGTTGCCGCCGCGTCGCTGCGCAGGCGTTCACCGCGGTGGATGCGCTGGCTGACGGCGGAGTGAAGATGGGGCTGCCTCGCCGCCTCGCCGTGCGACTCGGAGCGCAGACGCTGCTGGTACGAGCGGCCTGCAGGACTGTGCGCGTGCGAGTGTGCGTGTGCGCGTGTGAGCGTGTGTGGGTCATAGTGGGGAGCGGTGGTGTAGCGGTTAGCGCGCTGCGAACCCGGCGACCAGAGTTCACGGCCAACACCGGTGACGATTATCTGAACCGGTCCTGGGCCTCCCCTAGGTTGACTCAGCCTCAAATGAGTACCTGGTGCGGTGTGTAAAAATCATCGCCACTGGGGAGACAAAGGCGGCCGGGCATGGTGCTGGCCATCCACCCCTTTCTGTGCCGTGCCGGCCATCATAGGTGCTCGCTAGCAGCACTTGCCCCAACAGTCTGTTACAGGCTATAGGGTGATGTCTTTTTTTGCGTGGGTCATGTAGCCAGCACACACATGCACGTGGTGGCTGGGCATTTCATTGCATGCACAGCCACAACGTGCCCAAGCAGCTTCTGTTTGGCTGGATAGAACGGGCTAAATGGGCACGACATGGGCTGGAAAAGAGATGGGCCGATGTGGTGCAGGAGGATGTGGAGCTAAATGGACTTGCTGAAGACTGGTACCAGCGGTGTCAAGATCGGCCTCTGTGAAGGCGGAGGCTCGTGAAGGACGCTGCTGGGCAGTTGGAGGCAGTCGCCCTCCAACACTCGAACAACAATGAAGGGCAGAGGAGCGACGCTGAAAACAATGAACGACGCTCACAACAATGAGCGGAGTGCCGGGCGGCTAAATCACAGCGAGTTGGCACAGTAGCTGGTGCGTCGGCCATTCATCTCGGTCAACCCGTTGCACCTGGGTCTCTCCCGTGACCTCCTTGCAAGCGGGTCGTTCGACACCTTCACGTGGCCTAAAAGTGCACTTAGCCTGGCACAAGCGCCGTGGTGATGTCACCGCCACTTAGTGGACGAATGCCATTTGTTGTTATGCCCGTCGGCAGTGCTCACGTGGCCATTCTCCCGCCCTCCCCGCCCATGCCACTGAGAGGGACGAGAGCGAACACGCTCGCACGCTCGCACGCACGGCCCCAGGCCTTGAACTCGGGCCACCCTCGGACGGGCGCGGGGCTCGGCCGCCGTGCTCTTACCGCCCCCTCCGCGCAGGGGGCGGCCAAGATGCTGCTGACGTCGGAGCAGCACCCGGGGCAGCTCAAGGACGACGTGTGCTCCCCGGGCGGCGCCACCATCCACGCCATCCACCTGCTGGAGAGCGGCGGCTTCCGCAGCCTCCTCATCAACGCCGTGGAGGCCTCGTGCATCCGCACGCGGTGAGGGCCGCCGCCGCCGCGCACCGCACGGAGATCATCACACATGACGCAGGGAGATAAATCACAAGTACCGTGCGCGGTTCACGCGGACTCAATCCCTTGCAAAACGTTTACCATTTGTTGTCTGAACATATTAACACCCCCTGGCTCATTGCCAGGAAGGGTAAACGCCTATTATTATTATTGTTTTTTTTACACGTGGAGGGAGTTAAACCGCACACCGCACAGACGCCACCACGAACAGGACAAAGAGAGGCGACGCCACACGCGGATACACGCCGCAAACCGCACACCGTGCCGGCGTCTCACCACCCCCCCCCCCCCCCCCCTCTCTCTTGTGGTTGTCGTTCTCCCTATGGCCACTGTAGGAAGCTGCGCCAGATGGCGGAGCAGGAGACCGTGTCTCCGGAGGCCATCAAGAAGACGACGCGCACGCAGGTCAAGCAGGACGCCGAGCGCTCCGGGGTCAACCTCTTCTCCAGCAAAGTGCCGGGGGGAACCAAGGCAGCATAGGGGGCAGGGGCACAGGGGAGACCGCCACTGCCCTAACACCCTGACCGGGTCTCGGGGTCGGAGTCTCGCTTGAGGACTCGGCTCCGGGAGACCGGGTCTCGGGGTCGGAGTCTCGCTTGAGACTCGGCTCCAGGAGACCGGGTCTTAGGCTCGGAGTCTCGGTTGAGACTCGGCTCCGGGAGACCGAGTCTCAGAGTCGGAGTCTCGCTTGAGACTCGGCTCCAGGAGACCGGGTCTCAGGGTCGGAGTCTCGGTTGAGACTCGGCTCCAGGAGACCGGGTCTCAGGGTCGGAGTCTCGGTTGAGACTCGGCTCCAGGAGACCGGGTCTTAGGGTCGGAGTCTCGGTTGAGACTCGGCTCCAGGAGACCGGGTCTCAGGGTCGGAGTCTCGGTTGAGACTCGGCTCCAGGAGACCGGGTCTGGATTTGGTTTTTAGCGTTATCTCCTCATGCTCGGGGTTTTCCCGAGGTGCTCAGTTTTCCTTCCCCTTTCACTCGTGTGCCAACATCCCCAATAAAGGACGCTATCGTTGTGATCACGTTTAACCTCGTGTCTGGTGTGTCGAGCGGTGGTCTGTAGTGTTAAGCGCACTGCGCTACGAACCCGGCGACCCGAGTTTGATTCCAGCTCATGGCCAACATTAGGTGACGGTATATCGCAACCGGTCCGGTGCCTCCCCTAGGTCGACTCGGCTTCAAATAAGTACCTTGTGCGGTGTTTGTAAACATCAGCACTGGGGAGACAAAGGCGGTCGGGCATGGCGCTGGCCTCGTCCGCGAGCCGCGCCTGGAGCGCGGTGCACACACGGCGCACACGCGGTGCACCACGTGTGAACCCACGCGCACCGTCGCCGAGGACGCCGGCACTCGCACCCACGAGCCCGAGTTCCGAGGAGCGGGAGGACGGTGCATTTGCGGTGTGGTGGCGGGTTTTGGCGGAGCCGGTTCTCGCGCCTTTGCCGCCAAAAAGAAAGAGGCCTCAACGTGACGTACTCCCCGTTATCGTCATCGTCGTCATCGTCATCGCCGACGTCAACTTCTCCTGCACCTCCCGGCGAATGGACGTCGCCCGCGCCGTTGCCGGTCTCCTCCACCCCTCCCCCAAATCCCCCCCCCCCCCACCCCGGTTGTAAGCGTCCCCACGTCTCCCGAATGTCTCGGCCCGTCCCTGCGCTCCTCCACACCGCCCGGGCGTTCCGTCTCACGCCGAGCTCCACTTTTTAACTCTACATTTTAACTCTCCTCTGCTTTGCTTTTTACTCTTTAACTAAACGTTTGAACTCAACTTTTTAACTATTACATTCTATGTAAAATAATAACTTTCGGTCCTTTTTAACTCTACCGCTGGACGAAGGCCTCCATCGCAAGGACTGTTCCACCGTACTTCACCACGCTGGTCAAGGTGAGAAGTCCCAGGACCGGTTCCGATACGGCTCGCCCCTGGTGGGGTTTCAAAAAAGATATGTATGCAGTCTGTGGCCAGGAATCGAATCGTGGGGTTGCGGAGTTCATCGCGTGGCACGATGCCCGCAGCGACGCAGCCTCGCTGCGTTCCTTCATTGAGGAGCTTTATTCAACATCCGCGCGACTTAAAACGTCTCGAGCGACCGGCGTAGCGGCATCAACACCACCACCCCCCCCTCTCCCTCCAGGTGCCACAGTGGCAAGATGTTCACCACCCCGCCTGGTACACAGGGGGTCAAGGTTTCGATCCAGACCCTGACGCCTGCTGTATATTTGGAGTTTGCGTGTCGCTTCTCCTCGTGGTCGTGTGGATTTTTCTCTGGGCCCCCCGGTTTTTTCCTTCCACATGTACAATCGTAGAGTATTTGTCTGCTGTAATTTTTCGCACGACGAGCCACTTCGTTGCGTGTGTATGTCGAACTTCTTTCGCACCGTACGTAGCCAACCGCGCCAATTGGGAGTTGCGGGGAAGGACAACAAACTAAACACAAAAAGCAGTCGCTAAAGGAATTAGTTTCCACTCTAGATTTAAAAGTGGCCATGGCTACCAGTGGCTTCCAAATATCAGAGCTATTGTGCGCAGGTCGCTCCTGAACAAAAAAAAAATAGTTCAGTGGGCCTTACCTGGTAAAATAAAAATAATTTAGTTTATTAAGGGAGCCTCCGGGTTGTTAGTGGGTTCAACTGATCACAGAGACGTTGTTTTAGACAGGGGCGGAGCCAGGGGGGGGTGACAGGGGGTGACATTCTGCGTGTAAGTGTACGACGCTCGGTCCGGCGGACTCCGTGCAACTGCATTGTCAGAGTGTGTCGCCAACTGATGGCGTCTGGCTCAACAGCCTGACTCTCTCTAAATCATTCTTGAAATGAAAATTTGTTGAATGTCACCCCGGGCTGAAAATCCTGGCTCCGCCCCTGGTTCTAGAGCTGCGGCATTTCACACCGCAGCGCCCACACTACGTCAGACGCGAATGAACGTTACTTCCGATGTGAATTTCCGTTTCGAATGAGCTCGTGGGAGTACGGTCACAGCACCGGTATCCCCCGGAACGTCAGCGCCGTCGCCAACAACTGCGCCCCGATCTCCGCCGAGCGGCCGCTTTGCAACTCTCCGACCTCCGTCGCCGCCGCCGCCTCCTCCGGTTCCGCTCGGCCCGTCCGCGCCGTCCCCTCCGGCCCCAGCGCCTCGTCGGCGAGCAGCGCCAAGGCGCGGGGCTCCGGCCGGAACTCGGCGGAGAGCTCCCGGAGCGTGATGCACACGCGGCGCGACGTCACGTCGCCGCGCCGCACCGCGTGCAGCCAAGAGCGCCGCGCCGCGCCGCGCAGCAGCACCAGGGACCGGCGCGGTGACGGCACGCGCACCGTCACCGAGGACACCAGCACGCGCACCCACGAGCCCGAGTTCCGAGGAGCGGGAGGACGGTGCATTTGCGGTGTGGTGGCGGTTGGGGATTGGAGGTCCGGTGACGGGTTTTGGCGGAGCCGGTTCTCGCGCCTTTGCCGCCAAAAAGAAAGAGGCCTCAACGTGACGTACTCCCCGTCGTCGTCGTCGTCGTCATCGTCATCGCCGACGTCAACTTCTCCTGCACCTCCCGGCGAATGGACGTCGCCCGCGCCGTCGCCGGTCTCCTCCACCCCTCCCCCCAAACCCCGCCCCCCGCCCACCCCGGTTGTAAGCGTCCCCACGTCTCCCGAATGTCTCGGCCCGTCCCTGCGCTCCCCCACACCGCCCGGGCGTTCCGTCTCGCGCCGAGCTCCCTCGCCGTCCCCCGCCGCGGCCCTCATCCCACCCGCGGCCTCCCCGCCGCCTTGCGGCGGCAGCGAAACCGACCCGTCGGCGGCCTCCCCGGCAGCCACGCCCCCGCGCGTCCCGACGTCTCCGCCCGCGCCCGCCGCGGGCCGAGTGAGCGTGAGCGCCGTGTCCGAGAGGAGGTTGACGGTGACGAGCCGATCCCCCCAGAGCCACGCGTCGTCCAGGTGGGCGTCGATGCTGGAGCCGCGCGACGGCTCGTACTCCAGGTGGCACTGCTCGACGGGCACGAAGTCGCCGAGCAGCGCGGGGCTGGCGGCGCGCACGCGCAGCGCCAGCGCCCGGCTCAGCGGCGGCAGCCCCGAGAAGCCGGCCGCCCGCACCCGCCGCTTGCGGAAGTTCACCTTGGGCCCGTAGTCCTGCGAGGAGGAGGAGGAGGAGGAAGAGACGGGGGTCGGGGGGCGAGGTGGGGGGTTCCCGGCAGGGGTTGAGGGCGTTGAGGGGGTTGAGGGGGTTGAGGGGGTTGAGGGGGTGTAAAAGGAGAGAGGAGAAACTGTTCAGCCATGCGCAAGGCAATGCGATGTTCTTTTTTAATCCGACGTATTTCTGGCGAGGACGGAGAGGCGGGAGAGTGTGCGCGGAGGGGGAGCAGAATGAGATGAGAGGGAGCAGAGTAGCACAAGGTGATGAGGAGAGAGGTAGGAGGGAAGTGGAGGGAAGTGGAGTGAGATGCGGCGGGAGTGAGATGAGAGGGGAGTGAGATGAGAGGGGAGTGAGATGAGAGGGGAGTGAGATGAGAGGGGAGTGAGATGAGAGGGGAGTGAGATGAGAGGGGAGTGAGATGAGAGGGGAGTGAGATGAGAGGGGAGTGGAGTGAGAGGGGAGTGGAGTGAGATGAGAGGGGAGTGAGATGAGAGGGGAGTGAGATGAGAGGGGAGTGAGATGAGAGGGGAGTGAGATGAGAGGGGAGTGAGATGAGAGGGGAGTGGACTGAGATGAGAGGGGAGTGAGATGAGAGGGGAGTGGACTGAGATGAGAGGGGAGTGAGATGAGAGGGGAGTGGACTGAGTTGAGAGGGGAGTGGACTGAGATGAGAGGGGAGTGAGATGAGAGGGGAGTGGAGTGAGATGAGAGGGGAGTGAGATGAGAGGGGAGTGGACTGAGATGAGAGGGGAGTGAGATGAGAGGGGAGTGAGATGAGAGGGGAGTGGACTGAGATGAGAGGGGAGTGAGATGAGAGGGGAGTGAGATGAGAGGGGAGTGGACTGAGATGAGAGGGGAGTGAGATGAGAGGGGAGTGGACTGAGATGAGAGGGGAGTGGACTGAGATGAGAGGGGAGTGAGATGAGAGGGGAGTGGACTGAGATGAGAGGGGAGTGAGATGAGAGGGGAGTGGACTGAGATGAGAGGGGAGTGGACTGAGAGGAGAGGGGAGTGAGATGAGAGGGGAGTGAGATGAGAGGGGAGTGGACTGAGATGAGAGGGGAGTGAGATGAGAGGGGAGTGGACTGAGATGAGAGGGGAGTGGACTGAGATGAGAGGGGAGTGAGATGAGAGGGGAGTGGACTGAGATGAGAGGGGAGTGAGATGAGAGGGGAGTGGACTGAGATGAGAGGGGAGTGAGATGAGAGGGGAGTGGAGTGAGCTGAGAAGTGAATCAGATGAGAGGCGAGAGAGGAGTTACGAGGGGAGTTGAGATGAGAGGGAGGAGGCAGGAGCGCGTGGCTGCACCTGCTTGCGCCTTCCCGACTGCGACGGTCTCCACTCGTCGCGGTCGATGGCGACGATGAGCTCTCGCTCCTCGTCGGGGCTTAGGAAGTCGCACCACACGTGCACGCCGCTCACGCGCGCCGCCATCCCTGCAAACGACGAGCCCGGCAGTGCCACGGCCAGCCCCAGCGCCGGATCAAACTCCAGCGTCAGCTGAAACGTCGACAAAGCGGGGCAAAGCCAGTCCAGGTGCTCGCGATGGCGAGATGTTAACTCCCTCGCGTGGTATACAGGAGGTTCGTGGGTTCGATCCCGACCCTGACGTCTGTATACATGGAGTCTGCGTGTTCCCGGTCTCCCCCGTGGTCCCGTGGATTTTTCTCCGGTTTTTCCCTCCGCGTTTGCGTAGAATCAACGTCACCACGCGTTTTGAGCATTTTGGCCGCTATATATTGCCACGTGATAAGCCCCACTTTGTTGGGCTATCATTTGCGATGGGCCAGGTCGCTTGTGAAAAACAGCTTCGTAGCTCAGCGGGGCCTTGCCTGGTAAAGTAAACAAATGTCGTTCCTTAATCTTTGGGTCTTTCGGTAAAGCCACGTAGATAGAAGAAAAATAATAAAACAATATTTGTGTGAGATGGGAGGGGAGTGGAGTCGTTCTCTTCTACCTACGTGGCTTTACCGAAAGACACAAACAATATGAATTCCTGCAGTCACGAAAACTTTTAAGTCAAGATTTAAAAGTTGATTCGTCTTGGTTTAAGGGAGCCTCCGGGACTGGCGGTGTGGAGACCGAACCTCTCTGCTGTCGTCATCGTCGTCGTCGCTGCGGTCGTTGTTGTTGTGGCGGTTGTTGTTGTTGTGGCGGTTGTTGTTGTGGCGGTTGTGTCGCTTCCGCTTGTCGCCGGACTCGCAGGCCAGGCAGGTGCGCACGCCCTTGCACGCACACGGCACAGGCGCCTCCATTGCCTGGCTCGGTGCACACACGACGAGACAGAGATTCCCCCCGTGTAGCCTTTAAACAGCCCTGTTGGGGGCAAGTGGCTGTGAGCTAGCAACACACGTGGAGACCGGCACGGTACTCTAGGGAGTGGGTGACCAACAACACCACGCCCGACCGCCTTTGTCTCCCCAGTGGCGATGTCATACCTGTCAACTCCTCATCGGTGCCCTACCAGACCAATTCAGAAATTATTGGTCATCCCCCGTGCCCCTATAAATCTCAACGTTCATCTTAGGGGCCGTCCATAAATGACGTCACACACCTGGGGGGGGGGGGGTCAGACATTTGTGAGGATGTGTGACGAGGGGGGAGGGATTTGAGAAATGTGACGCCATATAAAAATGCGCAACTTTAAATAAGTATAAACAATATAATTGTTATAACAACACTAATTTTGATACATTTTAATTATTAACTATTTGATTATTTAAAATTTACTAAGGTCGCCTTTTATTTATTCCACGAAGGAGCATTTTGCTTCTCCGTGGGAGAATGGAGAAGCATACATTTTGTAAAAAAATTTAATGATTGTTATTAAACATTTTGATGTTAATGATTCTACCAGGGCTTTTCATTCTGTGGAATAAATGTGATTGTTATAATTGTACTCTACATTTTGCTTCGTTCTACTACAAAGTTTCAAGTATTTTTTTAATAGTTATAATTACTTTTTATATTTTATAATTATAAGAGAATTTCAATATATTCTTAACATCTGCAGTTTTAGTTAGACGTTGAATAATTTCAAGTGAATTTTATGCTAAATTTCAGCTTTCCAACGCCTTTTTAAACACATTCTCCTGCGGAGGGAGCTGGTAGCAACGTTGGGTTGCTCGGTCAATGGCCAGGGTCAACGGCGGCACCACGTGGTGTATTCCGCACAATATGCCCGACGTTTCGATTGCAACGCAAGCAATCATCAGGTATAGAAGAGCTATACCTGATGATGATTGCTTGCGTTGCAATCGAAACGTCGTATGCTATTATGTCATTTTATTTCATTATTTCTTATTTCTACGTGACTTTACCGAAAAAAAACAAAGAGTAATTACAAGCCTGTCAGCCCCTTATCAGTGCCCTACCTTATAACAGACCAACTCAGACCTTACTGGTCACCCCGTGCCCCTAAATAAACCTCAACGTTCATCCTACAAAGTGCCATCACAAGGAGAGAAACACAAACACACAACACATTTGTGTTGCCCGTATTGAAGCGATCAATTTCCCCGCACACAAATACGAGTTAAATACACAACACAGGCTTGGGTTGGGGGTGGGGTGGGTGGGTGGTAAACCGTACGGGTTGACGAGGAATGCGACGCCGCGCCAGGTACTCGTTTTGAGGCTGAGTCGACCTAGAGGAGGCCTCCCGGCACCTCCGCCGCTGCGAGGAAAACTAATTTTGTGTCCCCACGTGGCAGGGAAATCCACTTCCGCTTCCGCCCGCGCCGGACAACGCCGCTTGGCTATAGGGGGTCCGCGGTCATTTTACCCTCGTAAATAAACGTACACTTTTAATAAAAACATTTTTTAATATAAAAACGAAGGCCGTTTATATTTCTTTATTCGTAACTTTGCGATGCCGCGGTGCGATTGGCGCTTGATTGCGAATGAGGCCGCTGCTGTGAAGGCTCGCGGGCAGTCGTAGGGACCGCGGTGATTTACTTCATTGGATCGCACGCAGCCACCACCACCATCACCACCACGGACTTGCTGGGGTCTCAGTTGGAGCCAGGGTCACCTATCAGAGTCTGGGTCTCAGTTGGAGTCTGGGTCCCTATCAGAGTCTGGGGGTCTCGACTGGAGTCTGGGTCCCCTATCAGAGCCGGGGTCCCCTATCAGAGTCTGGGTCCCCTATCAGAGCCGGGGTCCCCTATCAGAGTCGGGGTCCCCTATCAGAGTCGGCGTCTCCTATCAGAGTCAGGGTCCCCTATCAGAGTCTGGGTCCCCTATCAGAGCCGGGGTCCCCTATCAGAGTCGGCGTCTCCTATCAGAGTCTGGGTCCCCTATCAGAGCCAGGGTCTCTACTGGAGTCGGGGTCCCCTATCAGAGCCGGGGTCTCAGTTGGAGTCTGGGTCCCTATCAGAGCCGGGGTCTCCAGGCGAGGGATGGCGGAGAGACGGAGTCCCGTGGAGCTGCTGCAGTCAGGGCGGATGGTCCGCGTCTCGGCACCGATGGTTCGATACTCCAAGTGAGTAGCACCCTGCCGCCTCTGGCTGTTCACGCACGGTGGGTTCATCACGGTTCATCACTCTGTCTCTCACTCACTCGCCCTGTCTGTCTCCTTCTCCGTCTTGCACGTTGTAACCAGTTCAAATCAAGTTGTGACCAGGTAACCTTACGCGGCCCACGTGGGTGATGACGCGGTGCTTGCGCGGGGCGCACGTGGCCGTGCGGCGCACGTGGTCGCGAGTTTCACTTGTCATGTTGCTCGACTCGATGTTGGTGATCCCTATCGAAAGCGACTCCAAAGCTATTGCTGCTGGCAGCAGTAAAATAAAAGTGTTAACGTCACGAGGCCTCCTTGGCCAGTAGCTAAATATAACAATAATAGGGTTTTTACCCCTTTTTTTCTGGCAACAAAACTGGCACCTTTTACAAGGAATCATGTTTGCACGACGATAAGCCATACTCATTGTTTCTTTCGGTAAAGTCACGTAGGTAGAAAATAAAATAAATCACGATGTTTCGGGCGCAACACAAGCGTCCATCATCAGGTTGGCAAAGCGTGGTCCTGCTGCTGAGGCAGTCTGTTTTAAAAGGTTTGAAATGGGTGTAGCCCAAGGGTCATTATAAATAAGTGGCCGGGGCTAGTGATGTTAACGTGAGAGATTAGCGTGTAACTGTAAGCTAGGAGGAAGAGCGGCCTCCTGGACGAGCGCACGGAAGTGGCCATGTTAACGTGAGAGATTAGCATGAAATAACAGCTGACATATGCAGGTAGGATGGAAACATCACAGTCAGTTAACAATATTAACGCATAATAGCGGTGTTGTGTTTTTTTTGGGGGGTTAGATCGCGTGAATATAGATGTGTCTTTAAAGCCACTCGGCCAGCAACTGGACGGAGTTGGGTTCAAGCCCAGGGGGTTGGTGTCTTTCTCTGAACGGAGCTGAACTGACCAACGTTGGACCGACGCTGGGCCAACGTTGGCTTGCGGTCGGAGCCATTGCACCGACGTTGGGCCAACGTTGGCTTGCGGTCGTGACCATTGGGCCGACGTTGGGCCAACGTTGGCTTGCGGTCGTGACCATTGCACCGACGTTGGGCCAACGTTGGCTTGCGGTCGTGATCATTGGACCGACGTTGGCCCAACGTTGGCTTGCGGTCGTGACCATTGCACCGACGTTGGGCCAACGTTGGCTTGCGGTCGTGACCATTGGACCGACGTTGGGCCAACGTTGGCTTGCGGTCGGAGCCATTGCACCGACGTTGGGCCAACGTTGGCTTGCGGTCGTGACCATTGCACCGACGTTGGGCCAACGTTGGCTTGCGGTCGGAACCAATGGCAAACGCGTAAACGAACGCAATTGCGCGGAGCACAATTGCAACGCATGTAGGATATATTTTTTTAAGGAAAAATGTTACGACGTTGAGGAACGACGCAAGGTCGTTCCTCAACGTCGGTGGTGCTGCAACGGCACCATGGTTCAACCTACCCGCCAACCCCCATTTGGCATGTGGAGGCCCTCATCCAGCAGGTGACTGACAAAGGCCTCTGCAACATGTACCACGCGGCGAGTGCCGTCCATCTCATCCTCTCACCTCCGCTTCCCTCTCCCCGTGCTCTCCCCCTGCTCTCTCTCTCTCTCTGCTCTCCCCGTGCTCTCCCCGTGCTTGTCCCCAGGCTGGCGTTCCGCTCGCTGGTGCGACGCTACGGCTGTGACCTCTGCTTCACGCCCATGATCCTGGCCGACGCCTTCGCGCGCTCGCTGCGTGCGCGCGACAGCGAGTTCACCACCAACGCTGGTGAGGCCCCGCGGGTCCACACGGGGATGCCCGGAGAGGGGGGGGGGAAGCCGTCGGTCGTTTATATCAAACTGAGGTCAAATATATGTGTACAGTGGTCCCTCGTTTATCGCGGGGGATACGTTCTAAAAATAACCCGCAATAGACGAAATCCGCGAAGTGATCAGCTTTATTTTTTACAATTATTATACGTGTTTTAAGGCCGTAAAACCCCTAACCACACACTTTTATACACTTTTCTCAGACAGGCATTAAGATTTTCTCATATTTCTCTCTTATTTAAACACTCTCAAAGTTCAAACTTTCGCAGATTAAAAAAAATAAGTACAATATTAGTAAATGAAACCAAAGATCAAAACCTGTTTTCAAGCCCAAACATTTTTGTAAATCTGGCTAGCTGAACGCATTCTGTACTCCCTTAGCTAATCAGGACGCAGAACACATGTGCGGTTCTCCCTTAGCCAATCAGGACGCCGAACACAATGCGCGTTCATACTGTACGCAGGAAAAAAAAGCATGCAAAATTACACTAAAAAAAATCTGCGAAACAGCGAGGCCGCGAAAGATGAACCGCGTTATAGTGAGGGACAACTGTATTTATGTATGAACTTCTTTCGCACCATACGTAGTCGACCGTGCTAATTGGAGGTGCGGGGGAAGGACAACAAACTAAACACTAAAAGCAGTTCTAAAGAAATAGCTCTCTGTGTGAGTCTCTGGGTCTCTGTGTGAATCTATGGGTCTCTGTGTGAGTCTATGGGTCTTTTTGTGAGTCTATGGGTCTCTGTGTGAGTCTATGGGTCTTTTGTGAGTCTATGGGATTCTGTGTAAGTTTGTGGGTCTCTGTGTGAGTCTATGGGTGTCTTTGTGAGTTTATGGGTGTCTGTGTGAGTCTGGGTTTCTGTGTGAGTCTATAGCTCTCTTTGTGAGTCTATGGGTCTTTTTGTGATTCTATGGGTCTCTGTGTGAGTCTATGGGTCTCTGTGTGAGTCTATGGGTCTCTGTGTGAGTCTATGGGTCTCTGTGTGAGTCTATGGGTCTCTGTGTGAGTATATGGGTCTCTGTGTGATTCTATGGGTCTCTGTGTGAGTCTGTGGGTCTCTGTGTGAGGCTATGGGTCTCTGTGTGAGTCAATGGGTCTCTGTGTGAGTCTATGGTTCTCAGTATGTGAGTCTATGCATCTCTGTGTGAGTCTGTGGGTCTCTGTGTGAGTCTATGGGTCTCTGTGTGAGTCTATGGGTCTCTGTGTGAGTCAATGGGTCTCTGTGTGAGTCTATGGTTCTCAGTATGTGAGTCTATGCATCTCTGTGTGAGTCTGTGGGTCTCTGTGTGAGTCTACGGGTCTCTGTGTGAGTCTATGGGTCTCTGTGTGAGTCTATGGTTCTCAGTATGTGAGTCTATGCATCTCTGTATGAGTCTGTGGGTCTCTGTGTGAGTCTACGGGTCTCTGTGTGAGTCTATGGTACTCAGTATGTGAGTCTATGCATCTCTGTGTGAGTCTGTGGGTCTCTGTGTGAGTCTACGGGTCTCTGTGTGAGTCTATGGGTCTCTGTGTGAGTTAATGGGTCTCTGTGTGAGTCTGTGGTTCTCAGTATGTGAGTCTATGCATCTCTGTGTGAGTCTGTGGGTCTCTGTGTGAGTCTACGGGTCTCTGTGTGAGTCTATGGGTCTCTGTGTGAGTTAATGGGTCTCTGTGTGAGTCTGTGGTTCTCAGTATGTGAGTCTATGCATCTCTGTGTGAGTCTGTGAGTCTCTGTGTGAGTCTACGGGTCTCTGTGTGAGTCTGTGGGTCTCTGTGTGAGTCTATGGGTCTCTGTGTATCTGTGTGATCTGTATGTTGCACTTCTTTGGCACCGTACGTAGCCAAACCGTGCTTTTCAGAGGTGCAGGGGACTCGCCAGCGTGGGGAAAGGTCAGAGTCGGAATCGGAATCTTTATTCAGACTGGAGAAATCCGATGAGCCGCGAAGCTCCATTTTTTTTAAAAACAGATTTCAAGTCGGGGGCGGGTCAGGAAGGTCGAGGAAGTTTAAAGCATTTGGCCACTGCTCTAAATTTCCACGTGACGATGATGATAAGCCACTTCGTTGTGTGATCGCCAGCTCACTTCTGAAAACGAGCCATCCAGCTCAGCGGGGCCTTAACCTGGTCACATAAAAAGTTGGTTGTATTTTTTTAATCGAACGGTGATGCCGTCGATGCCGCCGCCGCCGCCGCCGCTAACGGCGATCGCTTGTCCGCACACAGCTGACCGTCCGCTCATCGTCCAGTTTGCCGCCAACGACCCTCACGACCTCGCGGCGGCGTCGCTCGCCGTGGCCCCGTACGCCGACGGCGTCGACCTCAACTGCGGCTGCCCCCAGCGGTGAGGGACGGCTCCGTCGGCTCCCCCCGGGGCGTCGGGGAGCGACCTCGGGAAGGACCAGGCCGGGCGCCGGGCAGGATCGAGGCTGGATGTCGCTTGGGTCGGGCGTTTGCCGTGCGTAAGAACTGGCGGGGCTACGTTGTACGTATCCAGGCGCGCCACGGTGGCTAGGAGATGTCAATTACCTCGCCCGGTATGCAGGAGGTCGTGGGTTCGATAGCGACCCTGACACCTGTGCGTTTGCGGTTCTGCGCGTTTCTCTCTCCTCCTGGTTGCGTGGAATTTTATCCAGGCCCTCCGGTTTTTCCCGCCACGTTCAGAATCAACGTCACGCATTTGACTCTGATGAATGTCCACTTCGTTGAGCTGTCATTTGCGGTCACAATGATAGCTCATAGTATAGTTAAGGGGCCGTCCATAAATGACGTCACGCACCTGGGGGTGGGGGGGGGGGGTCAGACATTTGTGACGATGTGTGACGAGGGGGGTGTGGGGTTGAGAAATGTGACGTCACATCAAAATGATGAGCAACTTTAAATAAATATAGACAACACGTTCTGCTTAATTAAATCGACTTTTTAATAAAGGTTTTCTCCTACAACATCAGAGTGCAGCGCCACATTAAATACGCGCTACAATGTGACAATAGTTTAAAGCGATTTGAAGCATGTTTTTTTTTCTGGGGGTGGGGGGAAGAGCTTTGTGACGTCATATTTGAGGGGGGGGGGTCTGACTTTTTGTGACGCCGTGTGACGAAGGAGGCGGGGGGGGGTGGTCAAAAATCGTCCAAAACCGCGTGACGTCATTTATGGGCGGCCCCTAACATTGTCTTTCAAAGCAAACGGCGCTACGCCTCTCTAAAATGAAATGAACGCCGAGCCGCTCGCGAGTTCCGAGTTTTGGCGGTGAACGGGGGACACCCGCCCACCCTGCAACGTGCAGCCGTCTCGGAACGAGGAAGAGGTCAACTAAAGTGACACGTGCGGAGGAGCGCTTGCGTGGCGGTGTTAGCGCTACGCTGCGCCACGAACCCGCTGACCCGAGTACGGTCCTGGGCCTCCTCCCCTAGGTCGACTCGGCCTCAAATGAGTACCTGGTGGCCAGCACCACGGCCGGGCGTGGTGCTGGCCACCCGCCCCCTCGTGCGCCGTGCCGGCCTTCATAGGTGCTGCTCGCTAACGGCACTTTCTTACGGCTACACGGGGGATGTTTGTCTTTGTGTGTGCGGTGTGCGCAGCTGGGCCGTATCCGAGGGCTACGGTGCGTGTCTCCTGGACAAACCCGAGCTGGTGAGGGACATGGTGCGGCAAGTCCGAGCGAAGATTCCCGACCCCAACTTCAGCGTCTCCATCAAAATACGGTCGGGTTCATCCAACGTCACCAGCTCCTCCTCCTCCTCCTCCTCACACTTCGTCATCTGCTCATGCTCCTCCTGCTTCTCCTCTTCATCCTCCTGCCTCAACCTCTTCTACCACCCCCTGCCTCCTCCTCCTCCTGCCTCTTCCTATTCCTCCCCCCTCCTCCTCCTCCTCCTCATCCTACCCCCCACCCCTCCAACCCCCCCTCCTCCTCCCCTCCTCCTACCCCCCGCTCCTCCTCCCCCCTCCTCCTCCCCCCCTCCACCTCCTCCTCCCCCCCCCCTCCTCCTCCCCCCCTCCACCTCCTCCTCCCCCCCCTCCTCCTCCCCCCCTCCACCTCCTCCCCCCCCCTCCACCTCCTCCCCCCTCCTCCCCCCCTCTACCTCCTCCCCCCCCTCCACCTCCTCCCCCCCTCCTCCTCCCCCCTCCACCTCCTCCCCCCCTCCTCCTCCCCCCTCCACCTCCTCCCCCCCCTCCTCCTCCCCCCCCTCCACCTCCTCCCCCCCTCCACCTCCTCCCCCCTCCTCCCCCCCTCTACCTCCTCCCCCCCCTCCACCTCCTCCCCCCCTCCTCCTCCCCCCCTCCACCTCCTCCCCCCCTCCTCCTCCCCCCTCCACCTCCTCCCCCCCCTCCTCCTCCCCCCCCTCCACCTCCTCCCCCCCTCCACCTCCTCCCCCCCTCCTCCTCCCCCCCCTCCTCCTCCCCCCCCCTCCACCTCCTCCTACCCCCCCTCCTCCCCATCCCCTCCACCTCCTCCCCCCTCCACCTCCTCTTCCTCCCTCGCACGACCAGGCAGCGAGGCCCGCTGTTGCGCGTTCGAGCGACGCGGCCCGGGTCCGGGCTCTAACCCCTCCCCCCACCTCCCCACCCCCCCCCCCCCCACCTCCCCCCCCACCTCCGCGCGCTGCGCAGGGTGCACGAGGACACGGGCCGCACCGTGGAGCTGTGCCGGCGCGCCGAGGCCGCGGGGCTGTCCTTCGTGACGGTGCACGGGCGCACCGCGCGGGAGCGCCACCAGCCGGTGAGGACGGCGGCCGTGCGGGCCGTGAGCGACGCGCTCGCCGTGCCCGTCGTCGCCAACGGGGACGTGCGCACCGACGAGGAGGCGCGGCGGCTCGCCGCGGACACGGGCGCCAGCGGTGAGAGACGTCGGGGGCGGCGGCGGGTGGCGGGGGGGAGGGGAATGAGAATGGGAAGAGTCGGCGGGAGTGCGTTTGCCGCCGGGTAAAGTCTGCAGAGCTGGGGAGCTCGCGTTTTTTTACGCGAGGGCGAATCTCTCGGGAAGGCACCGGCGACGCATTCCGCGGCTGCAACGGCACACCCACATGCGTCACACTCGCGGACTCGCGCATCCCACCCGCTCGCTCGCTCGCTCGCCCACTCGCTCGTCCACACACCCACTCGGCCAGCCACTCGCTCGCTCGCCCACTCGCTCGTCCACCCACCCACTCAGCCAGCCGCTCTCTTTCTCGCTCGCCCACTCGCTCGTCCACCCACCCACTCAGCCAGCCGCTCTCTCGCTCGCTCGCCCACCCACCCACTCGGCCAGCCGCTCGCTCGCTCGCCCACTCGCTCGTCCACCCACCCACTCAGCCAGCCGCTCTCTCTGCTCACCCACTCGCTCTTCCACCCACCCACTCAGCCAGCCGCTCTCTCTGCTCACCCACTCGCTCTTCCACCCACCCACTCAGCCAGACATTATCTCGCACGCCCACTCGCACGCCCACTCGCACGCGGACTCGCCCATCACGCACTTCAAAGTTGGATGGATCAGAATTGTGTTTGCCGAGCAGCAGCCCGTGGAGCTGAGAAGCTCTTTTTCAAGGGTGACTCAGCCAGCAGACCCAGGTCTCACGGTTTCAAATGAGAGTCATCCCCTGGTCTCTTCGAGTTCTTGCGTGGTAAAGCAATCTACATTGGCACTGGAAGCACGCAATGATAGGGGTTGGGGTGGTGATAGGGGTTGGGGTAGTGATAGGGGTTGGGGTAGTGATAGTGGTTGGGGTAGTGATAGGGGTTGGGGTAGTGATAGGGGTTGGGGTAGTGATAGGGGCTGGGGTAGTGATAGTGGTTGGGGTAGTGATAGGGGTTGGGGTAGTGATAGTGGTTGGGGTAGTGATAGGGGTTGGGGTAGTGATAGGGGTTGGGGTAGTGATAGGGGTTGGGGTAGTGATAGGGGTTGGGGTAGTGATAGGGGCTGGGGTAGTGATAGTGGTTGGGGTAGTGATAGGGGTTGGGGTAGTGATAGGGGTTGGGGTAGCGATAGGGGTTGGGGTAGCGATAGGGGCTGGGGTAGTGATAGTGGTTGGGGTAGTGATAGGGGTTGGGGTGGTGATAGGGGTTGGGGTAGTGATAGGGGTTGGGGTAGTGATAGGGGTTGGGGTAGTGATAGGGGTTGGGGTAGTGATAGGGGTAGTGATAGGGGTTGGGGTAGTGATAGGGGTTGGGGTAGTGACAGGGGTTGGGGTAGTGATAGGGGTTGGGGTAGTGATAGGGGTTGGGGTAGCGATAGGGTTGGGGTGGCGATAGGGGTTGGGGTAGTGATAGGGGTTGGGGTAGTGATAGGGGTTGGGGTAGTGATAGGGGTTGGGGTGGTGATAGGGGTTGGGGTAGTGATAGGGGTTGAGGTGGTGATAGGGGTTGGGGTAGCGATAGGGGTTGGGGTAGCGATAGGGGTTGGGGTAGTGATAGGGGTTGGGGTAGTGATAGGGGTTGGGGTAGTGATAGGGGTTGGGGTAGTGATAGGGGTTGGGGTAGTGATAGGGGTTGGGGTAGTGATAGGGGTTGGGGTAGTGATAGGGGTTGGGGTAGTGACAGGGGTTGGGGTAGTGATAGGGGTTGGGGTAGTGATAGGGGTTGGGGTAGCGATAGGGTTGGGGTGGCGATAGGGGTTGGGGTAGTGATAGGGGTTGGGGTAGTGATAGGGGTTGGGGTGGTCCTAGCTGGGAGCAGGGGCATGATGGGCTAGGGGAGACGAGATGGCGGTTGTTTAAGGGAGCAACAGAAGCAGGTGATAGTGAAGATGATCGCTCCGGGCGCTGCAGGGCCAGTTGGTTCGAGTGCACGGCAGCGAGAAGGAGCGGCAGAGCGAGACTGGGCGCAGCGGGGCGAGCGTTACGTACACGTATCTATTCGTCCGTCTGAACGCTTGCTGTGTCTCCGTACGTATGCGTACACACGTGGCTACGTACGTGTGTATGTTGAACTTCTCTCGCACCGTACGTAGCCAAGCCTGCTAATCGGAGGTGCAGATAGGCTACACTGGGGATTTTTCGTGGCGCCACGGTGGCCAGGAGATGTTGACTACCTCGCCGGGTATGCAGGAGGTCATGGGTTCGATCCCGACCCTGATTCCTGCTCTATGTTTGGAGTTTGCGTGTCTCTCTTGCCGTGGTCGTGTGGATTTTTCTCTGGGTCCTCCGCTTTTCCCCTCCACGTTTAGAATCAACGTCGCGCGTCTACAAAGTATTTGGCCGCTGTCCATTTCCACGCTATGAGCCACATCGTTGAGCTATCACTTGTGATGGCCAGATAGCTCAGTGGGGCCTTACCTTGGTAAAATACAAAATAGTTTAGTTTTCGGTCGGTCCGCAACACGTACGGACGGATGTACGAATCGAGCGTGCGTGTGTGCGTGCGTGTGTGTGTGTGCGCGTGCGTGTGTGTGTGCGTGTGTGTGTGTGGGGAGCGGTAGTGTAGCGGTTAGCGCGCTGCGCTATGAACCTGGCGACCCGGGTTCGATTCCCGCTCACGGCCAACACCAGTGACGATTATCTGAACCGGTCCCAGGCCTCCCCTAGGTCGACTCAGCCTCAAATGAGTACCTGGTGCGGTGTGTAAACATTGCCACTAGGGAGACAAAGGCGGTCGGGCGTGGTGCTGGCCACCCACCCCCTCGTGTACCGTTCCGGCCTTCATAGGTGCTCGCTAACAGCACTTGCCCCTACAGTCTGTTAAGGCTATATGGGGGATCTTTATCTTTGTGTGCGTGTGGGGAGTGGTAGTGTAGCGGTTGGCGCGCTGCGCTACGAACCTGGCGACCCGGGTTCGATTCCTGCTCACGGTCAACACCGGTGACGATTATCTGAACCAGTCCTGGGCCTCCCCTAGGTCGACTCAGCCTCAAATGAGTACCTGGTGCGGTGTGTAAACATCGCCACTAGGGAGACAAATGTGGCCGGGCGTGGTGCTGGCCACCCACCCCCTACGCGTGCCGTGCCGGCCTTCACAGGTGCTGCTCGCTAACAGCACTTGCCCCAACAGTCTGTTAAGGCTACACGGGGGATCTTTGTCCTTGCCTCTGCTGCGGTTCAGGAGTGATGGTGGCTCGTGGCCTGCTGGCGAACCCGGCGCTGTTCGCCGGTTTCCCCGACACTCCGCTGGCTTGCGTCCGGGACTGGCTGGACTCGTCGCTGGCGCTGGGCGTCCCCTTCTGCTGCCTGCACCAGCACCTCGTGTTCATGATGGAGCGCCTGGCCTCGCGCTCGGACCGCCTCTCCTTCAACTCGCTGTCCAGCACCGCCGCCGTAGTGGACTTCCTGGCCGAGCGCTACGGAGTGTGAGAGCGCCCACTGGGGGTTTTCGGGGTTCCCGGCGACGGCTTAAATCTCTCTGTCTCTGTATTGCGTGCGCGCTCGCTCAGGAGATCACGATGGTCGCGAGTTTCCTTGTTTCGGACTTCAATGGGAGAGTCGAGGTGATGTCGTCACTGTTAGCACCACCTGGTGCGAAGATCAGAGGGTGGGCGGGGGGGGGGGGGGGGGGCGGGTTAATGTAGTCGTATCAATTACGATGGATCATGTTAATCCTGAGGACTAACGTACGTAGCCAACCGTGCTGATGGGAGGTGGCGGGGGGAGGGGGACGACAAACGAAACGCAAAAAGCCGTTCTAAAGAAATGTGAGTGTGAGGATTATTAGTGTAACCCTGCGTAAACTTGGAATCACGATCCAGTGGGACAGGGAGCGTGGAATCTCACGAGGTATGAATACAAAGCGGCCTATCGCTTGGTTACGCTTTCGGCCTAAGGGGCCGTCCATAAATGACGTCACGCACCCTGGGGGGGGGGGGGGTAGGGGTCAGACATTTGTGACGATGTGTGACGAGGGGGGGGAGGGGAGTTTGAGAAATGTGACGTCACATCAAATTGCGCAACTTTAAATAAATATAGACAACACGTTCTAACTTAATTAAATAGACTTTTTAATAAATGTTTTCTCCTACAACATCAGAGTGCAGCGCCGCATTAAATACGCGCTACAATGACAATAGCTTAAAGCGATTTGGAGAATGTTTTATTTTGGGGGGGGGCAGAGCTTTATGACGTCATATTTGAGGGGGGGGGGGGTCTGACTTTTTGTGACGCCGTGTGACGAGGTGGGTGGTGGTGGGGGGGTGGTCAAAAATCGTCCAAAATCGCGTGACGTCATTTATAGCCACCGCACGCTCCCCGGCAGACACCCCTCCCCCCCCCACCACGTCCACGCGTCCGTGACGTCGGCGTGGATCTCAACGGCCACGAGGGCCACCCTGGGCCTGCTGCGCTGGCGCGCCCGTGCCCTGGGCAGCAGCTCGCGTTGCACAGAGCCTGGGCGGCGGGAACTCTGTGGTGGACTGGCCTTGCCGCACCTCATCACACCTCGTCGCGCCCTCGGTGTCCCCCTGCGTCTCGTCCTCTCCGTTCACAATCTCTCTCAGTCTCTCGGACACCTGTGGGGGGGAAAAGAGCTTCATGGCTCGTCGGGTCTCTACAGGGTAAATAAATCTAGATTTGAAGTTTGAATCTGGATTCGTAGTTTTAATTTGCAGGATAAATAAAGGTCGCGATTTCATTTTCACTGTGGCTTCGTTACGTTTTATTTTGTTTGCACAGTGTTACAGAGCGCCTCACCTTGGCCTTAGGTGTTCCATACGGATATCGAATCGGTGTGGCGCACATCGGCGATGACGTCACAAAGGAACGGTGACGTCGCGCGCGAAGTGACGTCACAGTAGCGAGTCATTTCGGTTTCATTTGATTCATTTTGGCATAGCCCTGCGAGCCATTCGTCTCTTGAATCGGGTGCAACCGCAACAACACAAAAAAACTAAAACATGAACAAGAAAAAACATCCTCTTTGGTTTTATTCGGTAAAGTCACGTGGGTAAAAAGTAATTAAAATAAAATAAACAATTAAAACACGACGTTTCGGAGGCAACGCAAGCTTCCGTCTTCAGGTGGGACCAGTCACAGCCAAAATCGCTGCACCAAGTGGCGAGGCTCTGGGAACCTGGGAACCTACCTTAACCTGTATTTAAGCGCTAGTTTTCCCAGAGCCTTGCCACTTGGTGCAGCGATTTTGGCTGTGACTGGTCCCACCTGAAGACGGAAGCTTGCGTTGCCTCCGAAACGTCGTGTTTTAATTGTTTATTATATTTTATTTAGTTTTTACCTACGTAACTTTACCGAATAAAACCAAAGAGTATGAATCGTTGCAGTCACGAAAGCTTCAAATCTAGAAGAAAAACATCTTAAAGTGACTGTGCGCAAACAGAAACGCCATTTGACGTCGCTGTATTCGGTCACCCCCACGGTAACATCGACGCCGTCATAATTTTGATTTGAAGCTTTCGTGACTGCAGGGATTCATATTCTTGGTTCTTTCGGTAAAGTCACGTAGAAGGGAAACAATAAAATAATAAAAATATAAAAAAATAATTCTCACGACTTTTCGACTGCAACACAAGCAATCATCATCAGGTGTGAAAAACACGGCAAGAAAAATTTGAAAAAGTGGCGTTTTTATTAACGTTAGCACCACGGAGAGCGATTTGGCAGTCATTCAGATGGACGAGTCCATCTATGTTCGGAAAAGAGGAGGGGGGAGACGAAAAATAATGGATGCGGTCTGAAAGCCATCGTAAGCGTGAACAATCAATTAAGACCCGAAATGGTTTATCAAATCCTTCCAATGATTGCTAAGCCAGAATCCATCTTCTCGGTTGAAATTGTCTCTGTGTTTGTATATGTAGATAGCCTCATGAACGAATCTCTCATGGTAGCCAGATGGCTTGCAAAGAACCTCTGTCTTGGAGAAGTCAATGTCTTAGCAATCATTGGAAGGATTTGATAAACCATTTCGGGTCTTAATTGATTGGTCACGCTTACGGTGGCTTTCAGACCGCATCTATTATTTTCGTCTCCCCCCTCCTCTTTTCCGAACATAGATGGACTCATATTCTTAGTTTTTTTCGGTAAAGTCACGTTGAAGAGAAACAACAAAATAATAAAATATATAAAACAAAATTCTCACGACGTTTCGACCATAACTCAAACGGTCGTCTTCAGGTGTGTTGGTTTGCATAAATGTATTTTTAAACGGCGCATTTATTTATTTATTTATAAAAAAAAAACGTTAGCGCCACGCGCAACGATTTGGCAGTTTACCCAGGACTAGTCCATCTATATTCTGAAAAGAGGAGGGGGGAGACGAATTTTTTTTATATATATAATGTATGCTGTCTGAAAGCCACTGTAAGCGTGAACAATCAATTAAGACCTGAAATGGTTTATCAAATCTTTCCAATGATTGCTAAGATAGAATCCATCTTCTCGGTTGAAATTGTCTCTGTGCTTGTATATGTGGATAGCTTCATGAACGAATCTCATGGAAGCCAGATGGCTTACAAAGAACCTCTGTCTTGGAAAAGTCAATGGCATGTGAGCCTACTGAATTAGAACAATGATCTGCCAAGGCCGAGGTGTTGGTCCTACCGTGTTTAAGGTCTGCTTTGTGTTCACGAATGCGGTCCGAGACATGGCGTTTGGTTTCTCCAATGTAACTACTACCACAGAGGCAACTTAGTTTGTAGACACCAGGGTATTGTATGTCCGGAATCACATCTTTTACAGACGGAACCAGATCACGAATTTTATGTAATGTGTTGAAACGGACCTGGATCTTGTGTTTATTCAAGATTTTGGAGATGTTTTTTGTGATCCCAGCAATGTAGGGTAAAGTGATGGTTTTGAAAGGCTCCTCAAGAGGGTTTTTCTTCATGGTTTGAGTGATAGCTTTGCGGATTGTATAGTCGGAGTAACCATTAGCCCTAAGAGCTTGGTGTACGTGCTTGAGTTCACTGCTTATGTGTTCCTGGTCGGATATGCATTGGGCTCTATGATACAGAGTCTTGATGAGAGAATTCTTCTGTGATGGATGGTGGTGGGAATCCGGTTTCAGATAAGCATCCGTATGGGTAGCTTTCCTGTAGACAGAGTGGCTCATTGAACCATCAGGTCTCTTTTTAATTAGGACATCCAAAAAAGGTATCTTGCCATCTATTTCGTCTCCCCCCTCCTCTTTTCAGAATATAGATGGACTAGTCCTGGGTAAACTGCCAAATCGTTGCGCGTGGCGCTAACGTTTTTTATAAATAAATAAATGCGCCGTTTAAAATACATTTATGCGAACCAACACACCTGAAGACGACCGTTTGAGTTATGGTCGAAACGTCGTGAGAATGTTTTATTGTTTTATATATATTTTATTATTTTGTTGTTTCTCTTCAACGTGACTACCGAAAAAAAACTAAGAATATGAATTACTGCAGTCACGAAAGCTTTAAATCAAAATAGATGGACTCGTCCATCTGAACAAACTGTCAAATCGCTCTCCGTGGTGCTAACGTTAAAAAAACCCGCCACTTCAAATTTTCTTGCTGTGGTTTTCACACCTGATGATGATTGCTTGTGTTGCAGTCGGAACGTCGTGAGAATTTTTATATTTTTATATTTTTATTATTTTATTGTTTCTTTTCCACGTGACTTTGGCGTCATAATTGTAAAGAGACTGTCTTCAGTTATTGCGTCACGCAGCGAGAATGACGTCATGTACCGTAGAGGCAACGTCCGCGAGGAAAGGGGGTGTGGGGGAAGGAATACGGCAATGACGTCATTCCACAGGCGGTCTAATTAACATCAAAAGGGGCGCAATTGTCAATTGGGACGAACGTCGTCATGTATCGCCGGTCGATGAGACGACGTCATCCCGCAGCTTTGTGTTTTTTTTAGCGCAGTGAGTGACGTCATCGCGGGGCGGAGTTGCGCGGTCCACACGAAGCGAGAGACATCAGGAGCAGCAGCATCGTCTGCGCGAGCGGACATCATCAGCAGCAGCAGCAATCAGTGAAGTAAAAACAACAACAACATCATCAGCAGCAGCGCCATTCGCCGCGTCTCCCCATCCATCATCCTCGGACGTGAGGCGATATTAAAATTTCAACGGCGCGAATCGATTCCTAACCTTTATCCTAAAATGTAATCGAACCGCAATTTTTCTAAAACCCGCCGCGGTGAAGTCGGAATCGATTTGCGCGATCGACAGCTGGGGAATCGCTACGCCGCGAGGGGCTGGGACGGGGCGAGTTGCCGCTCCCGGGGGGGTGCGCGCGCGCGACCGTCCCGAGGGCGACGCGCGCGGGGATTGCCGATCACACGCGGGGATTGCCGATCACGCGCGGAGCACGAACGCGCTGCGCGAATCGCGGCTTTGATTCGAGAAAGTGGAATCGAATCGCGGGGTTTGCGCGGCGGCGGCGGTTGGGACGGGGGAGTCGCCCGCGCCGGCGAATCGCCTCGTGGTCACGAATCGCCTCGTTCGTGCTAGCTGATGAGGTCATCAGATAAACAGCTGATGAGATATGCTAATGAGCAGAACGAGATATGCTAATGAGCAGAACGAGATATGCTAATGAGCAGAACCAGATATGCTAATGAGCAGCACGAGATATGCTAATGAGCAGAACGAGATATGCTAATGAGCAGAACGAGCTATACTAATGAGCAGAGCGAGATATGCTAATGAGCTCATGAACAGAACGATATATGCTAATGAGCAGAATGAGATATGCTAATGAGCAGAACGAGATATGCTAATGAGCTGATGAACAGAACGAGATATGCTAATAAGCTAATGAGCAGAACGAGATATGCTAATGAGCTCATGAACAGAACGAGCTATGCTAATGAGCTCATGAACAGAACGAGATATGCTAATGAGCTCATGAACAGAACGAGATATGCTAATGAGCTCATGAACAGAACGAGATATGCTAATGAGCAGAACGAGATATGCTAATAAGCTAATGAGCAGAACGAGATATGCTAATGAGCAGAACGAGATATGCTAATGAGCTCATGAACAGAACGAGATATGCTAATGAGCTCATGAACAGAACGAGATATGCTAATGAGCAGAACGAGATATGCTAATGAGCTAATGAGCAGAACGAGCTATGTTAATGAGCTCATGAACAGAACGAGCTGTGCTAATGAGCTCATGAACAGAACGAGCTATGCTAATGAGCTCATGAACAGAACGAGCTATGCTAATGATCTCATGAACAGAACGAGATATGCTAATGAGCTCATGAACAGAACGAGATATGCTAATGAGCTCATGAACAGAACGAGCTATGCTAATGAGCTCACGCACAGAACGAGATATGCTAATGAGCTCATGAACAGAACGAGATATGCTAATGAGCTCATGAACAGAACGAGATATGCTAATGAGCTCATGAACAGAACGAGCTATGCTAATGAGCTCACGCACAGAACGAGATATGCTAATGAGCTCATGAACAGAACGAGATATGCTAATGAGCTCATGAACAGAACGAGATATGCTAATGAGCAGAACGAGCTATGCTAATGAGCTCATGAACAGAACGAGATATGCTAATGAGCTCATGAACAGAACGAGATATGCTAATGAGCAGAACGAGCTATGCTAATAAGCTCACGAACAGAACTAGATATGCTAATGAGCAGAACGAGCTATGCTAATGAGCTGACGAGGACAAGTCGCCAGCTTGGCTGTGGCGTTCCCCCGCCCCTCCCCGTGCACTTTCGAAGTTTCTCCTGCACGGTGTCCGTGTCTCCTCCTCGGGCCCCGGCTTGAAAGGCTTTACTGGGACGCACGCGGCTGAGAACCGCGTTTTGAGTTTGCGTTTAAATATAATCCCGTTTGTCTGTCCCGCAGCCGCCTACCTCGTCCACATCCTCGTCTCATCCTCCTCGTCTCATCCTCCTCCTCGGCTCCGTGATGGACGCCGCCTCGAAGCAGCAGGACGGAGCCCAGCTCATGGCGGAGGCCGACAAGAAAGTGAAGGGGGCGCAGAGCTTCCTCGGAGGCCTTTTTGGGTCGGTGGCGTCCTCAACAATGGCCCGCGGTGGCCGTGTCAGCGTGTGCGTCGCGGTCGGCCCGGGGAGCGGTGGCGCAGCGGTTAGCGCGCTGCGCTGCGAACCCGGCAGGCCCCGAGTTCGACTCCCGCTCGCGGCCACCAACACCCAGTGACGACTATTCTGAACCGATCCTGGGGTTCCCCTGGGTCGACTCGGCCTCAAAATTGAGTAGCTGGTGCGGTGTTTAAGCATCATTACTGGGGAGACAAAGGCGGTCGGGCGTGGTGCTGGCGACCCACCCCCTCGTGTACGCGTGTACGGTTCTGACCTTCACGAGTGCTCACGAACAGCACTTGCCCCTACAGTCTGTTAAAGGCTATACGGGGGCTATTTGGTTTTTGTGCCAGTGTGTGTTGTTGTGTCACTGAGTGTTGTGTCAGTGTGTGTTGTTGTGTCAATGTGTGTTGTTGTGTCAGTGTGTGTTGTGTCAGTGTGTGTTGTATCAGCTTGTACTGCGCCAGTGTGTGTTGTGTCAGTATGTGTGTTGTGTCAGTGTGTGTTGTGTTGTGTCAGTATGTGTGTTGTGTCAGTGTGCCAGCGGGCGTTCGACACTTCACGTGGCCTCAAAGTGCACATGGACTGGCACAGGGTCGTGGTGATGTCACCGCTGGTGTTGTGTCAGTGTGTGTCATGTAGCCCGCATGCCCAGCCACCGCATGCCGAAACAGCTTTTGTTCGGCCGGATCGAGGGGGCTAAACGGGCGCGGCACGGGCTAGAGAAGAGATGGAGTGATGTGGTACAGGAGGACGTGGAGCTGAGTGGACTTGCCGATGACTGATACCAGCGGTGTCAAGATCGGCCTCTGTGGAGGAGGCTCGTGAAGGACGCTACTGGGCAGTTGGAGGCAGTCGCCCTCCAACAACAACGGAGGGCGGAGGAGCGACGCTCACAACAAGGAGCGGAGCGCCGGGTGGCTAAAGCACAGCAGGTTGGCACAGTAGGGGGCACAGGTGGTGCATCAGCCAGTCATCTCAGTCAGTCGACCCGTGACACCTGGGTCTGCCCCGTGACCTCCTGCCAGCGGGCGTTCGACACTCCACGTGGCCTCGAGGTGCACATGGCCTGGCACAAGCGTCGTGGTGACGTCACCGCCACTTAGTGGCGAATGGCGGTTGTTGTTGTTGTTGTGTCAGTGCACGACATTGTGTGGTTGCGCCGTGTTGATGGTGAATCGGTGTGTTACGTGAAGAAGCACTGTTGCCCAAAACGTCCCCTGTTATATTATTTTCCTTTTAAAGAGACGTCATTGAACAATCCGTTCGTTCCATACGCGAGTCTATGGCTCACTGTGGGCCCTGGTGAAAGGAATAAATTGGGACCCCCCCCCGCCTCCCCCCCTCTAATTTCTCCCATCTCTACGTAGCCCGGCGCCTGAGCCCCTCAAATCTGCGGGCTCCGGTGCAGTTGCACCGCCTGCACGCTCGATAGCTACTTCACTGGGTCCTCGCCTTAGTCTGTAGGTTCTGTGCAAATCTAGAGGTGCTATGTTGGCCTGTGGGTTTCACGTTAAGCATTTGGGTCGCCCCTCTTCGTAGCCCAACACCTGGGTTCCTTCCAGCCCCTGGTTCCCCGGGGCAGCTGCACCGCCTGCACCCTCGCTAGCTACGCCGTTGCCCCGCCGTGCACCCGTAGGTGCGGTCGTCCCGTGAGAACCAACGTTTCCGTTCTACCCGGTTCGTCGTGTTTTTTTTTTTTCCCCCCTCTCTAAAGCCAGCGTCATCTCAAATCCCTCCGCTCTTCACGTGAATCTCTGCGGGGGGTGGGATTTCGGTGGTGGTCGGGGCCGCAGCTTCTCGGGTTTAATAATGGGTAGGACATCGCTCGCAGGGGAAACGGAATCGCGTGCTATTATTACGCCGCTCGCCTGCGCGATGCAACCTCCCTACCCCCCCCCCCCCCCCCACACACGCACACACCGCTGATTTCCACGGGTTCATTGTGACATTTACCGAATTCTCTGCAATAGATTATTTCGAGTATTTTGCCGCTGCTATACATTTCCACTTCGTTGAGCTATCATTTGTGGCCAGGTCGCTTCTGAAAATGAAGCTTACAGCTTAGTGGGCTTTACTTGGTAAGATAATAAAAAAAAATGTTTAGTTTTATTTCTATATATATTTTAAACGTAATTTACCTTTCTATAATCTTGATTTGAAGCTTTCGTGACTGCAGGAATCCATACTCTTTGGTTCTTTCGGTAGAGTCACGTGGGTAGAAATAAAACAAAATAAATCATCTTCAGTAGGCTCGCATGACATTGACTTTTCCAAGACAGAGGTTATCTGCAAGCTATCTGGCTACCATGAGAGATTCGTTCATGAGGCTATCCACATATACAAACACAGAGACAATTTCAACCGAGAAGATGGATTCTGGCTTAGCAATCATTGGAAGGATTTGATAATCCATTTCGGGTCTTAATTGATTGTTCACGCTTACGGTGGCTTTCAGACCGCATCCATTATTTTCGTCTCCCCCCTCTTTACCGAACATAGATGGACTCGTCAATCTGAATAACTGCCAAATCGCTCTCCGTGGTGCTAACGTAAAAAAAAAACGCCACTTTTTTCAAATTTTCCTGCTGTGGTTTTCACACCTGATGATGATTACTTGTGTTGCAGTCGAAACGTGATAATTTTATTGTTTTATATTTGTATTATTTCATTATTTCCCTTCTACATGACTTTACCGAAAGAACCAAGAATATAAATCCCTGCAGTCACGAAAGCTTTAAATAAAAAAATAAATCACATTTATTTTGATTTATTTTGTTTTATTTCAACCGACGTGACTTTACCGAAAGAACCAAAGAGTATGACTTTTCTATACTTTCCACTCCTGTCATATATTGTTTGTTGTTGTAACTTCATGACCCGCCCCTACTGGACATCGGTGGGAAAAGAGCTTCATAGCTCATCGGATTCCTCCAGTATAAACCGATATTCTGACTGAGAAGTCACGCCTTCCCTCCCCCTCCCATATTTTCAAGGTGGCTCAACGGGAAGAGCGAGTGGGTCGCAGCAATCGGAAATTGCGAGTTCAAATCCTGGTTGCAGGTTGACTCAGCCCATCATCCCCCTCTGGGGTCGATAAATTGAGGCACCACAGTGTGGAGAAGTCAACGGTGCGTGCATGTCATGTGGATAGACTCGCCCACCGTCGTACGAATGTGGAATTTCCACGGCTGGCCCTGCAGTGCCGTACACAGAAGATGGGGAACCAATGCTTTCAATACCCATGTGTGCATGAAATCACTTTCCTTCACTATTTTAAAGCAAAAGTTGGGGGTTTATCTTATGATGTGCAGATTATGGTAATGGGGTTATGTACAGCGTATGAGTCTTTGGGGAGCAGCAGCTGTGTACAGTGGTGAGAGCACCTCACGATAGCAAAATCCTGAGTTCGATTCCTGGCCCACGGATAACATCGGTGGTGAGTGATATCTGAACTGGTCCTGGGGGGGACCGGTTCACTAGGTGGGGAGGCCTTAATCCAGCAGTGAATGGTCCATGGCTGATGATGATGATGAAGAGCTCACTGAGACGATGAAGCCGGCTTTCAAGAGGAAATCTTTGATGCGGATAAAAACAGCAATGCAGCAGATGACGTGGGGAGTTTATTGGAGTGTTGAGTGGGGTGACGAGATGTTAACTACCTCGCCTTGTGCACAGGAGGTCGTGGGTTCGATCCCGACCCTGACGCCTGCTGTATATTTGAAGTTTGCGTGTCTCTCTCTCTCATCACGGTGGCTATGAGATGTTAACCATCTCGCCTGGTGCACAGGAGGTCGTGAGTTCGATCCCAACCCTGACGCCTGCTGTATATTTGAAGTTTGCGTGTCTCTCTCTCTCATCACGGTGGCTAGGAGATGTTAACCACCTCGCCTGGTGCACAGGAGGTCGTGGGTTCGATCCCCACCCTGACGCCTGCTGTATGTTTGGAGTTTCCATGTTCTCCCTGTGGTCACGTGGATTTTTCTCCGGGTCATCTGGTTTTTCCCTCCATGTTAATAAACATTTGCTTAGAGTATTTAGTTGCGCTACATTCCACATGATAAGCCACTTCAAATAAAAATTAGCGTTGAGCGGAGCGTTGAGCGGAGTGTTTCCCGTGCGTGTGTGTCTGGCAGGGGACCGGCAAGACTCGCGGAAGCGTGCGAGATTTACACGCGTGCCGCCAACTCGTTCAAGATGGCTAAAAACTGGAGCGGTGAGTGAGGCTTAGGCAGTACAGTATTCTTTTTATTTATTTCGCGAATGCGTTTACACGTGACTGTCATGCAGTTAGAGCAACCAGATGCACGATATTTTTTTCATCATTACGTAAATACCCGTGTTTACTCGATGTTATATTGTGAGCGAATGGCAGCCCACGTAGCCACAGGGGCATGCTGCAGCCTCCCTCTCCGCCACGTGCAGGACAACCACCCGGCCTGGCACGCCGTGACAGACTTCACGGCCAGAGACGATGTGCGCCGTGGTCTCCTGGCTCCCCGCATTCACACGGCGGGGCTGTCGCGTAGCAGCACGATGCCCCATCGACATTCGAAAGCTGCACTTGTAGGTCAATGCGAGGTCCTCTCGCAGGCGAGGCTGCGTTGGCCGGGGCACGTGGCCCGCATTCCCAGGCCAACGCACGGCCAAAAGCGGCTTCTGTTTGGCCGGATTAGAGGGGGCTAAACGGGCATGGCGAAGGATAGAGCAGATTCGCTGATGTGATATTGGAGGTTGTGGAGCTCCTTGGACGTGCAGATGACTGTTACCAGCGGTGTCGAGATCGGCCTCTGTGGAGGAGGAGGCTCGTGAAGGACGCTGCTACTGGGCAATTGGAGGCAGTCGCCCTCCAGCGTCAATGGAGGGCGGTGGAGCGACGCTCACAACGAGCGGGGTGCCGGGCGCCTAAAACACAGCAATGAGACACAGGAGGGAGCACAGGTGGTGCATCTGCCAGTCATCTTGGTCAACCCATGGCACCTGGGTTTGTCCCGTGACCTTCCAGCGAGCCTTTAAATGTGTGTGATTGTGTATGAATATGTCACTGTATGTATGTAAGGATATGTATTTGTGTACATGTAAAGATGTAAGGATTTACACACACGTATGTTCATATGTGCTTGGTCGACTGGGCCTTAAATTTGAGTACCTGGTGCGGTGTGTAAACATCGCCACTCGGGAGACGAAGGCGGTCGGGCGTGGTGCTCGCCACCCACCCCCTCGTGCGCCGTGTCGGCCTTCATAGGCGCTGCCCCGCTAACAGCACTTGCCGCCAAACAGTTGATGAAGGCTATTCGGGGGACCTGTGCCTTTGTTTGCGCCTAGGGGCTGGCGATGCGTTCTGCCACGCCGCACGCCTGCACCTACAGATGCAGAACAAACACGACGCGGCTGTGAGCTACGTGGATGCGGGCAATGCCTACAAGAAGGCCGATCCACACGGTACGCACGCACACAGCACGTAGCCATCCACACGTTACGCACGCACACAGCGCCACGTAGCCATCCACACGGTACGCACGCACACAGCACCACGTAGCCATCCACACGGTACGCACGCACACAGCACCACGTGGCCATCCACACGGTACGCACGCACACAGCACCACGTAGCCATCCACACGGTACGCACGCACACAGCACCACGTGGCCATCCACACGGTACGCACGCACACAGCACCACGTAGCCATCCACACGGTACGCACGCACACAGCACCACGTAGCCATCCACACGGTACGCACGCACACAGCACCACGTGGCCATCCACACGGTACGCACGCACACAGCACCACGTAGCCATCCACACGGTACGCACGCACACAGCACCACGTGGCCATCCACACGGTACGCACGCACACAGCACCACGTAGCCATCCACACGGTACGCACGCACACAGCGCCACGTAGCCATCCACACGGTACGCACGCACACAGCATCACGTAGCCTTCCACACGGTACGCACGCACACAGCGCCACGTAGCCATCCACACGGTACGCACGCACACAGCATCACGTAGCCATCCACACGGTACGCACGCACACAGCACCACGTAGCCATCCACACGGTACGCACGCACACAGCATCACGTAGCCATCCACACGGTACGCACGCACACAGCATCACGTAGCCATCCACACGGTACGCACGCACACAGCGCCACGTAGCCATCCACACGGTACGCACGTACGGACACACGGGCGCTTGTAGCACCACGTAACCTCGTCTCTTCACATGTACATACTTGGGGCGCTGCGGTGGAGAGACGTTAACTCCCTCCTCGCCTGGTGTGCAGGAGTTCGTGGGTACGACCTTTACGCCCGTGGTATATTTTGAGTTTGCGTTTTCACTCTCTCTCTCCCCGTGGTCGCGTGGATTTTGCTCCGGGCCCTCCGGTTTTTCCCTCCGCGTTTAGAAACACGCGTTTAGAGTTTTTGGCTGCTGCTGTATATTTCCACGTGATAAGCCACTTCGTTGGGCTATGAGTTGTGGTCAGGTCACTTCTGAAAAAGAGCTACGCAGCTTGGTGGACCTTACCTGGTGAAATAAAAATATTTGTTTTGTTTATAGTCCAGTAGTCACCCTATATCTGTTTAATGTACATTTATTTTTAATTGTCAATGTACCGAGATCAGTCTAATAATAATAATAATCTGCCCGTGACGAACTACGCTTGCAGGGAATACTGAACACTGATTGGTGTTTGTGCAGTCTTTTCGATTTCTCCTGCGACGCCGTGTTTTTTTGTGCACCGATTTCTATTCGCTTCATTGCTGCACTTGCCTTTATTTTGAGTTTTGTTATTTTTTTTCTTGACCCAGGTCACGCTTTCAAATGAGAAATCATCCCCTGGTCTCTGCGAGTTCTAGCTCGGTTAAACAAACTGCACTGGAACTTGAAGCACTCAATACCACACACACACACACAACTACACACAGAGTACTGCTATACACAATACTATACACACACTACTATACACACAATACTATACACACAATACTATACACCCACTACTATACACACACTACTATACACACAATACTATACACACACTACTATACACACAATACTATACACACACTACTATACACACACACTACTATACACACACTACTATACACACAATACTATACAGAGGACCAAAGAAAATGACAAAGATAATACCGTGTTCATGGTACTGTGTGTATAGTATACCGTGGAGGGTTGTAGCGCTACGCTGCGTTACGAACCCGGCGACCCGAGTTCGATTCCCGTTCACGGTCAACACCGGTGACGATTATCTGAACCGGTCCTGGGCCTCCCCTAGGTCGACTCAGCCTCAAATGAGTACTTGATGCGGTGTGTAAACATCGCCACTGGGGAGACAAAGGCGGCCGGGCGTGGTGCTGGCCACCCGTCCCCTCGTGTGCCGTACTGGCCTTCATAGGTGCTGCTGCTCGCTAACAACACTTGCCCTAACATTCTGTTAAGGCTATACGGGGGATCTTTGTCTTTGTGTGTGACTCCAATCTGTGATTTTCTCCTTTTGCTGACTGTTCAGAGGCGATCAACTGCCTCACCCGGGCCATTGAGATCTTCACCGACATGGTAGGTGCCTACATGGGCATGATCAACCACCGCTACCTCCTCACTCCTCCCTACCCACCACACCTCTACTCTCGCCTTGCACGGAAGGCTCATGGTAGAACCCTACGCAGCGTCGCTCGAAATCTGCTTCGGACACCAAAGGTCTCTGAACTGTTACAGCTTCACGTCACTATACACTACACTATACACTACACTATACACTACACTATACTACTATACACTACACTATATATTACTATACATTACACTATACACTACACTATATACTACTATACACTACACTATATATTACTATACATTACACTCTATACTACTATACACTACACTATATACTACTATACATTACACTATACACTACACTATACACTACACTATATATTACTATACATTACACTTTACTGTTATAGCCTCACGGCGGTCCTCTGCTGTTACCCCCTTGGTGTGGAACTCTGTAATCCCTTTGTACATCCGCAGCATCAAATGCACTCCGACTTTTAAGAAACATCTAAAGGCTTAAATTTTGATTTAAAGCTTTCGTGACTGCAGTGATTCATATTCTTGATTCTTTCGGTAAAGTCACGTTGAAGGGAAACAATAAAATAATAAAATATATATAAAAATAAAATTCTCACGACGTTTCGACTGCAACACAAGCAGTCATCATCAGGTGTGAAAACCAACGCCACTTCTTTCAAATGTTCTTGCCGTTGGTTTCCACACCTGATGATGACAGCTTGTGTTGCGGTTGAAACGTCGTGAGAATTTTTATTGTTTTATATATATTTTTAATTATTTTATTGTTTCCCTTCAACGTGACTTTACCGAAAGAGCCAAGAATATCCAAAGGCTTCTCTATCTGTGTAGGGTTTCGGGGCTTTCGAACAGCCCACGAGCTTGGCTCCGTGCCCCTGAGTTGTTGACAAAATCTGTCGCGTTACAGATGTCATTGGTCTTGTTAGAGATAGTCAGTGGCGTGGTACGTGCCTACATGGCCATCTCCCCTCCCTATTCTTTGGTTCTATTGGGTAAAGTCACGTAATAGAACCAAAGAGTATGGATCCTAGCAGTCACGAAAGCTTTAAATCTAGAATTCATCTCCCTACCTCCCTCCCTCCACCGTCAGACATCTGTCTCTCCGCGTACATTTTTTTTTCAATTATGTCTTACGCAGCCCATCAGCTGCGCCGCCTTCTGGGAGTGCAGCATTGCATCCGTCTTATTGGCGTTCTAGCCCTGCTTAGAACGTCGTTAGACAGTTTAACACGTAGGCTTTCGCGACCAATATTATTCACAATAAAGGTTTTTGGGTTAGATCGCGTTATTTATAAACGTGTCGTAACTTTGATCGCTCTGACAGCTACAGGCTTAGTGCGGCCTGGAAGCGTATTATTAAATAATACACATTACAATTCCTTATAGGGGAAACACATACTAATTAACGGATTACTAACATAGCATATAATCACTAACACACATTACAACTAATTACTAATCTACAACTCATTACTAATCATAACCATTGACTGATTACTAATCGATTATATAATTACAATACCCCCCCTCCGCCTCAAATAACTGCACCTGAAATGAGTTAAATGATGACGTCACCCTGCTGCTCTATTTAAGACCGGGAGCAAGTGAGGGCTTTACCATTCTGGTGAATTGCCCGATGATGCTGGATGTAATTTCCAGCGAAACGTCGTACTCAAACTGCAAATGTTGTGGATTCACTCTTCAACACACCGGTGGGCTAAAGTAGTGAATTATTTGTCTTTTGTCAACGTGACACTTTTTTTGCTGATTGGCTGTGTCGGGTGGTGGAGGGTTACGACACATTTATAAATAACGCGATCTAACCCAAAAATCTTTATTATGAATAACGTCCTTAGAAAAATAAATAAGTGTACAATATGCCCCTCCCTTCACACACCCGTCTCTACACGTGAAATTAAATAATGTCTTACATAGCCCATTAGCTGCACGGCCTTCTGGGAGTGTATCATTTCGGCAGCATTGATTCAAATACAAGCACACTCTGGACAGGTTTCAACATGCAGTGTCTCATCGGCAGTGTCAGGCTTCCTTCAATAGATCCTGGGGCGTGTCACACTGGCGATATGTTAACTACCTCGCCTGGTATACAGGAGGCCGTCGGTTCGATCCCAACTCGGAAGCCTGTATATTTGGAGTTTACATGTTATCCCAGTGGTCGCGTGGATTTTCCTCCGGGTCCTCCCGTTTTCCCCTCCACATTTAGAAACACGCGTTTAGGGTATTTGGCTGCTATAGATATCCACATGGTAAGCTACTTCGTTGAGCTCTCATTTGTGGCCAGGTAGCTTCTGAAAAAGGGTCGGGATCGAACCCACGACCTCCTGTATACCAGGCGAGGTAGTAGACATCTTGCCACCGTGGCGCCCCGAAATAAGTCGTATCGTGGAGTCCATATTTAACAATCACCATTCAGGATATAGGAATAGGTTTGACCCTTTTAACTGGCACAAAAACTGACACTTTTATTCAAGGCATCATGTTTGCAATAACCACAACACAAGCAGTCAAAATGCAAACAAAAAAGACAACTCTGATAATAATATGCACTGTCCTTGAATTTGATTGGTCCACACCCGAGACGGCTTTTCTTAGAGCCTAGTCTCTATTGGTGTTGGACCAGAAGACGCCAAAAGTCGTACAACTCAAATAAAAATCACCATTCACTCAAACTTAGAGAAATATAAATTAACATATTTTCCTGAAACGAATGGCGGATTTCACGTCGCCTCCGTGATCTCGATGGGCTTTAGTTTTTTTCAGTTTTATCACAGTTGCTGAGCACAGTTAGGCCCAAAGACTCGGCACCAGGCGGCCAGCAACCAACAGCACTATGAAAGGTGTAATAGATAAAGAGTCGATGCGTGTCTTGAAGTGAGTGAGGTTATGATGAGGATGAACCAAAGAGTATGGATGCTTGCAGTCACGAAAACTTCAAATCTAGGATGATATAATTGCTCAACCCGACCTATATAAGTGTGCTGATACTTGCATTCTCTTTGTGTGCTATTCGCCTTTTGGCGTTCTCTGGTTCTACTGACACTGCTGAGACAAGGCCATAGAGAAGACTTATCTCTGGCCTAGGCCAATCAGTTTAGAAGACAATGCTTAACAATATTATCAGAGCGTGTTTGTTTTCATGTTGTCACAAGTATGTGCGGTTAATGCAGGCCTAATGCCTTGCAAAAGGTTTAATCTATTTTGGTGTTTGAACATCTTAACACAAATCCCTGTTTTATTGCCAGAAATGGTAAAACCTATTCTTATTGTTTTTTTACATCATTAATGATGATGATGGTGCGTGTGTATGGGGGGTGGTAGTGTAGCGGTTAGCGCACTGCGCTATGAACCTGGCGATCTGGGTTCGATTCCCACTCATGGCCAACATCAGTGACGATTATCTGAACCAGTCCTGGGCCTCCCCTAGGCCGACTCGGCCTCAAATGAGTACCTGGTGCAGTGTGTAGTAAACATCGTCACTGGGGAGACAAAGGCGGCCGGGCGTGGTGCTGGCCACCCACCCCCTCGTGTGCCGTGCCGGCCTTCACAGGTGCTGCTGCTCGCTAACAGCACTTGCCCCTAACATTCTGTTCAGGCTAAACGGGGGATCTTTGTCCTTGTTTATGTGCCCAGGGTCGATTCACAATCGCCGCCAAACACCACATGACCATTGCAGAAATTCACGAGAGCGAGTTGGCGGACGTTGAGAAGGTAAGAAGGCGTGCAAGTGAGTCGCCCCTCTCGGCTCAACCAAGTCCATCGGAAGCAGAAGATTAGCGCTGGATGTAGTCACATGTTCAGATGTGATTGGTAACTTTGAGCATCACCTGTGTTATCTTCGTGTGGCCTGGGAACCGTTTTGTCGTTGTTCTTGCTGCCTTGCCTAATCTTGATAAAGTGGACTTACATAAATAATTATATTATCATTCGTATTTAGTAACTTGCTTACCACGGTGGCGCGATGTTAACTTCCTCGCCTGGTATGCAGGAGGTCCTGGGTTCGATCCTGACCCTGACGCCTGCTGTGTATTTGGATTTTGCGTGTCTCTCTTTCTCTTCTGGTGGTCACATGGACTTTTCCCCGGCTGAGTATTTGGCTGCTGCTTTAAATGTCCAAGTGATGATAAGCCACTTAGTTGAGCTATCGTTTGTGATAGCCAGTTTGCTTCTAAAAAAGCGCTCAAAGCTCAGTGGGGCCATACCTGGTAAAATTAAAAAAATTGTTTAGTAAAATAGTTTAGTTTTCCATTTTCTCTATTTTGCACTCCTATCGTTGTGTTTGCATGGTTTGCTGTTGTAATTTGCCGACCTGCCCATAATGGGACATCTGTGAACAAGAGCTTCAAAGCTCATCGGATTCCTCCCGAAGTCTAAATGAAGATACCGATGAAGACGCACTGCATGCGGCTGTAATTTCACTCTCAACTTAACACAATGTGACCTTTAATCTTAAGCTGTGTAAACACGGAGCCGGCTATACATTTGAAATGCCGGCATGGCTCGAGTTTCAGGAGGGAAGGGGGAGATCAGATCCACTGATTGTGTCTGCCGCTTTTCTAAACGGACGTATCGGCGTTGACACCGGGGCAGCGTCACGGCTCACCGGCACCTCGTGAAACAGTCTCGGCGTTGTCGCCGTTGCCCGCGAGTGAGCTGCAAAGCTGTCCGTCAGAGGTTGCCCTCAGATTCGGCAGCTGCTTTCCCGTTCAAAAGTGTTGGTGACGGTGCCGGATGATCCTAGTAGCAAAAGTAGCTGAATATGTTGTAGCTACAGGCCCCCGCACTTTCAAGGGCCCCCGCGCTAAATACTTTCAAGCTATCAATTCCGGTTCAGTGATTCTGCACTTGCTCTATTACTATAGTACTATACCGCCTTCGACTTTTATGAACGACCGGGTGTTTGAGGTTAGCGATTTGTCGTATTATCTGGCTGTATAGCAAATGAAAAAATACAATTACTTTGCTATGCAGGTTAAAAATTTGTGTTATTATATATGTGTGTTTTTAAAAAAAATTTAGGGCCCCTTTATAACATATACTTCAGGCCCCGCACTAGCTTCATCCGGCACTGGTTGGTGGTGACACCGCAAGTCGTAATCTTCTGATTCCACCGTCAGCCAATAAATTATTTTGGAAACGAATACGAGGAACATCCGTCCGAGCAAGTCTAGGGCACGAGTCGAATCTTTACGCCTTCGGAACACGGAACCAGCCGATCGTCGTCGGGGCTGGGTTTGCTGCTGTACGGCAGGGCACTGCCCGAAGCTTCGTGTGTTAAAGCCGCTCGTATGACCCGTCCGTCTTCCGACCCGCTTCGACATCACGAGGAAGCGATTTTGACGCAGCACCACCGCCGCCGCCGCCGCCACCCCAGCAAGGTTTTCTGACCGGGGTTGCGAATCGTTGGCAGAATCATTTTGATGGCCATTTATTTATTCGCACACAGCGCACCGCCGGTGTACCGCCCAATACGTCCAAACGTTAAGGCGGCGCAGCGGGGTCCGGCCTACGTGATAAGAAACCCGGCGACCCGAATAACCGATTCCCGGCCAGGGTTTGACGTCAGCGGCGAGTGGTGTGCTGGATCTGCTCGTCTCCCTTCGACGATCCGTGCCGCCGACCAGAGTAGTGGAGAAGTATGACCAGAGTGGAGAAGTATGACCAGGACAGCCCCTCACAACGGCCGACGGGGCGTTGGGGGGGGGGGGGGGAAGGGGGAAGACTTTCATCCAGCGGTTGGTCGACAAAGGGCTGAGTACACTGTTGCAACAATTCGTTGGTGTGACGGGGCCACGGTAAATATCGCGCGTGCCGTATAGGGCAGCGTTCTTCACCGCCAGGGCCACCGCGGGCCACTGGGCCCCTGGTGGCCTTTAGTGCGGCCCCCCCGATAATGCACAAAGAGTGACAACACCCCCCCCCCCCATCGTCGCGCTGCTGTCGAAGCCAACAATGGTTTCAAATGGTGTGCCAGCCCTCACACTGATGGTGATGTCTTAGGGGGCCGTCCATAAATGACGTCACGCACCTAGGGGGGGAGGGGGCGGGCGGAGTCAGACATTTGTGACGATGTGTGACGAGGGGAGGAGGGGGTGTTTGAGAAATGTGACGTCACATCAAAATGCGCAACTTTGAATGAATATAGACAACGCGTTCTACTTAAATAGACTTTTTAATAAATGTTTTCTCTGACAACGTGAGAGTGCAGCGGCACATTAAATACGCGCTACAATGACAATAGTTTAAAGCGATTTGAAGCATGTTTTATTTTTTTGGGGGGGTGGGGCAGAGCTTTGTGACGTCATATTTCAGGGGGGTCTGACTTTTTGTGACACCGTGTGGCGATGAGGGGGGGGGGTCAAATATTGTCCAAAATCGCGTGACGTCATTTATGGACGGCCCCTTATCGGCGAAAGTGTCCACCCCACCTCCCCCCCCCCTCCCCTGAAAATCGGTGAAGAACACTGCCGTGTGTATATATATAGCATGAGATGAACAGCTGCGGCGGTAGATTGAGACGTCAATGATGGCTGCGTTTCCCTCTCCACGCAGTCGATGGCCCATTACGAGCAAGCCGCGGACTTCTACAGAGGGGAGGAGGCGAACAGGTGACTCTGTCGGAAGCGGCTGAAGCCTCCCGTAAATCACGTGACCCATGTGTTGCCACGCCCACGCTGAATCCCTCCCCCCCGCTCACTGTGAAAACAGACGCTGCTCCTCCATGCATCTCGCCCCTGTTTGCTCTGCGCTTATTGCTTCTCTTTTTCTCTCATCATCAACACCACCACCAACCTTTCATCACCACCACCACCCTTTCATCACCACCCTATCATCATCACCACCTTATCATCATCATCACTACCACCCTCTCATCATCATCATCACCACCACCACCCTCTCATCATCATCACCACCACCCTCTTATCATCATCATCATCATCACCACCCTCTCATCATCATCATCACCACCACCCTCTCATCATCATCATCACCACCACCCTATCATCATCATCACTGCCACTCTCTCATCATCATCGCCACCACATCATCATCACCACCACATCATCATCACCACCACCCTCTCATCATCATCACCACCACCCTCTCATCATCATCACTGCCACTCTCTCATCATCACCACCACCACCTCATCACCACCACCACCTTCTCATCATCATCACCACCACCACCCTCTCATCATCATCACCACCACCACCCTCTCATCATCATCACCACCACCCTCTCATCATCATCACCACCACCCTCTCATCATCATCACCACCACCCTCTCATCATCATCACCACCACCCTATCATCATCACCACCACCCTCTCATCATCATCATCACCACCCTCTCATCATCATCACCACCACCCTCTCATCCCACCGGCTCGCTGACTAACCGGCATATCACAAAGTGCCTTATGGTCAAATCACCAACACTGATTGCCGTCTCGACGAACCACCAATCACAGAGACTTGGCTCTAATCGGTTTTACTCTTAACTATTTTCTATTTTACCAGTTAAGGCCTACTACGCTTTGTAGCTCTTTTTCAGAAGCGACCTGGCCACAAATGACGGCTCAACGAAGTCGCTTATCGTCACATGGAAATTTATAGCAGCCAAAGACTCTAAACGCGTGACGTTGATTCTAAATGTGGAGGGAAAAATCGGGGGACCCGGAGAAAAATCCACACGACCACGGGAAGAGAGAGAGACACGCAAACTCCAAATATACAGCAGACAGCAGGCGTCGTCAGGGTTGGGATCGAACCCACGACCTCCTGTACACCAGGCGAGGTAGTTGACATCTCCTAGCCACCATGATGATGATGAGAGAGAGAGACACGCAAACTCCAAATATACAGCAGGCGTCGTCGGGGTCGAGATCGAACCGACGACCTCCTGTACACAAGGCGAGGCAGTTAACATTTCCTAGCCACCCTGGCACCCCAATCATTATATCTCCGTCCCCCTCGGCCTGGCTGGCGCGACTGACCGCATGCCGTTAGCGAGGGGCAACTTCAAGGCCCCCCCTCCTCCCCCCCGTGACCTCTCCTCTGCCTCCTGTGCCCCCCACAGCACGGCCAACAAGTGCCTGCTGAAGGTGGCGGCATACGCGGCCCAGCTGGAGCAGTACCTCAAGGCCATCGAGATCTACGAACAGGTAGCCACGTCGTCGGTGGCCACGATACATCCGCTGCAGCCGCGGCGGCGGCGGCGGCGGTGTCTACGTCAATACGTAACGTGTACCGTACGTTGAACTTCTTTCGCAAACCGTACGTAGCCGGACGTGCTAATCGGAGGTGCGGAGGCGGGCGGCGGGGGGGGGGAAGGACAACAAACTAAACACAAAAATTAGTCGTGAAGAAATTAGTTTGTCAATCTTAAGATTTCAAAATGCATTGCTCCAGTGGCTTCCTATTTTCGTAAGGAGGAGCCCGTTCCACATGGCGGCAGAAGCGCATCTGAAAGCGCGCGATGCAGTGGCCGTCTTTGTTCGACGGTTACGCAAAAGCCGCTTGCGAGGATGACGGTTTTATGTTCCTTAGCGAGATCGACAGGGTATTGTGGTTCATTTGTGGCAAGCACTTTGTGTGTGATGAGTGCGACCTCACGATATGTTATTTCGGCAACCGGAAACCAATTCGGCTCGGCAAGCGCCGGACGGACACGGTCGGATCTTGCAGTGCCCCGTCACTGGCACGTGCCAGAGGAATTGTGTACACGCTGCAGCTTGGCAATGTTTTTTTTGCCAGACGTCCCGTAGAGTAGCGAGTTGCAATGGTCGAGCCTTGTCGAATATTGCAACTCGCTGCACGCGGCCGCCTGTAATGCAGCGCTGCGGAGGAGGCAGCGGCGACGGTTGGTGGCTCACCGCACGGATCTTGTCCAACTCCCTTGCCATCGGCGTCGAGGTGGAGCCGTACCCTGGCTCGCCCGGAGAAGGCGGTACAGCAAAGATGTGGACTCCACCCTATTCAATCTGCGTGGGATACAGCGTTGCCCCCTCGCACGCACGGGGTTTCTCCGGTTGCTCTGGTTTCCTTCCACGTTAATTGGTCAATAATACCTTCAGAGCTTTGGGTGGGATGGGGGGGAATTAAAATAATCGCGTTGGTGGCTACGCCCGTGGGGCCTGTAACCCTGCACCGTGGAGGCAGCGAGGGTTAGTGGATCACCACACCAACGTTGCCAAACTCCCTTGCCTCTGTGGGTCTCGAGGAAGTGCCCGTACCCTGGCTCGCCAGGAAAAAGGCGGTACGGCAAAAGTGTCGGCTAATCTCCATCTGTTCCATCTGTGTGGGATGGAGTGTTGCCCCCTCGCACGTGTGGGTGAAAATATCGACGTCCATTATCCCATACCTGTCAACCCATACGGTTTACCCCGTATTCTTGTACAGGGAAATTGAGTTTTCAGGTGCATATGGCGTACAGCTGTTTCGATACGGCCAAAATGTTGTCTTTGTGTTTCTCCCTTGTGATGGAACTTTGTAGGGTGAACGTTGAGATTTCTAAGGGCACGGGGTGACCAATAAATTCTGAATTGGTCTGTTTTTAGGTAGGGCACTGATAAGGGGGTTGACAGGTATATAGTGTTGAGTGTAGTGGTGGTGAGTGTACTAGTGGTAAGTGCTCGTGGTGAGTGTACTAGTGGTGAGTGTAGTGGTGGTGAGTGTACTAGTGGTGAGTGTACTAGTGGTGAGTGTACTAAGTGGTGAGTGTACTAGTGGTGAGTGTACTAAGTGGTGAGTGTACTAGTGGTGATTGTACAAGTGGTGAGTGTACTAGTGGTGAGTGTACTAAGTGGTGAGTGTACTAGTGGTGAGTGTACTAAGCGGTGAGTGAACTAGTGGTGATTGTACAAGTGATGAGTGTACTAGTGGTGAGTGTACTAGTGGTGAGTGTACTAGTGGTGAGTGTTCTAGTGGTGAGTGTACTAGTGGTGAGTGTACTAGTGGTGAGTGTTCTAGTGGTAAGTGAACTAGTGGTGAGTGTACTAGTGGTGAGTGTACTAGTGGTGATTGTACAAGTGGTGAGTGTACTAGTGATGAGTGTACTAGTGGTGAGTGTACTAGTGGTGAGTGTACTAGTGGTGAGTGTACTAGGGGTGAGTGTTCTAGTGGTGAGTGTACTCGTGGTGAGTGTACTAGTGGTGAGTGTACTAGTGGTGAGTGTACTAGTGGTGAGTGTACTCGTGGTGAGTGTACTCGTGGTGAGTGTTCTAGTGGTGAGTGTACTAGTGGTGAGTGTACTAGTCGTGAGTGTACTAGTGGTGAGTGTACTCGTGGTGAGTGTACTAGTGGCGAGTGTACTAGTGGCGAGTGTACTAGTGGTGAGTGTACTGGTGGTGAGTGTATTGGTGGTGAGTGTACTCGTGGTGAGTGTACTCGTGGTGAGTGTACTCGTGGTGAGTGTACTAGTGGTGAGTGTACTAGTGGTGAGTGTACTCGTGGTGAGTGTACTAGTGGCGAGTGTACTAGTGGTGAGTGTACTCGTGGTGAGTGTACTAGTGGTGAGTGTACTCGTGGTGAGTGTACTAGTGGCGAGTGCACTAGTGGCGAGTGTACTAGTGGTGAGTGTACTAGTGGTGAGTGTACTAGTGGTGAGTGTACTCGTGGTGAGTGTACTAGTGGTGAGTGTACTAGTGGTGAGTGTACTAGTGGCGAGTGTACTAGTGGTGAGTGTACTCGTGGTGAGTGTACTAGTGGTGAGTGTACTCGTGGTGAGTGTACTCGTGGTGAGTGTACTGGTGGTGAGTGTAGTGGTGGTGAGTGTACTAGTGGTGAGTGTACTAGTGATGAGTGTACTAGTATAGAGTGTACTAGTGGTGAGTGTACTAGTGATGAGTGTACTAGTGATGAGTGTACTAGTGGTGAGTGTACTAGTGGTGAGTGTACTAGTGGCGAGTGTACTAGTGGCGAGTGTACTAGTGGTGAGTGTACTAGTGATGAGTGTACTAGTGGTGAGTGTACTGGTGGTGAGTGTACTAGTGGTGAGTGTACTAGTGATGAGTGTACTAGTATAGAGTGTACTAGTGATGAGTGTACTAGTGATGAGTGTACTAGTGGTGAGTGTACTAGTGGTGAGTGTACTAGTGGCGAGTGTACTAGTGGTGAGTGTACTAGTGGTGAGTGTACTAGTGGTGAGTGTACTAGTGGTGAGTGTACTCGTGGTGAGTGTCTATTTGTTTCTGTTTCTCCCTTGTGATGGGACTTTGTAGGATGCCCCAGATTCCTCATCATCAATTGGCCGAGAACCCCTTCATGTAGAGAGGACCCCAGAGCTTGGGCATTTGTCGGTCACGCCGGCTCACTGCCTGGCTGCTGCTTCTGCTGCCTTCCCTGCGCGTTTGTGGTTCCTCGCTCCTCCGAGCCATCATCTCTCTTCCAGAGCGAGCAAATACCGTGCAGCGGGTGTATCACCAGTTGACTTGAGGATGATGATGATGATGACAATAATTATTATTATTTGTTTTCACAATTCGGCTTTTTTCCAAACCGTCGCCATCCCTCGCGGGGTCACACTGCGCTGCGACCTGCGCACACGCTGATTTGTCGTTGTTGTTGTGTTTCCACGTCCTCCACCACACTCGCCACCCACTGCACTCGCCACCCACCGCACACGCCACACACACCACCCACCACACACACACACACGCCACCCACCGTACGCGCAACCCACCACACACGCAACACCCACCACACACACACACCACCCACCACACACACACACCACCCACCACACACACACCACCCACCACACACCACCCACCACACACACACCACCCACCACACACACACACACCACCCACCACACACACACACACCACCCACCACACACAGGTGGGCACCAGCACCATGGACAGCTCCCTGCTGAAGATCAATGCCCGCGAGAGCTTCTTCAAGGCGGCCGTGTGCCACTTCTGCGTGGACGCTCTGAACGCGCAGGTAAACGCGCCGACGCTTGTACACACCGTACACACGGACACGCATGTCAGGCGCACACGTATGTACCGCATGTAAGTTGAACTTCTTTCGCACCGTACGCAGCCAACCGTGCTGATGGGAGGTGCGGGAGGACACCACGATGCCCGCCATACCCATGCCATACCGATACACCATACACACCATAGACATGCCACACGTGCCCACAATACACACACAGCTCGATACAAAGATCCCCCATATAGCCTGAACGTACTTTTGGGGCAAGTGCGGTTAGGGAGCACCTATGAAGGCCGGCACGGCACACGAGGGGGTGCGTGGACAGCACCACGCCCGGCCGCCTTTGTCTTCCCTAGTGGCGATGTTTACTACACACAGCACCAGGTACTCATTTGAGGCCGAGTCGACCTAGGCGAGGCCAAGGACCGGTCCAGATATTCGCCACTGGTGTTGGCCGTGAGCGGGTCACCAGGTTCTTAGCGCAGCACGCTAACCGCTACACTACCACTCCCCACACAACCACCAAAAACAAAGATCCCCCGTGTAGCTTTAATAGACTTTTGGGGCAAGTGCTGTTAGCGAGTAGCACCTACGAAGGCCGGCACGGTACAGGAGGGGGTGGGTGGCCAGCACCACGCCCGACAACCTTTGTCTCTCCAGTGGCGATGTTTACACAACGCACCAGGTACTCATTTGAGGCCGAGGGGAGGCCCAGGACCGGTTCAAATATTCGTCGTTGGCCGTGAGCAGGAATCGAAGCCTTGCCCTAAGCCAGTGGTTCTCAACCGGGGGTACGCGGAATCTTGGGGGTTACGTGTCAATGTCCCGGGGGGTACCCGAGGTGATTTCTAAGCGTGTGAAATTATACCTTATACGTGAGAGTCCTCGGTGAATGATCACGTATGAATCTGGCAATGTAAAATAACTACGATAACATTTAAATCCATGTGGTAACTTAGAAGGATGTTAAAAATAACCTTTCTAAACTCATCGACCGTACACAGCGCGGGTTTGCAAGAGTAACCGACGAGAGCGAGCGAATTCCGTCACGCGTGCTGAGCGTTCCGTTCAATGGTTTTTCATTCGCTTGAGGTTACCAGATAGCTGGTTGAGGATAACCCCGCAAAATTGACAATTGGGCTAAAGTCTCGACGTTCATTATCCCATACCGTGTCAAGCCACACGGTTTACCCCGTATTGTTGTACAGGGAAATTGAGTTTTCAGGTCCATACGGCGTAAAACAGCCGCTTCAATACGGGAGAAAAATGTTGTGTTTGTGTTGTGTTTCTCCTTTGTGATGGGACTTTGTAGGATGAACGTTGAGATTTATAAGGGGCACGGGGTAACCAATAAGGTCTGAATTGGTCTGTGATAGGGTAGGGCACTGATAAGGGGTTTTATAGATATGTAGTGGTGAGTTTAGTGGTGAGTGTACAAGTGATGAGTGTACAAGTGATGAGTGTACTAGTGGTGAGTGTACTAGTGATGAGTGTAGTGGTGAGTGTACTAGTGATGAGTGTACTCGTGGTGAGTGTACTAGTGATGAGTGTACTAGTGGTGAGTGTACTAGTGATGAGTGTACTAGTGATGAGTGTGCTAGTGGTGAGTGTGCTAGTGGTGAGGGTACTAGTGGTGAGTGTACTAGTGGTGAGTGTGCTAGTGGTGAGTGTACTAGTGATGAGTGTACTAGTGGTCTATAATCAGGTAGCGCACTGCTAAGGGTTTTACAGCTGCGTTATCCACATTTATTTCTCAAAAGCGTGTTGGGTCAGGCAAGGGGTGGTGGGGGGGGGTTACTACTCGGGTTGAAACAAAATTCAACAAGGGGGGGGGCTGCAGTACCCAGCAGCCAACAGGGGGGGGGGTGTAGGGAACCGCTGCTCTCAGCAACTCTCTCTGCCTGTGTCTGCCACCAGATCGCCGTGGAGAAATACGAGCAGATGTTTCCTGCCTTCGCCGACTCGCGTGAATGCAAATTCGTCAAGGTGAACGGCGTGGGGGGGGGGGCCCATCCACACAACAAAGACCCGCCCATGGTGTAGCGTTTAACAAACTGCCGGGCGCCACGGTGACTGGTAGATGTTAACTACCTCGCCTGGTATGCAGGAGGCCGTGGGTTCGATCCCAAACCTGACGATGCCTGTTGTATATTTGGAGTTTGCGCGTCTCTCTCTCATCATCACGGTGACTGGTAGATGTTAACTACCTCGCCTGGTATGCAGGAGGCCGTGGGTTCGATCCCAAACCTGACGATGCCTGTTGTATATTTGAAGTTTGCGCGTCTCTCTATCATCATCATGGTGACTGGTAGATGTTAACTGTCTCGCCTGGTATGCAGGAGGCCGTGGATTCGATCCCGACCCCGACGATGCCTGTTGTATATTAGGAGTTTGCGTCTCTCTCCCCGTGTTGAGATGTTAACTACATCGCCTGGTATGCAGGAGGGGGTGGGTTCAATCCCGACCTTGACACCTGCTGTATATTTGGAGTTTGCGTGTCTCTCTCCTCATGGTCGCGTGGATTTTTCTCCGGGTCCTCCGGTTTTTCCCTCCACACTTAGCATCAATATCACGCGTTCAGCGTATCTGGCTGCTATACATTTACACGTGATGATAAGCCGCTTCGTTGAGCTATCATTCGTGGCCAGGTCGCTTCTGAAAAATATCTCTATAGCTCAGTGGGCCTTAGCTGGTAACATACAAAAGTTTCTGTTTAGTTTAGAGCACAGTAGTCACCCTATATCTGTATAATGTCTCTGTCATTTATTTTTAATTGTCATTCTAAACATACTCTGCCCGTGCCGAACCTAACGTGACAGAAAAAAATAGCTACGTAGCTCAGTGGGGCTTACCCTGGTTAAAAAAAATAAAAAATCATCTTTTTAAGTTTAGTTGATATCTCGGCTGCTGGCTCAGCGCCACGGGACATTGGGTTTCCTGAGAGAGAGAGACGGGGCTCAGCGCCGGGGCTCAGCTGCAGGAGCGGCAAGGCGTTGAGCGATGGTGACACGGAGCTGACCACCCACCCCTGCTGTTGTTTCCGCAACAGAAACTGCTCGAAGCTCACGAGGAGAACAACTTGGAAGCGTTCACCGAGACGGTGAGGCGGGCGACGGCGAGCCGCGCTCCCAGATTTCTCCCACCGGCCCCCCCCACCTCCCTCCCTCCTCCGCCACCCACCGCCGCGTGTGCCAAGCGTTGCCCCCGAATGTGAGAGGCGGGTTGGGAACGTGTTAAAAGATTCACGACATCCGTCCGCTGAGCGAGACCGTCGCTGCGTCGTGTTACGTTTGCGTAACCTCTGCGTCGCGTCGGTGCGCTTCGAGTCGGTGATTGCGGAAATCGGAATGGCGTGAGTGTCGGTGGTCAATGCAGCTCATCGCAATATCATCACCGTCCCTTGATCAAGTTATCGTCATCATCCCACCACATCATTATCACCGGAGCCACGCGTCGCCAGTGTCATCATTGTCACCGCATCAAACATCTCGAGTCGACAGAAATCAACGCGACGCTTGTGGGGAAGTCTTTGGCCGGGCTATGTCACACGCAACGGACGAGATGAGATGCGTACAGGTGATGACGCTGTGTCCTCACCGCTCACATCGCTCACAAAGCATCATTAGCCTCGCCCCCTGGCCCTGCTTGGCCCCGAGCCAGCTTCAAATTGGGCACCGCCCTGGCGAAAATGTTAACTACCTCGCCTTGTTTGCAGGAAGTCGTGGGTTTCATCCCAACCCCGACACGTGTATATTTGGAGTTTGCATGTCTCTCTACCCGTGGTCACGTGGATTTTTCTCCGGGTCCACCGTTTTTTCCCTCTATAGCGTAATTGGCTGCTATAAATTTCCACATGATGATCGGCCACTGCTTTGAGCTATCATTTTTGAAAGCCCAGCTCACTTCTGAAAAAAGAGCGTCTTAGCTCAGTGGGGCCTTTACCTGGTAAAATTTTAAAAAATATATATAGTTTCAGGTAGTTAAATGTCTCGTGAGTCCAGCGCATCACAGTTAGTTTCCGGCTCTGCACTGCAAGTCCGCCAATGGCAAAGCCACCCCTGATTGTGGCTCGGCCCGGGTGTGCCAGTGGAAAAAGTGCATCTGACCAAACGCCGACGACTGCGACTCGACTCCGACACCCTCCCACCGGACGTCGACCGCTCGGGCGTTTCGAACGGCCGCGTGGGTGCGCGCGTGCCCTCCTCGCAGGTGAAGGAGTTCGACTCCGGGGCGAGGATGGACCAGTGGATGACGACCATGCTCCTGCGCATCAAGAAAACCATCCCGGACGACTCCGAGGGCGACATGCGCTGATCGAGCGAGCACGTGCGTGCGTGCGTACGTGCACGCACGCGCGCGACGGCAGCACGGGTCTCCCCCTCCTCCCCCTCCCCCCCCCCCCTTCCCCTCCTCGTGCATCGTTAGTTAAAAGGCGTTCCCACCTCCCAAGAACCTTCGGCGTCATTGTGACAGGCGGGGCCAGCAGGGCCCGCGAGCCGCGCCGACGATCTCCGCGGGCAAAGGGGCCGAAAAAAACCCAGCGGCAGGCGAGCCGACGGATCGGTGAGTCTTGTCAAGACGAGAAGTGGGGGTTGGACCGCTCGCCCACCCATCGTCATTGACACTGCCTCGCAGCGGGACGAGAGTTAACGCCCCCCCTCCCCATGCATCGTGCAATGCGTTTCCGAGCGCGCTTTTGGCTTCGCGAGCGTTTAATGGGGAGGTTTCGGAAGCTGACGGGGGTAGCTAGCTGCCGGGCCTAATTTTATTTGCGGATTTGCAAAGCAGTAGTAATTTTGGTGCTTGTTTGCGTCTCAAATATTTCGGTAAATTTTCGATGAATTTGCCCGTTTTTTTTAGCTTTCAAGGGTGAATCCCTAATAGCAACACAATGTTGTACAAACGTTTGGGTCATATTGGATCATTTTTACAATAATTATTGTTTCCCCCCTCCCCGTCTCCATTATGTACAGACGGACAGATAGCACGAATGCATAACAAAAAGCTTTCAACCTTAGGTGTGCAAACCATGAAAATATATCATAACCCTTCTTCAGGTTAAAGCTGTCCTCTGAATAAGGGGCACTGAAATAAGGCAGTGTTAATGACGGATGAGGTGAGTTTTGGTTGGTTCGGTACGATTACAATTACAATCGCACCTCCGATTAGCACGGTTGGCTACGTACGGTGTGAAAGAAGTTCAACGTACGTACACACATGCAATGTGGATACACATACGGCGCGTTAACGTAACCGCATCTGCTGTACAGAAACGGTGGTCGTATATCGAATGCCAGGGCTTCCACTGGTGATGTAAAGTTGTTCTCGTGAGATTGATGGTTTGAAGGAGATGAAGTTGCCTGGTATGCAAGTAGCAATTCGTGTATTTGGGCAGTTCAAATAGTGTCGGCGTTCATGATACACGCATCGAACTGAGTCGGCCCCACTCTGTGAAACTCGAATTCGGGCTATGCCGGAAAGGCTTCCCGAAAAACAATGAAGTAAATGATTATTGTTATTATTTATTCCAGCCAAAGCCACATTTTCAAGCTGCTAATTCTGGGCAATTAAATCCCGACGACGAGAAAGCGCAAGGTCACCACTCTCTTGGGGCACGTTCACCCCCAAGTGATTGGTGAATTCCTCGCGCAGTCCAATTTGTTCAGACTGCGTCCAAAAAAGCGTGGGGGTGGAAGGCGTCCACTGTCGGGGCGCGCGGCAGGTTGACCCAATCAGGGAAGCCGTGTGCCCTACACTCTCGGTGAGTCTTATAATTATTTGTCAGTGGAACCTTGAAGCTTTAAAATAGAGCTACATAGGTGTTTTTCAGAAGCGAGCTGGCCCCAATTGATTGTTCACCGAAGTGGCTCATCACGTGGAAATTTAAAGCAGCCAAATACTCTGAATGCACGTTGATTCTAAATGTGTAGGGATATATCGGAGAAAAAATCCACGCGGCCACTGAGGAGAGAGACACGCAAAATATACAACAGGTGTTGTAAGGGTCAGGATCGAACCTATGACCTCCTGCATAGCAGTCAAGGTAGTTAACATCTCCTGGCCACCGTGATGGTGATGAGAGAGAGACACGCAAACTCCAAATATACAACAGGCATCGTCAGGGTCGGGATCGAACCCACGACCTCCTGCATACCAGGCGGGGTAGTTAACATCTCCTAGCCACCGTGCCCAGTCCCGTAGACACAGCCTCGGCACGAGAAGTGCAGATTCATCCCTGAATTATTTTGCATGGGAATCGGAGCGAGGTGCAACTCAACCCAGGGCGGTCATCCACTCGTATTGTTTATAGATGAGAGGCAGTATTTTTTATTTCCGTGTTTTTGCGCACGGCGAATCGTGCAACGTTGCGCGCGCTTTAAGCGAGCGCGGTGTACAGTACAACGCGAATGTGAGACTTGACGTCGCGTTGTCAGCTGAACTGTTCAAAGCGACGCCATCGTCGTGAGGTCCAACCCTGATAAGACGGAGGTGTCGGCGGTGGGACCCTGAATCAGAATCAGAATATTTATTGCTGGAGGAATCCGATGAGCTCTAAAGCTCTTTCTCACAGATGTCCAGTCTGGGGCAGATAAGAACGTTACAACAACAAACGGCACAAAAACTCGATAGCAGTGGAAAGTATAACAAGGTCTTGATTTGAAGCTTTCGTGACTGCAGGAATCCATACTCTCTGGTTCTTTCGGTAAAGTCCACGTAGGTAGAAGAAAAAATAATAAAAGAAACGACGTTTCGGTCGCAACACAAGCGTCCGTGATCAGGTGATAAAATGTATAAGAAAGGTAAAGAAAATCACCCAAACACTTACAAATGAAACACTAAACCATCCCCCATCCTGCCAGACAAAGCCCACTGAGCTATTGACTTTTTTGTTGAGCCATCGTCGTGAGGTCCAACCCTGATAAGACGGAGGTGTCGGCGGTGGGACCCTGAATCAGAATCAGAATATTTATTGCTGGAGGAATCCGATGAGCTCTAAAGCTCTTTCTCACAGATGTCCAGTCTGGGGCAGATAAGAACGTTACAACAACAAACGGCACAAAAACTCGATAGCAGTGGAAAGTATAACAAGGTCTTGATTTGAAGCTTTCGTGACTGCAGGAATCCATACTCTCTGGTTCTTTCGGTAAAGTCCACGTAGGTAGAAGAAAAAATAATAAAAGAAACGACGTTTCGGTCGCAACACAAGCGTCCGTGATCAGGTGATAAAATGTATAAGAAAGGTAAAGAAAATCACCCAAACACTTACAAATGAAACACTAAACCATCCCCCATCCTGCCAGACAAAGCCCACTGAGCTATTGACTTTTTTTCAAAAGCGACCTGGCCACAGGTGGTAGCTCAACAAAAGTGGCTTACCGTTTGGACATTTATAGCAGCCAAATAATCGAAATGGTCTAAACGCACGTTTTAAAACGTGAAGGGAAAAAAACCCCGAGGATCCGGATAAAAAAATCCACGCGACCACGGGGAGAGAAACGCCGCAAACTCCAAATATACAGCAGCAGGCGTCAGGGTCAGGATCGAACCCACGACCTCCTGCATACCAGGCGAGGCAGTTAACATCTCCTAGCCACCGTGATGATGATGAGAGAGAGACACGCAAACTCCAAATATACAGCAGCAGGCGTCAGGGTCTTGATTGAACCCACGACCTCCTGTACACCAGGCGAGGTAGTTAACATCTCCTAGCCACCGTGATGATGATGAGAGAGAGAGACACGCAGACTCCAAATATACAGCAGCAGGCGTCAGGGTCGGGATCGAACCCACGACCTCCTGTACACCAGGCGAGGGAGATAACATCTCCTAGCCACCGTGATGATGATGAGAGAGAGAGACACGCAGACTCCAAATATACAGCAGCAGGCGTCAGGGTCGGGATCGAACCCACGACCTCCTGTACTCCAGGCGAGGTAGTTAACATCTCATAGCCACCGTGATGATGATGAGAGAGAGAGACACGCAAACTACAAATATACAGCAGCAGCAGGCGTCAGGGTCGGGATCGAACCCACGACCTCCTGTACTCCAGGCGAGGTAGTTAACATCTCATAGCCACCGTGATGATGATGAGAGAGAGAGACACGCAACCTCAAAATACACAGCAGCAGGCGTCAGGGTCTTGATTGAACCCACGACCTCCTGCACACCAGGCGAGGGAGATAACATCTCGTCACCTCGGCGTCAACAGTTAAGCCCACACGAGTTGTTGGTTTTAGGTTTCTGCGTGCAATCCGTTTGTCAGTGCAGCTAAAGATCCAGGGCTTTATTTCGGCTGGCGGTTGTCCGGGGCTGAGCTCCTGAAATATTTCCTTGTGCCCCCCCCAACTGACCACCCTTCCTACTATTGGGGGGAGGGGGTGGGGGGCCCAGGGGATTCGGGGATTCCAGAAAAACCTTCCGTGAAGAAATGAAGCCCTGGGAAATGCTGTAGTTATTTTTTGTATGTTTAAATGTTTATTTAAAGCCGGGTAGGAGTTGCGTGGACAGCTACTAATAATAATGTACATCGATTTTTGTAAGGCACCTTCCACTAATGTCTCAAGATGATGCGTAGTGCTTGAGTTTCTCCCGAGTCGTTTAGTTTTAGATGACAAGGTGGTATTAATGTCGAAGTAGAGATTGTTCACTGTTGCTGTAGAGATGATGATGATGATTATGGTGTTTAAACGGGTCCAAACCCATTTTAAATTGTGATAATGCCCTCGGTGGAAACATTCCCCTGTTTTAAAAGCCAGGCGGCAGCCCATCGAGACGATGATTCTTTTTGCAAAAAACAAGAAACAGACCTGGGTAAAAATACAACAAAGATAGAATGGTTAACATGGCACAGAAGTTCACACAGCTTAGGAGAGTGGACACAGTCGTCTGTGGCCTATTAGCAATGCACACTACCCGCATACTGACCTCTACGCTCACAGTTGCTTTTAAGGACCACCTGCCAATGACTCTGTACAGCCTCCCACGTTAACCCGGTATTTATTAAGTGTCTGCATGATTACACCTTCGTGTGTGTGCGCGAGTGTGCCTGTCTGTGTGCGGTGGAGCTTATAGTCCACAACTGTGTAATGTCCTCTCTGTTGCGAATCCAGCGCGCGCCTGTCAAATGGAGATTTGCAATTTAGCGGTTCGTGACTTGACTTGTGGGTTCTACTGACGTGTTCGTGTGCATGCCCTAATGATGACGACGATTATAATAATAATGAGAGCCTCGTGTGTCACGTCGTTACGCTCCTGATTAAATTCCTCTGTCGTATTAATAATGTGGGAGACCGCTTGATAGAATAATAATTTCAGTTATTGCTAAATTACATTTCCTAGGTAAGTGATTGAAAGTGATTCATTAGACGATGGGATGACACAGTTAATAACTATTTAATTGCTCGGTTTGATAAATAAGCCGTCCGATTCATTGATGGGCGAACATCATTCCTGGAATGTGAATATGTTGGTGTAAGTGAATTGGCGTGTCGAGTTATAACTATTAAATGTTAATTGAATCCTTGCAGTATTAATCTCTCGTGTTTGAGCATTTAATATTCCCGTTAATCGTCGCAGCCCTGGTCTATCTACTGCTAGATGAAGCCCCTACCCCCCCCCCCCCCCCCAAGCTGCCGTCCATCCTCGCAATTCGGTGATGTGACAATGCACCCAGATCCTGCACAACAACAAAAACCACAGCGCTTGTGCCAGGCCACGTGCACGTTAGGGCCACGTGGAGTGTCGAACGCCCACCGGCACGAGGTCACGGGACAGACCCATCCGGTGCCATGGGTTGCCTGAGATGACTGGCCGATGCACCACCTGTGCCTCATCCTGCACACACGCACATACACACACGAGCTGGTCTCATCGTCGCTCTCCACCTGATGAAGTGGACGCCCTCTTGTACAGCATCCCATCCCTCGGCTGCCATTCCATCATCCTCGCATCGCGCGGTGCCTCCGGATGCACTTCTGCGGCCGTCTGGAACGCTCTTCCGATAGTAGGAAGCCACTGGGAGCTCTGCACTTTTAAACCGTCTGGATTGAAAATTAATTTTTTTAAAGCTGCTTTTTTTGTTTTTAGTTTGTTGTCCTTCCCCCGCACCTCCGATTAGCACGGTTGGCTAGGTACGGTGCGAACGAAGTTCAACATACATACATACATGCCAGGGCTTGGCATAATAAAGGTAAATTTTTTGGGGTTAGATCGCGTAAATATAAATGTGTCGTTAACCCACCAACGCCCGACACTTCCTAATTAGTAATGGTATGTCACGTTCAACAAAAACGCGCACAATTAATGACTACCCTCAGCACACCGGTGTGTTGGGAGAGTAAACCCACACAACATTGAACAATTTTGAGTACCGCGACGTTTCGCCCGTGATCACAAGAAGCGGCTTCGTCGGGCGATTTGCCAGAAACTTGTCACGGGGTCGGCAAACCAAAATAAGGGGGCCGTTTTTTTCCGAATTTCGGTAAAAAAAAAGCAACTGAATATTTGCAGAGCCTCAACGCACCGTGTGGTGAGTACGAGACGTCGGTGGTCCTTTTACAAACTTGTCACGAAGCGACCCTTATAGAGTGACGTGTGTCCTGCACAAACTCTCCTACTTTCATATTTTTAGCTCTTTCGGTAAAGTCACGTTGAAGGGAAACAATAAAATAATAAATATATATAAAACAATAAAAATTCTCACGACGTTTCGACCATAACACAAACGGTCATCATCAGGTGTGAAAACCAACAGCAAGAAACATTTGAAAGAATGTTTGTTTTATATATTTTATTATTTTATTGTTTCCCTTCAACGTGACTTTACCGAAAGAGCTAAGAATATGAATTACTGCAGTCACGAAAGCTTTAAATAAAAATCTCCTACTTTCCTGAGCAATCTAGATTTGAAGCTTTCGAATCCATACTCTTTGGTTCAATAATAAGTAATATTTAAAAATACTTTTTTTAACAGGTCCCTGCAGGGTGGGCTGGTAGGACAAGTCTCTGCGCTGTCTATTGATGACTTTACACCCAACAGCACGAGATTTTACTTCGTTATATTTAAAAATACTTTTTTTTTAAACACGCTTTAATGACATGTACCGTACTAGTAATGGAAGAACTCCACGACTCCAGGACGTGGCCGCGATGCTTGCCACAACGTAATGGGACCCGTGGTGATTTACAGCCAACGTGAGTTGAGCGTGGACAATTAGAGCCAAGCCGAAACATAACATGACAAATGTTTTAAAATATGTATTTTTTTATGATAGAATATAGTATTGTCATCATTATGGCATAAGTATACTAAGTTTGCAGTCGATACCACATTGGGCAGTGGGTGAAATTGAGTTACAAGATTTGAGGATACAACAACAACAGACAGAGCGAGTTAATAGAAGTTTCAGTTTATTTTGGTATAGCCCTGTGAGCCATTCGGCTCTTGAATTGGGTGCAACCACAACAAACAATAAAACAATAACACGAACAAGAAAACATCTTAATGTGACTGTGCAAACATAAAATCCATGAAAAAACAGCAAAAAAATATTCCTGAAAAAAAAGCACCGTACACCAACGCTGTGTGCAAAAAAATCCCAGCGTGTAAATAATAATATAATGAAATTGGACCTTCTTGCCAGTATCAAAAAACCGGTCACATTTTGTAGCTGCTCACCATGAGCTAAAGTTGCTCTGATTAGGTGCATTGTCTTTGTACTGTTCGCCTTGTGGCGTTGTCCTCTGGTCTGACGCTGGTGGTGCGACTAGGCCGTGAAGAAGGGCCGCTACTCTCTCTGGTGTAGGCCAAATCAGTTTCAAAGACAATGCGTAACATTGTTATCGGAGCCACGTGTTTGTTAAATAATGTCGTTGCCACAAGTATGTGCGGTTAATGCAGACTTTTAATGCCTTGCAAAAGGTTGAATCTATTTTGGTGTTTGAACATCTTAACACAAATCCCGTTGTATTAGCCAGAAAGGTTAAAACCTATTCTTATTCATATTCTTGGTTCTTTCGGTAAAATCACGCAGAAGGGAAATAATACTAATAAAAAATACAATGTTCACGACGTTTCGATTGCAACACAAGCAATCGAAATGTCGTGAGAATTTTATTGTTTTATTTGTATTATTTTATTATTTCCCTTCTACGTGACTTTAACGAAAGAATCAAGAATATGAATCCCTGCAGTCACGAAAGCTTTAAATCGAAATCTATTATTATTTATTCATAGTTTCCATTATGTCATTAGCCTG